AAATTTCCAAGGTTTAGGTTTTTCAAATACTTATAAACCAATGAATTACCCTCATATTTTCTTCAAGATGTTTTATCTGACATGGAATATAGGTATCATCTGTAAAAGGATCTTCATGGTTCACTCTTTTTTTTTTTCTTTTTCGATGATGAATAATAATTAAACTTTGAAACAAGCTAAGTAAATCAAGTTAACTTTTTGGTGTATATATAAAAGTTTTTTCCACTTCTAGTTTCATCATATGGATTTCGAAAAAAATACCGATTACTGCATTTTTCAATTCTGCATAATTTTCTAAATTCACATAAGTGATATTTCTGACATCGAATTCATTTTAATTTAATTTTGAATTTTCCATCTATAAGTGTGCCAGGACTGTTCGAATTTACTTTAGGAACAACTACTTTATTTTTCCCTTGAGTGTATAAAAAGATAAGTCTTATAATTAATTCATCTAAGTACATATTCATGATACTGCGATAGCAAGATTGATTGATGATTTTCAGCACTAGGTACAGAGTGTTTAGAAATTCGGTATCTAGATTTCATTGTCGTATATTTTCCAGGTCAAAAACATGCATCCTCGAAACGCTATCTTACCGATCTAAAATGCGTTGAAATTTCGAGATTTCTTTTCAGTTTTTTCCCTAGATATTAATCGTTTTTCTCCATTGTGATTACAGTTTCCCCCTTACGCTATCTTACCGATCAAAAATGCATGAAATTTAGAGATTTCTTTTCATTTTTTTCTCTAGATATTCATAGGTTTTCTCCATTATGATAAGAGTTCCCCCTTTTGATCAGGATTCGATATGGAAATCCAAAAAACAGAATTGGAAGAGTTATGAAGAAAAACGAAAAAAAAATTTACCTGAAAAACACGTCCTCAAAATCTTGATACCGAGGTCTGAAACACGCTGTATATGAATACTTCAGTCGAATAGAGAACCATAGTTAATTTTGTATATAGTGCGCTAAATGCTACTTTGCTGATCGAGGTGACCAAAGTATTTCGCGCTCGAGTTGCAAACAAACTTTTTTCTACAAACGTCAATGAATATAGTTCTCAAGTAAAAATATGCTTAGATTGATATAAAAAATAGTGTTGAACTGGCTTAAAATGCCTCCCTAAGTATACGCACAATGTCCCACGAACATTATAGGAATTTCCTTTCGTGCGCTCCAAGAGATGAAACAAAGTTATTGTTGAACATTCAGGAATAATTGATTTCGTGGATGTTTGCTCGATTGAGGACCATAAAGTTGAAATATAAATATCTCATATATTTCACATAACAATGTGCGAAGTAGGTACAGGGTGATTCACCATAATATGTCCCCCCCCTCTAGCTCACTTATTTTTGAACCGATTTAAAAATTTGAAAAATCATCTATAATGATTTTTCAGAAATGTTTTTCCCGTTGCATTAGAAAATACAGGGTGCTCGGAACGAACGATCTACAGAGTACTACTTGAATTTTTCTAACGGAACACCCTGTATTTTCATATTCTCCCTGAAGAGCTGATTTCATCAATACATCACACTTGGGGTCTAGCGGGAATGATTACAGAGATATGGGGTGTTCAAAATCAAGATTTTTCAACTTTAGGATTTTTTGTGTCGATACTATTGGAACATACAGTGTAGTTCAAGATTCAGAATTCGGATCACCCTGTACCTGTTCCAAGTAATAAATGTCAGTAGATAGTGAATCCAAAGTTGAGATAAGGACATAAAAGCCAGTTTTGACCGATAATGAATAGTTTCGTCACAGAAAAATCCTAAAGTTGAAAAATCTCTATTTCGAACACCCTATATCTCTGTAATCATTCCCGCTAGACCACAAGTGTGTTGTATTGATGAAATCAGCTGTTCAGGGTGAATATGAAAATACAATGAAATACAGGGTGTTCCAAAAGGAATATTCTCAGATAAATTATGAACATACAAAAATGGATATATATTTATATAAAGCAATACATTGAGAATTCGCATTCTCTATGTGATGAGAATATTTAATAAGCAACTGAGAAAGAGTAAATATTCTCATCACATAGAGAATGCGAATTCTCAATGTATTGCTTTATTTAAATATTTATCCATTTTTGTATGTTCATAATTTATCTGAGAATATTCCTTTTCAACACTTTCATACCCAATCAGGGGGTTCAAACTTGAACGATGGAAACTTGTGATTTTTATAGACTTCTAATCGCAGATTCGTGATAGAGTCTCAATTCAGAATTTCTTTCCACGCCCTGTATGATGAATGTCAATTTATCATACACCCAAAAGCACAGGGTGTTCCATTTGAAAAATTCAAGTAGTACTCTGTAGATCGTTCGTTCCGAGCACCCTGTATTTTCTGATGCAACGGGAAAAAAAAATTCTGAAAAATCATTTTAGATGATTTTTCGATCTTTTAAATCGGTTCGAAAATAAGTGAGCTAGAGGGGGGGACATTTATGGTGAATCACCCTGTACTTCGCGCATTGTTTTTTGCAAGGTATCATGGTAACTTAGGAAACTGAAAAAAAGTGTCACTTCGCAAACTATCAATGCGCAAACCTTGTCATTTTTTGACATTTGTAGAAAAAATAATAAATTGATAGTATAGTATAGTTCCTGCAAATCTTAGAAATATGTTTACATTTATAAAAAGGGTCTTCTGTTCCTGAAATGATTTGAAAAATACGGGTGGAAGTTTCTATCGACGATTATTATCCAGATTTCTCTCTCAGAAACACACTGTACCAGCCTTCAATGAAAAATACTCACCTTCAGATCGCTTCTGTCCAATGCAAACTTATCACATTTCATATTTACTTTCGATAGTGAACACAACCTTGCTTTTCGATGGCTTTAAATGTCCAAATAATAAAACAAGAAATTCAATGCCAATGTGTGAGAGAAATGTCATCTGTTCAGACAAAATCAGCACATTCTACGGTGAAAAAAAAGTATGTGGCATGAATTGATTGAAGTAAAATATACAGGCTGGTTCATGGCACGTTTCTGGAGAACGCAACGTAGGATTATACTGAAAATTTCGCATCAAACATTTTCGATCAAATTAAAGCCTGTATTTCGTATCGTTACCATAGCAACTCAACCAAGTTTCTTGGAAATTTGTTCCTCCTCCTTAGGGGGCGGAGCATGAAATTACACTGGAAATTTTTTGAAGTTTATAGGTTAAATGACATTTACATTCAACTTCAGATTATTTCGAGTTCATTCTATAAGTCAATAAATAAAAATCATTTATCAACAGTTTACCATATCATATAATATAGGTAATGTAGGTTTACTTGCAATAAAATATTTCGGTGTGAAATTTTCTTCCCGAATACCACTTTAGCTTCAATTATTGATATCCGGGAATTTCTTCTCGAACATTTCTTGGTTTCTTGGATAATTATTTGTGCTCTATCGACCTAAAATATTCTCAGCGCTGTGACGTTGCCGCTTATATTGTCTTTATCATTCCCGCTAGACCACAAGTGTAATACATCGATGAAATCAGATCTTTAGGACGATTCTGAATATGGAATAATATATGGGGTGTTCCATTCAAAAACTCAAAGATGTTGCTACTTTTCAATATAAGCGGCAACGTCGCAGTGTTGAGAATATTTTAAGTGGATAGAACACAACTAATTATCCAAGAAACCAAATTTTCAGTATAATCCTACGTTGCGTTCTCCAGAAATGTCTAAATGTGCCATCCACCGTGAATCAGCCTGTATAGCATGTAATAGTTCTTGGAAGAATCATCAGATTAGATCGCTATACTCGCCTAATTTGGAACCCTGTAATTTAATGAAGAGAAAACAGTTGCAATTGGAAGCAAACATGATGAACCATCTCATAAATTGATCAACAATTATGGTCTTTCAAATTTCAATTTTCATCCCGAAAATGAGTGGCAACAAATTTAGTCTGAACGACTGAACCCAAAGAAAATATTATATGTATTCAGATAATGTATATTATACGAGTTTAATAAGACGAGCGAAGCTTTTATTGAAACAAATTTCATCAATAAGAACATCAATCAGAAATATATGAAGTAAGTAGTTGATACATTATATTCATTCTCTAATTTGACAGATGGTAGAAAAATTCTTGTGTCTGACAGTTCGACCTCACCATTACCAACTTTGTAAAAAATAAATTCAGTTTTGATACGCATTTGGGGAACTGCATTAAAGACGCAAAATAAAAAAATCGTGAGATTGTTCGAGATTGACCTTATTTTTTCCAACTTTCCTTGAAAAATCCCCAATATTTTCGAACAGAATTATAATAATTAAATATTGACTTATCTAATGCAATTATTAGGAAGGTTGGAAGAATATAAACAACTTTGGAATAATCAGAAACATAATATATTTTGACATCTGCGGAATTATGATTTTTATTCAGGGACATCATTTCTGTCTTCATCTTATTCGTTACCCTTCAATTGCAAAAATCACATCACATCGTAAGTGTCAATACGGTTATTCAAATTCAAAATTCAAAGAATACTACAACATAACGGTATGATAGGATATTATTAATTGAAATCTTATTATTTCTCCATTTACAGTCATTATATTGTTTAGCTGGTCCCTGTATATTAATCATACTTAAACTGATTTCAAAATCCTTAATTCTGTGCGATTAATTTTCTGAAAACATTGAAAAGGTGGTGAAGTTACAATTTATGATTTCCTCTTCCTCTAGTTAATAGTTGACGATGAAAATTGCATTATTGCAATTATTAATTGAAACAATGCCTTTCATGAAAACACTGATGAAATTCTTAATTACCTTGGATTGGCAGACTTTTGATGTTTATTAACCAACATCTCTCTTGAATTTTAAATAAACTTGATTAGAATTATTTTTTATGAATTAAAGTGTATATTGAGATAATATCCAATATGCATAACGAAGCAAAATGTATAATAATAATATATTATGATATAAATATGCGTATCTAGCAAACCAGACACGCTCAATGAATCGCAATGAAATCTCTCTCATTTCCAGTATGAAAGATGACAGTGCAATTGATGAGATGCCAGTAGAAGAAAAACGAATGAAAGCAGAACTCAATATTGACGAACCTTCCGAAGAACTTTTGGAATGGGCGAAAGAAAATATAAACGAAAATCCAGATAAGACTGATCTTTTGATATCCGATTTGAGGGATATGATATTTGGTGAGTACAAAAAATAACAAACGAAGATTGGTATGAAATTTCCAGTAGTAATATTCCATTATTTGAAAGGTATAGTATACAAAAACAAATGCTAACCATATACTACTCATTAGCAGAATCTGTTATCAGGTATTGTATCACTGCATTTTTTTATATGTTCTGGTTCCCACGAAAAGGGATAACCTGTAATGTTCAGAGAACATCGTGAGAACCAAGGAAAATAAGGTAGGAATTGACGTTCTTCTCAAATTTCTGGAGGTTATATGCCTCGGGGAATACCTCCCTTGGCAATGTGTTCCAGAGCCTCGCTGTCCCTTTGATGAACGAGTCTTTGGAAAGAGATGTTCTGCAGGTCTCCAAAGTGACCACGAAGGGCTGCGAAGCCTCAACTCGACGGGTTAATCTCGCGGGGACTGCCAAGGGAGGAACAATTGTTGATATTTCCGAAGAGCATCGTCCATGGAAATATCTATAAAATAGAGCCAGATCGCCAACTTTTCTACGGTGTTCCAGAGGAGTGAGCGAGTTTGTGAGCGAGGCATCACCCACGAGACGAATTGCCCTTCTTCGGACAGAATTCCACAGTTTCAGGGTATGTTTGGGTGCTGCACTCCAAATATGGGAACAGTATTCCAGGACAGGTCGGATCTGTGCCTTATGAATCATAGGCAGCTGACTGGAAGTGAAATAGATCCTGGCCCGAAACAGAAAACCAAGTTTTTGGGATACACTTTCAGCAATTGATCTCACGTGATTTCCCCAAGAAAGGTTATTGCTGATAGTATCACCAAGCATCCAAATGGATGTCTTCAACACAAGGGGAAAAAAGACGAAATTTCGAACTTTTTAAATACTGTCTGTAGGTTAATCGAGGAGGTGGTATATTCATTATTCCAAATTTTTTGGGATTTTCTCTCCTCGTTTCTATAAAATAAAAATATGAATATTATTTCAATATACGTGTAGTAAGGACAAATCAGATGATTTGCCCCAAAATGTCACTGCGTTTAAAGAATTTTCCTATCAGAGAGCCTAAAAGAAAAATTCACTAGCTTGTCAGTGACAATTTGTATTGAAAAAATTTTTGGAGAAGGGAAATAAAGGTATATAGAAAAAATATCAAATTTTCACTTATCTTTGGACGTTTCGGGACCGGTTCTGCTCCCGTTTTCAACATAAGAAGAGATTATTTCAATAGCGAAGTCGTATAATGTCTTGAAGCTTTTCAGTTTTCAATGACAATTGGTGACGTTGGCAATCAAATGAGTTACAGGATGTTTTCATTAATTGATCTTGAATTTACCATTTTCATGTTCAGATTTTAGTAGTGAATACCATGTTCTGTCTATATCAACTGAACAAGAAGCAATGTTATTGTCTCCATTCAGAAGAATGTAAGCAGATTCCTTGATTTTTCTCTTCTGGTTGTTATCTTCTTTTCCAATAATTTTAATATTATTCAATAACGACAAATATAATACCATACATTCCCGGCATATCTGAAAAAATAAAACGTGTTGGTGATAAATTTCAAGTGAAAACTGTGTTCAAAACTGAAAATACAATGAGATCAATTCTAACTCAAACAAAGCCGAAAAATGAAGAACAATCATCAAAAAATTGTATTTACAGTATACCTTGTGTTTGTGGAAAGTTTTATACAGGTGAAACCAAGAGGCCTCTTTCAGTAAGGACGAAGGAACATAAGTACAATATAAAGAAAAGAAACATCGATAAATCGAAACTAGCTGAACATATCCTTACTGAAGACGGACAACATATGGCAGAGTGGAATAATATTAAAATTATTGGAAAAGAAGATAACAACCAGAAGAGAAAAATCAAGGAATCTGCTTACATTCTTCTGAATGGAGACAATAACATTGCTTCTTGTTCAGTTGATATAGACAGAACATGGTATTCACTACTAAAATCTGAACATGAAAATGGTAAATTCAAGATCAATTAATGAAAACATCCTGTAACTCATTTGATTGCCAACGTCACCAATTGTCATTGAAAACTGAAAAGCTTCAAGACATTATACGACTTCGCTATTGAAATAATCTCTTCTTATGTTGAAAACGGGAGCAGAACCGGTCCCGAAACGTCCAAAGATAAGTGAAAATTTGATATTTTTTCTATATACCTTTATTTCCCTTCTCCAAAAATTTTTTCAATACAAATTGTCACTGACAAGCTAGTGAATTTTTCTTTTAGGCTCTCTGATAGGAAAATTCTTTAAACGCAGTGACATTTTGGGGCAAATCATCTGATTTGTCCTTACTACACGTATATTGAAATAATATTCATATTTTTATTTTATAGAAACGAGGAGAGAAAATCCCAAAAAATTTGGATTAATGAATTCGAACTTTTTCTTGAAATATCTCGATAAATAGTAGTTTGTTCATATGTTCATTATAAAATTCGAGTATTCAGACAAAAATACGTAGCACCAAAAAAATTTTCGAAAAAAAAACATTGTATGATAAAAATGCAGTTTTACCAATTCTTGTTTTTCCAGAAAAAGGGGAATGCATACCGCATAGAACAGATGACAAATTTCTTCTTCGTTTCCTGAGAGCTAGACACTTCATTGTTCCAAAAGCCCATAGATTGGTGAGTCACAGCAAATGCAGAACAGAAAATCAATCAATTAACAATATCAATGACACTAATATGCTGTTAGAAAAATCTTGTTAGATATTCATATTTGAAATAAACGTATTATACTTGGATATACAGGAAAGTGCACAAAAATCGGCCAGAATTGTAACTTTTGAATTATTCTAGATAGGATTTTGAAAATTGATAGCAAGTATACCAGTTTTTCTCCTATCACTTCCAATTTCACTGGAAACGACCCCAACTCTTGATCTTTAAATGGGACACCCTGTATTGTATTCCATAATCGGTTAGGGAGTATCATGACGAATTCAACGATACCGGTTTTGATAAGGTTATTTCCAACGATTACAAAGATATTTGCGTTCGAAGTTTCCATATGCTCAATGGGTGTGACTTCGCAATATCAAAACTTCTTTCTCTGTCACACTCATTGAGCATATGGAAACTTAAAACGCGAATATCTGCGTAATCGTTTGAAATAATCCTATCAAACCCGGTATAGATGAATTTGTTATGACAATCCCTAACCGATTATGGAATACAAACATGGTGTCCCATTTGAAAAATCAGAAGTTGGGGCCGGTCGTTCCCAGTAAAATCGGAAATGATAGAACAATAGTTATTTGTTTAACTAGGCAGCAAAGTAGTAGATTGACTGCCGAGTTGAACATATAATTTTTTCTCCGATTGTTCATGATGAAATAGGAGGATATTGTATTTGCAAATTATTACAATTCCCACAATCTCTTTATTTTTCCTGTAGTGTTCAATTAAAATGAAATTTGATAGAAATCGCAGTTGTCCATGATGATTATAGTTTGACAATTCATGGAAATTCTGACAGTTGTGCGAAAAAATATCGGTATATTTAAATTATTATATAATGGACAGTGATAGCGACCTGGAAGTACTCACACCTCCAGAAATAAGGGAGGTGGAGTTGAATTTGTTGCCGGAGAAGTCTCGAATGAAATATGAAGGAAATTAAAAACGATTTATTGATTATTAATTTTGCTGATACATATCAATTAATATTTGCTGCCCATCGGAGAAAAAAAACTGTTTCATCAATTAATGAGCAATTTGGTATGCTGCCCACCAATTTTCAAAACCCTATCGCGGATAATTCAAAAGTTACAGTCCTGGCCGTTTTTTGTGCACTTCTCTGTACTGTATGTAATAACTATCTTCTTCTATAATTGCAGATAGTGAATTACTTCGACTTTCGGGAGTCTACACCATATTTCGAAAATATAGACGTGCACCATCTGAGAAAATTGTCAAAAACGATGTTCTTATGTGCTCCACCCTATACCGATCAGTGTGGACGAAGAATGCTAATACTCAAAATTGGTGAGCTGAAAATTTTCCAATTGTAACCCAACGAATGACTAGGTACCTAAATTCGATTTACTAGAAACCTTACATTTGAAAAGTCGTCAGGTATATGTATCATCCTTCTCTGTATATTTAAGAATCATCGAAAGTATTAGAACTACGATATTTTGTATACTGGTACAGGGTCTTCACGTATATTTTAAACCCCCACTTAACTTCTTTATGTATTGTTCAATTTTTTTTTCAAGGAACGTTTTTTTATATTTTTTCCTGTAGATTTCATATATGCCAACAGAAAAACAGTTGAATATCTGAAAAAATATTTATGGCAACATTTAAAATTCATTTCATAGGACACCCTATATATTGCATTTTTAGATTCTCCCTGGAGAGCTGATTTCATCGATCCATCACAGTTGGGGTCTAGCTGAAATGATTACAGAGATATATTGGGTGTGGAAAATTGAGTTTTTTTTCAACTTTACGAATTTTTTGTGTCGAAACTATTCATTATTGGCCAAAAGTGTTTTTAAGTCCTAATCTTAACTTTTGATCCACTATCAACTGACATTTAATTGAAACAAATCAGAATTCACGATTTTCCACCACCCTGTATTCATTTCAATTGAATGTCAGTAGATAATACATCAAAAGTTAAGATAGCTGAAATGATTACAGAGATTTTGGGTGTGAAAAATTGAGTTTTTTTCAACTTTACGAATTTTTTGTGTCGAAACTATTCATTATTGGCCAAAAGTGTTTTTAAGTCCCAATCTTAACTTTTGATCCACTATCAACTGACATTTAATTGAAACAAATCAGAATTCACGATTTTCCACCACCCTGTATTCATTTCAATTGAATGTCAGTAGATAATACATCAAAAGTTAAGATAGGGACATGAAAACCGTTTTCTCTCCAGGGAGAATCTAAAAAAGCAATTAAATACAGGGTGTTCCTATTGAAAAAATTATAAATGTTGCCCCTAAGTATTTTTGAGATGTCCAACTGTTTTTCTATTGGCATATATGCAATCTACAGGAAAAAATGAAAGAACGTTCCTTGAAACAAAATTCAACAATACATAAAAAAGTTGAGTGGGTGTTCCAAATATACGTGAAGACCCTGTACCCATGGAATATTGAGTTATGATAATTTCCATTCTTTCAATTCTCTCAACGCACTAATAAATTTCTCACTGAAGTTTTAATAATTATCTGTCTAGGTAGGTATAAAACTCAATCAATAAAAGTGTGAATAATTCGTATTCTAGGTGTGGATTTACACCCAAAGCAACGTGATACGTATCTAATGTTATCTAGAAGCATCTGAAGCTGTTTTAAAAAATCATTACGCTGATGATAAGATAAATGAATGATTTATTCTCTGAAAGGTGGGTCTTACAATGAGACCAATCAGTGAAAGGTACCGTTTCCAATAAACCATCATTCCTACGTATAATTATGTAGGTACCATAGGTGAGAACTGACAAGTTCCTTTCATCGAATAAATCAAGAAATGTATCTCTGAATGCACCACCCCATTTAGCAACGCGAAGTTTGCAAGAATCTATACAGGGTGAGTAATCAGGAACTGTACATACTCCTTTCACGAAAAGTGAACCTTGAGGGGAATACCTAATGACCATCAGAAAGTGTCTTCTTGTTTTCTTTACCAATATACAGTGTCATTCATAAAGTCAGCATCATATGGGAAAAACTTTTATTAATGACTTATTTTGAAATTCGAGTTGGCCGTCAGGTTTTGCTTAAAAAAAAATGAAAAATGGCCTACTCAATCGGGGTCACGTGACTTTCGCTACATGTCAAAAATGACATTTTTTCAAATTAATCGCTGAAAGTAGGCTTATTTGTTCGAATATCGAAAAAGTTTACTTGAAAAAGTTGTTTCTATTTCAATTTTACATGTGTGACTCGGATTTTATCTTTCTATTACATTTTTTGGATTTCGATATTTTTTTAAAAATTTTCGAAATTTCTGTAATATTAAAAAAATTGTAAATTCGATATAACTACTTCATACCAGTAGCTTCATCATGCTACTAACTTTCAATCACTAATTATCACTAATTATCGACAAAAATATGATTTTCTTCAGAAAATGATAATTAATCTCCGCTTCAAAATTCTGTTATGTTTGATGCAAACATAACATCAAAATGCTGCTATGTTTGAGTCAAGCATTGAATGAATTTCGTTTCTAAATGCTTGACGACATATCAACTTTGCATCCAACATAACAGAATTTGGAAGCGGGTATTATCATTTTCTGAAGAAAATCATATTTTTGACCATAATCAGTGATAATGAGTAATTAAAAGTGAGTAGCATGAAGAAGCTACTGGTATGAAGGAAGTTTCGTGAAATAAACAATTCTTCAAATATAACAGAAATTTTAAAGAATTAAAAAAAAATGAAAATCTAAAAGTTTCAATAGAAAGATCAAATTCGAGAAGCTTGTGTAAAATTGAAATAGAAACAATTTTTTCAAGTAAACTTTTTCGATATTCGAACAAATAAGCCTACTTTCAGCGATTAATTTGAATAAATGTCACTTTTGACATTTTGCGAAAGTCACGTGACCCCGATTGAGTAGGCTATTTTTCATCTTTTTTGAAGCAAAACTCAACGTACAACTCGAATTCCAAAATAGGACATTAATGAAAGTTTTTCCCATATGATGCCGACTTTATGAATGACACTGTATAGGGTGAATAAGGAGATTTGGCAAAAACATCTATTGAGCATAACTTTATAAACTAAATAAACTAAACTAAATAAAAGAACATGTTTGATGTCCATTGGACAAAAGCATTGAAAATGTGAGTCTCACTTTTATTTGTGAAATTTATGCATTGCGAAGTAATTATTTTCGAATGACTGAATTTGTTGTGAAACTTTCGTTTTTGCTTATAATTCTGTGAAAGTGATAGGGGAATTTTGAATATTTCATCATAGATGCTTGTTCGTGTGCTTTGGAAATTCCCTGTCACACTTTACAAAAACCACATACAGGATGAACTTTTTGATAAAAATTGAACTATCAAAATTTTTCAAGAACGGTCCTGGATTTTTCCGATTCTAAATAAGTCAGTCGATAAGAGAGTAGTAGCGGAATATTTCATGAAAAAATCAGATGAATCGAAGAAGCTGTTGGAAAGTTATGAACAAATGATGTTTTTGCCAAATCTCATAATTCACCCTATATATTGGAAGAGAAGTGAAGAAGAAACTTTCTGATGAACATTAGGTATCCCCCTCAGAGGCTTCTATTCGTGGTAGGAGTATGTACAGTTCCTCATGACTCACCCTGTATAGTAGCCAGCTAGATCTCCAGACTCAACTTCATTTGTATTTTCAGGAGAATGGGACACAGACGAATACTCGATTGTGGAACTGTTCCAGCTGATCATCGGTATAATAGAGATAGCTCTGCTGGAACCTCAAATTCAAATAAAAGGTGCAGTTTTAATCGTTGATTTAAGCGATCTGTCCCTGAAACTGACCCTGCAAATGACACCCACAGTAGCCAGACATATCATCTGTGTAGCAATGGTAAGAGTTTGCTAATATAATGTTGTACAGTCTTTTCAAAATATTTTGGCAATATTTCAGACCTCTTTCCCTATCCGGCTACAGTCCATCCACTTCATAAATGCCACGTGGTTATTCGATATGGCCTGGAGCATCTTAAAATCTCTCGTAACGACAGAAGTGCTGGACAGGGTGGTATTCCATCCGGACTACGAGAGTCTACACACCCACGTGGATCCAAAATACCTCCCGACAAGGTAATGTCAGGAACATAGACGTCAGGAACCGCATCTCTCACTTATTCAGATCAACAAAGATGTTTCATCCTTCGAACAACCTTTCGACCTTCTTCAATCACTCCAAAAAAACTCCTTATCATCCAAACAACCTCCTTATCCTCCAAACAACCTTTCAGAACTATTTTCCATCCAAAAAACTTCTATTAACCCTTTCAGACTCTCCTGATCCAATCATCTTGAATTATCATTCACCTTAAACAACCATGTTCAACCTTCTTCTAAAATTCACTTCACTTTCCAGCCAAATCTCCTTACCTATCAATCCTTCCGAAACTATTTTTCACCCGACAACCTTCAGATTAACCCATTCAAACTCTCCTGATCCATCAAAACAAGCCATTCAAACCCTCCTTCACCTTTCAACCAATTATCTTAAATCCTCATTCACCTTCAAACAAAAATGTTTGACCTTCTCAAATTCACTCAACTTTCCAGGAAAATCTCCTGCTCGACAACCATTTCATTAACTCTTTCAAACTCTTCTGATCCTTCAAACAACCCTCTCAAACCCTTCTTTACATTACCACCAATCATCTTTAATCCTCATCCACCCTTTAAAAAAATTCTCAACTCATATCCACTCCTCAAACAATCCTCTCGAATGTTTTTCTACCCTTCAAATAACCCTCTCAAACTTCGAACCTCTCCTCAATGTCAAAAGTCTTCTCAACTCTATCTTTTTCAAACTTGTTTTCACTCCTGAACAATCTCTTTTTAAGCATTCATTCACTCCTCCCTAATCCTCTTTTTTCAGATTGCTGTACTTGGTTCCTTGGATAATTAGTTGTGTTCTATCGTCCTGAAATATTCTCAGCGCTGCGACAATGCCGCTTATATTGAAAAGTAGCGAAAACTTTGATTTTTTCAATGGGACACCCTGTATATCATTCCGTTTTCAGATACTCTCTGGAGAGATGATTTCATCGATCTATCACACTTGGGGTCTAGCGGGAATGATAATGAAGAGGGTGTGAAAAATCGATATTTTTCAAGTATAAGAATTTTTTGTGTCGAAACTATTCATAATTGGTCGAAACGATTTCCATTTCCACAGCTCAACCTTCCACGTTCTATCAATTGATATTTAATTGAAATAGATACAGGGTGGTCAAGAATCTTTAATTCTGAACCACCCTGTATTTATTTCATTTTAATATCAATTGATATAGTGAATAAAATGTTGGGATAGGGACATGAAAACCGTTTTGAGCAATTATGAAAAGTTTCGACACAAAAAATTCCTTAAGTTGAAAAATCTCGATTTGCCACATCCTATAACTCTGTAATTATTACTGCTAGACCCCAATTGTTATAGGTCCCCCATTTAAAAAATCAAAGTTGTTGCTACATTTCGATATAAGCGGCAACGTCGCGATGCTGAGAAGATTTTGGGTCAATAGAACACAACTTTCTCCAGAAACGTCTAATGTGCTATCCACCGTGAATCAGCCTGTATATTCTAGGAATATTCGACGGGAATTCGGAATATTTTCCTCTCTTTTAGCATATTGTTCAGAGAATATTCCATAAATATCCAGTGCTGTCTGGGTTGCTACTCCTGATTCACACGAAATACAAAAATGTGTGAGATGGAGTTAGATGGAATCTATTTTTCTTGCAGATATGGCGGAATCCATCTGGATTACCCGATGGACATTTGGTTCGAGGACGTGGTAATGAAGGACGACAGAGTGGTGGATGAATGGGAGAGCATGGGTTTCGGACAAATCAGGGTGCTCAAGGAGGAAGAGGAGGCCAAGAGGAAGAGAAAAGACTGAGTTTATTCACTGTACTTGGTTTCGACCAAAAACTTTCACTCAATTTCTTTGGCAATGTATTAGTTATTGCAACTTCATTTGTCGAAGAAGGATGTACCATAAGAAACTCCAGGGAAAATTATGAGTCGGTGTTTTTTGGAGATATTCGCCGTTGAAGTTCACAGTTGACAATCATAATCACATAAATGATTGAAATTCGAATTTGTAGTACTATTGCGGCACTCAGTGCATACAGTGCTGGATAGTTTTTATATTTTTTGCAAGATAAATAACCATGAAATAGTTACCAATAGAATTATTATACCATGCATGTTATACTAGACAGGTACTCAGCACTATTAACGATGAAGTTAGCGCTAGTTGATCAGCATTTATAATTTCGCCTACCAAAATGAATTATATATCAACCTTAAAAATGTGACCGAGTAGTTTTTCACTATCTAGAATTTGCATTAAACGTCAGTGTAATTCACAGTTTGGAATCAAAAGAACCATTATGAAATTGGAGATTTTTGTTGTATTTTCCGTTTTGTTGTGTTTTTGGTAGGCGAAGAACAGTTGTGTGTTACACATGCAGAAAGCAGAAAATGCTTAGTTTCGTTGTGACACTATGGATTATATAATTTGTCCATAATTTCGAATTACATACACATCACACATTACACATATTATTTTTCAATAAACTATTCTCAACCGTTTGAGTATTTTTTTCACAATTTATTCGTGTCGTACAAAAAATATGGAATTCTATGTTATTATTTTCAATTCACAAGTATTACATTAATCAATAACCTTGGGCTACGCTCAGCGGCAGGTCGGACCATGGTCAATTCGTCTCAATTCGTTCAGACCGTAGTCAGACTATGGACCAGCCCGTGGTCCACGTAGTCTCATTTAAAAATCGGGCCAAGCACGGTCTTAATCGTTCAGTCGTTTCCGTCAGTAAACGTCAGTTATATTTGACATGAATTTATGACATGCAAATGCATTTGAATTTGAACGAATCTCTTCGCGGGTGAGATAACATGATGGCAAGCAAGTTCAAGAGATATTGCTCTGTGCCGCAGTGTAAACAGTATAAAGATACAAGAAGTATATACACAGCTTTTCAACCAGATGCAGAATCATACAGAATGTGACAGAACATATAAAAAAATGGGGGGTAGCCCATTCCCGAATGTACGCCTGTCTGTAGTAGATACTACTAAGAAACAGATTAGGTATAAAGGTAATTTCGTTCAATTTTTCATCTAATCAGTGTTTTATATAATGTTCTTTTCTTTCAGAGGAAAGCGATTCCAAATGTATATTTTTTGTGGAGCAGATATACAATACCCTCACAGAATTCACCGATTATACATTGCACCAAAATGTAAAACCTGTGATTTATATGAATCTGAATGAAAATAAGTGTGGCATTTTGGTACAGAGCATAAATGTGTCTTCAATCATTCTCCAATCTATACCAACTATAACTTATAATGAGTAACAGGAATGAATATGATGATGACACAGATGCTGAAAGGATATAGGTAGACCTTCCTTACCAGTTTTCATGAAACTTTCACCACGACTGATCATTATTGTTGTGAACATGCCAATGCAGTTTCCATATAATAGACAAGCCAGTGCGATTTCGAATTTTCATACTTTCTCAGTAATAATAAATAATTCAACTACAACACCTAATTTTCTTTTATTCCAACATAATCTAGAATATGATCAACAATATGAATAATTTAAAACTCCATTTCATTCATTCTTTATATCATAGATTTTTGCAAATTCTTCATCAAAATCGATGCTGTTGTGGAAAGTAGTCTGTTGGAGAGGAATACAATATACACAATGAATACATATATTATATGTACTTTGTTCTTCAGATTCTTGATATCAATGAAATCTTCTCATATATGTTGTTCTTTCTTGCTCCCTTGTAGAAATGTATGTAAGGCATATAATGGAAAACAAATAACATCAATTAATAATGAAAGTTAGAAATTATATCAGACTCACGTTCAAGTTTCTTTTCATCAACAGCAATTAAAGTTTCGTAGGGAAATACAACAGTTTCGTCAATCCTTGTCTTCATTAGTGAAAGCTATTGTAGGCTCTACTTCATATATATTGCCTTCTCTACAAGAACAAACACAATCATGCCCAATTGTTCGCTGGACGGCAACAATTTCAGAACAGCAGAAGTTTGCAGAACCTGCCCAATAATCTCAAGTTTCTGTTTCTGTACACTTCTAGCTATGGTAATCTGTTCACCATTCACCATCGGCCGATATCTATTATCAATATATTTGAGAATGTCCACCGAATTGATTTCCACAAGCACCATCGTTCAAAAATCACTCTAACTACGTAAATTTCAAAATGAAAATGGAATTATCACATCATGACAACTTTGACAGATACTATATACAACGTGACAAATACAAATACATGGACCGATGTCGTTCAGAACTCCTATGCTTGTTGTGGTCCGACTACGGTGGTCCAGACCTGCCGCTGAACGTAGCCTGGGACTTCGTATCTCTTATCAGATGACAACGAAAATGACGTTTCGATATTATAGTAGGTGACATACGAAATGGAAAATAGAGCAATAGAACAGAACAAAAGTGCTTTTATAGTGAATTGATAAAAATTCAAGGAATGTTTCAAGGTGCACATTTTTCCGAATGAATTTATCATACAGACACAGAGGATGATCTGTGTAGGAGCTATGATAGAGCGTCATAATTTTTTCTTCAATATGCCAATAACGAACGGGGGAGAAAAATGTTGACAACATAAATATGGACTTGGCAACAATTCTTCAAATGGGGATCCAATACCATTCAAGACATCCATCTCGATGCTTGGTATTACTATCAGCAATAACCTCTCGTGGGAAAATCACGTGAGATCAATTGCTAAAAGTGCATCCCAAAAACTTGGTTTTCTGTTTCGAGCCAGGAGCTATCTCACTTCCAGTACGCTGCTTATAATCTATAAGGCACAGATCCGACCTGTCCTGGAATAAAGTTCTCATATTTGGAGTGCAGCACCCAAACATACCCTGAAACTGCGTTGGATACTGTCCAAAAAAGAACAATTCGTCTCGTGGGTGATGCCTCGCTCACCAACTCACTCACTTTTCTGGAACACCGTAGAAAAGTTGGCGATCTGGCTCTATTTTATAGATATTTTCATGGACGATGCTCTTCTGAAATACCAAAATTGTTCCTCCCTTGGCAGTCCCCGCGAGATTAACCCGTCGAGTTGAGGCTTCGCACCCCTTCGTGGTCACTTTTTGGTGCAGACCATCTCTTTCCAAATACTTGTTCATCCAACGAACAGCGAGACTCTGGAACACATTGCCAAGGGAGGTGTTCCCCGAGGCATATAACCTCCAGAAATTTAAGAAGAACACCAATTCCTACCTTATTTCCCTTGGTTCTCACGATGTTCTCTGAACATTACAAAAAAGTTCCTTCATGTATACAGGCTGATTCACGGTGGATGGCACATTAGACGTTTCTGGTGAACCAGACAACGGATCATTTTGAAAATTCAATGGAGGGCATATTCGGACATTCTCTAGCCAACTAAAATATTTTCGACAATGCGGTGTTGCCGCTTCTATTAGAAAGCAGTAGCAACTTTGATTTTTCAAATGGAACACTCTGTATTTTATTGCATTTTTAGATTCTCCCTGAAGAGCTGATTTCATCGATTCATCACACTTAGGGTCTAGCGGAAATGATTACAGAGATATAGGGTGTGAAAAATCGACATTTTTCAACTTTAGGATTTTTTTGTGTCGAAACTATTCATCATTGATCAAAACGGCTTACATGTCCCTATCTCAACTTTTGATTAACTATCTACTGATATTTAATTGGGACATATAACAGGTGATCAAGATTCTGAATTCTGCACCACCCTGTATTTGTTTCAATTAAATGTTAGTAGATAGTTGATCAGAAGTTGAGATAGGGACATGTGAGCCGTTTTGACCAATAATGAATAGTTTCGACAAAAAAAATTCCTAAAGTTGAAAAATGTCGATTTTTCACACCCTATATCTCTGTAATCATTTCCGCTAGACCCCAAGTGTGATACATCGATGAAATCTGCTCTTCAGGAAGAATCTAAAAATGCAATAAAATACAAAGTGTTCCATTCGAAAAATCAAAGTTGCTACTGCTTTCTAATAGAAGCGGCAACACCGCATTGTCGAAAATATTTTAGTTGGCTAGAGAATGTCTGAATATTCCCTCCATTGAATTTTCAAAATGATCCGTTGTTTGGTTCACAAGAAACGTCTAATGTGCCATCCACCGTGAATCAGCCTGTAGATGATATTAATGCGAGTATTAATGTCTACATCCGAGAACCAAGAATTTAAATTCACCCTGTATTGTGGATGTATGATCCACAACAATCAGTCACCTGAGTCACCTTGCTGTACCTATATAATCTACACACTACGACTAATCCTTGTTTTGACTTACTGTCACAAATGTGAAAATGTCAATAACCGTTAAACTCCCAACCGAAACGTCTCAAAGCAAAACAACGTTTTCGCTTAGTCAGAAAATTCTTTTAGCTATCTGTGGGGTCATCGCTACGTTCAGTTGTGATGGAAAATGTAAAGCAATGCAGCGAAGGTGAAATTTATCGAACCTTCGAAAAATCAGCAAAAGGTGAGTGAATTTTGAGGTAAATACTCATTTAAGTCAATGAACGCCCAATTGGGGGGTGTAGAGGACATGAAAGAGGACAGTTTTTTTGAGACTATACAGGGTGAGTCTTGAGGAACTGTACATACTCCTACCACGAATAGAGGCCCCTGAGGGAATACCGAATGTCCATCAGAAAGTGTCTTCTACACTCCTTTTCCAATATATATATAGGGTGAATTAGAATTAGAAACATCTTTTGGTCATAACTTTCCAACAGCTTCTTCGATTTGTCTGATTTTTTCATGGAATATTCAGCTACTACTCTCTTATCGACTGACTTATTCAGAATTGGGAAAATCCAGGACAGTTCTTGAACAATTTTGATAGTTTAGTTTATAGCAAAAAGTTCATCTTGTATATCGTTTTTGTGAACTGTGGCAGGGAATTTTCAAGGGTTACAAACATCAAAAATGAAATATTTAAAACTTTCACTGCAGTTTGAAAAAAAATTAAATTTTATGAAAAAACGAAGGCAAACAATTTATTTATTTGGAAATTAATACTTCGCAACCCATAAATTTCACGAATAAAAGTGAGACTTGCATTTTCAATGCTTCAGCTCAATGGAAATCAACATATTATTTTATTTTCAGGCCTGGATCTATAGTGATTCATTTTTTTGTGGAGGATAATAATCACCCTGTAGATCTTTTTCGAATCAGTGGATGAGGTATATGTGAAAATGTTGATGGCCATCGCTATAGATTATCTTATGATTTCAATTCAAAGTGTAATCTATTCGATTTGTTTTATTTAGCTAATTTGGTCACTTATTTTCCGTTTATAGCTTCTGAAAAATAATTGTGAATAAACCTTCCTTTTCTGTTCGACTATCTTGAATTATTTGAATCGATGACCATTAACATCTACAGGGTGTTCCTCAATGATATGCGATTTCTCGACCCATTTCAAGAATAAAACTTCATATGAACATATGTCGTAAACGTCCTAACTTTTGAGATACAGGGTGTCAATGTTGAAAATATGCATAGATTATTTTTTGTCCACCCTGTATAGCTTTTCGTGATGGCAACATTCAGTCTGCTATGTGACTGAATCGGTATACGAATTTCAAAATATTACATACGGTGGTTATCCAGTAATGGATGTCCTGAATGGAGTATTCAAACATCAAAATTTGAAGTCTCGTCTCGTTTTTCCGTTTTTTCTCGAAAACGAAGCGTTCTATCGAGTATCAACAGGGGGATATTTTTTGTACATAATCAAATAGCCTTCTATAGCATTGTATGAAATTTGAAAATTTTCTTCGTTGCTCACTTTTAAGTAAAATATAAACAATAATTTTCCTGCAACGGTGCCACTGGTAGGGAAAATGAAAATCTTCGTACATCAGAAAATGCACCTTGATGCATAAAAGACGTGTACCAAATTTCATACAGATGTATACAATATTGTCTTAGTTATCATCAAAAAACTGAATATTTTTCAAAACTTCATCACCATGTATCTCAAGACTTTTAGGACATACGTTCATACGAAGTTTTCTTCTTAAAATGAGTCAGAGAATTTTTCTTGCATTATAGGGAATCCTTTTCGTGCGTTCCAATAAGCGACGCAAAAAATTTCCGTTCAAAAGAATGCAAGCGGATTATTTGATTTTTCTTCTTGGATTCTTTATTTTGATGAGTACTGTGAACTATTATGAAGTTTGACAGATAAAAACTGAAACACCTTGTATTGGATATATTGAGTATTCCTGGTTTTGATCAAATTCGTTCTGTTTTGTCACAGAAAAAGGAGTCAAGAGGTTAGACGAAGAGTTCCTTAGGCGATTCTTGATTGGCCACCAATATGATATCATCACATCACTAAAGGCAGTAAGTACACGTCAAAATATTGTTTTTCTCCAATCGGCATAAAAAGTGGCTTTTCTTTTTTCTCTGCCTGGGCAGGAAAAAATTGTTGCAACGCAACGTTCCAAGTCATTTGAATAGGAATTGTAATCAAATTTGAAACTGACATTGGGTGAACACAAAATGATGGGGTCTTCAATAAAAAAATTACACAAAATTAGTTTTTCTGCAACTGACACAAAAGTCACCCATTTTGATATCAAAATTAGCTCTTGAATTGACGTTGCTATTACTGACACAAACATAGGCAACACTTTCAGTTCCTAGGTGCTAAAGTTGAACTTTAGCTCCTAGGAACTAAAAAGGATATACTAGGTCATAGAATAATAGTAGATTGTTTTACTAGGAACAAAAGTGACACTTTGTTTGGTAAGCGAATTTTGCATTTGCGAGGCGGAGCGTTTAACGAAGCCGAGCAAAAGCAAAATTTGCGAGTAAAACAAAGTTTTACGCCTCCGAAAGGATGCCGCTTACTTTTGAATCACCCTGTATATCACTCACGGATTTTGATATGTAGGTACGGAATTTCGAGAGTTTCGTTGATCGAAGACGTTCCAGATGGTTGAAATTGGATAGAAACAACCTGGAGAAAATCCTGCTAGATCAAATTGTGGATGTTTCGGACAAGAATGGCTTGCAGGGACAGAAAGTTGTCTGGATAAGGTTGGAGAAATGGGACCCACAAGTTTTCACCGCGGATGAACTATTAGAGGTATTCCAACATTGATTGAAGAGTTAATTGAAAAAAATCATCTTCTATACAAATTCATGAGTTGACTCTTAATCTGAAAAATTCCTCATTCATGAATACTTAGATCAAAAATTAAGATATTATATCACAAAGAGAGAGAAACTCAAGGTCATTACCACGAAAGTTTATAAAATGAACGAAAATGGTAGATAACGAGAGAAAAACAACTGATTTCTAGTAGTTTTTCTCTCGTTATCTACCATTTTCATTCATTTCATGAACTTTTGTGGTAATGACTTTGAGTGTCTCTCTCTTTATGACCATTGCATTCCACTTTGTGTATTTGGCTTCTTCCTATATAGTCAGTTTCCTTAACAAGTGTTTTTTTTTGTGTCCCGTGTGCAGTTTGATGATTAAGTATTGCGGGTGATTTTATCTCTTCAAGTACTCATTGGAAAACACGAAATGCGATGGTGGAGGTCTCAGATACGCGACTGACCAATATGGCGGCCATTCCAAGATGGCTGATGCCAAACTACATATTAAAAACAGCCATTTCTCGGCCATTTTTCAAACGATTTTGGAAGTTTTTCATTTCGTTTGTAGACCTTTACGAGCGCTATCTTTTAGGTGGTCACACATTTCACGCTAAATACAACAACTTTTGAGTTATGGTGAAAAAAAAACGATTTTTGAAGGAACTGCCTACTTCAGGGAACCAAAGCATTACTGCTTAAATCAACTAAGGTGGTGACTATCTTCCAAAAAACAAGTTGAAGGTGCTAGTCTGCCCCCAACTTTAGCTTCATTTCGTCCTGCAGTCCGAAGAGCGCATTTGCAGGCAATGATTTGGAGTACTGGTACTGGTACTGGTGGGGGACGTTTCCACGTCAGCAACTAGTCCCCAATGGGACCTTTTTGCCAACCCCAAGTGTTTTCAATGACTGATGTGGTTCGCTCAAGAGAGCTGGCTAACATCCTTTTCAGGCACCGCCCATCAGCTCTCTTTTCAGAGTTTTTCAGCTGTGTTTTGTAGGCTAGTAATGTACTTACTACCATATGCGCAGTGGCAGGCCTGCTAACTATCATCGTTAACCCCCGAGACCGAGGTCTACTTAAGCAGCTGGCCCGCTCTCACGCTCAGCTGGTAATTTTCCACACCCACCTACATACACGTAGGCTAGTAATGTACTCACTACCATATGCGCAGTGGAGTGTATATGGAGTAAATCAGATGTTGCAACACCTGACCTACCATGTCCATCAGAATGTGGTTGGAAGTTAGAGAACGGTGAATTTGTTGAATGTGGACCACCAGGACTTCTATTGACGAATGGACTTCCATGTACAGAGATGTGCAATTGTTCTGGAAATGAACAAAACTGTGACAATGTTCCCAATGAGGTCTGTGAACCGTTGGATGAAAACGACGATAAAAATGACACTGACAATGAGTAACCAATCACCCTCGAATCTCTTCACTGATGAACAATTCAATTCTTATCTGTTGTTTTCAATTTAACTTGTAGAACCCGCTGGTAGTGATTTTGAGCTGCAAATATTGTATTTTATTATCAGTGACTACTACTAGTTTCTTTCCATGACAATAGACCAAATAATCAGTTTTTCGTTCAAAAATCGTTTGTTTTCACCATAACTTAAAAGTTGTTGTATTTAGCGTGAAATGTGTTACCACCTAAAAGATAGCGCACGTAAAGGTCTACAAACGAAATGAAAAAATTTCAAAATCGGTTGAAAAATGGCCGAGATATGGCTGGTTTTAATATGTAGTTTGGCAGCCATCTTGGAATGGCCGCCATATTGGCCAGTCGCGTATCTGAGACCTCCACCATCGCATTTCGTGTTCTCCAATGAGTACTTGAAAGAGATAAAACTACCCGCAATACTTAATCATATTGCACACGGGAGATGTCTTAAGAATTAAAGCATGCTTCATTAAGACCAATTTACAAAAGTGGAGATACTCAAGATCCAGAAAATTATAGACCAATCGCCTTATTGAGCATTTTTTCCAAAATTGTTGAGAAGATTCTTAAAAAACGCATTGTAGATTTCATAAATAGAAAATATAGCTTTGACATAAATCAATTTGGTTTCCAAGAAAATAGTGGCACACAAGCGGCAATATTACAAGTAATACAAGCAATACAAAAAGGACTTGATACCGGAAATTATGTGATAGCAATTTTTGTTGATCTCAAGAAAGCTTTCGATACAGTAGACCACATAACACTTTTGGAAAATTTAGAATCAATGGGACTCAGAGGCATGATAAGGAACCTTTTAGATTCGTATCTTCAAAATAGGACAATCAGTACCAAATCTACCAACTCAGAGTCTCATAGACTACCGATGACTAAAGGTGTCCCTCAAGGATCTGTTTTAGGACCAATTTTATATTTATTATATATTCAAAATATCACGAAAATTGATACAGAATGTAATTACACTATTTATGCAGACGATACGGTACTTTTATATGAAAATAAAAATCCTATCATTTTAGAAAATATAATAAACAGAGACTTGATGAAATTTGAAAATTGGCTGCATTCAAACCTCTTATCAATAAATACTGATAAAACTGAATATATGATTTTTCAACAAAAAAATAAACAAAATATAAATTTAAATCTCAGAATTAAAAATGAATCTTTGAAACAAACTAATGAGAAAAAGTATCTTGGGATTTGGTTTGATGATAAATTGAAGTGGGACAAACATATAAATGTTTTGAAGAAAAAAATATCTCCTATTATTGGAGCCCTGAGAAGATGTCCCAAGCTGAATAAAAAAGTTGCAAATATAATTCTATATTCTCATATACTCAGTCGTATTAACTATTTGATAAATGTTTGGGGATACTGTTCAAAAAACAATTTTAATAAAATATCTGCATTATATAAAAAGACATTGAAAGTACTGTATCGTTTACCATATGATACACCAACAAATCAATTATATAAAATAACTGAATCATTCTCATTAGAAGAAATGTTCAAAATCGAAAGACTGAAAATTACATACAATATCATAAATAAAAGATTGAAATCTAATTTTATTTTAACACGAAACAATGAAATTCATAATTATCAAACTAGACAACATGGTTTATTTCATCTTGATATCGCTAATACTTCTATAGGCCAAAAAAGATTCACCCACGCTGCTCTCTTGGAATATAACAAATTACCAGATAATATAAAAAATTGCAGAAATACAATAAAATTCAAATACCATCTTAAAAAATTTATCATTTCTGAACGAAATAGATGACTTACTTTTGATTCATATTGAAATTGATTTTTACTCAGCAATATGAAATGATTTGTCAAAATTTAATAATTAATGTTTTCAAATATTTTATTGTTCATCAGTTTATTATAATTGTATAGTTTTAGGTATTATTGTTAACTATACTTCCTTATACCAGAACTTGATTCTGACTGGAAGTAACATTTTCAATAAATAAATAAAAAATAAATAAATAAATAAATAAAAATAAAATAAACTGACTACTAGTTGAAGATATTATTTGTATGGCAAAAAGTGACATTTCGTGCACTAAAATTTTCATGCTCTTCAGTACAATTTCTAGGGAGAGATCATTAGAGATTAATCATCAGGTCTGTCTCTAAGATATTCAGGGTGTTATTAACGAATGTGGCCAAACTTCAAGGGGTGATTATTTGGGTGGTTCTAAGACGAGAAGTTCACATAAACATAGGTCCAGAATTGCTTCGTTTTCAAGATACAGGGTGTCAATGTTTCAATGAAAAATCGTTTTTTTTTTCAACTACTCAAAATGTTCTCCAATTTTAATGAAACTTGATGATTCTGTTAGCAGTATCGAAAAACTCCTTTCGATGTTATTACATTCAGAATTATGATTCCAGTGGCGTCGCAGTGGGTTAACTTTTCGATATTTATGGTAAATAAGGTACCTACGTCATAGTTTTTCCATTAAGTTCGATATTTTCATCAGATCAAACAATTGAAAATACAACTTTCTTGTTCTCTATTGGATTATTGTATATCAATCAATTTCTGAAAAAATTAGGAGGAATTGATATGATTCCAAATTTTCAGGAAAGGGCCCTCAAAACACCATTTGGGTTCACCCAATAACCTCAATAAAGTATTATTCTGAAATGTTTAGACTTTTTCAGTCACCAACCAGACTAATTGCTGCCATCATGAAAGCTTATACAGGGTAATCATGAAAAATAACAATCAATACTTCCAACTCCAACACCCTGTATCTTGAAAACAAAGCATTTCGGGACCTATGTTTATATGAACTTTTCGTCTCAAAATCACCCAGATGATCGCCCTTTGTGATTTGTTACATACTTAAATAACACCCTGTATTTTGATTTTATTCAACACGTCGATAGGTTTCAGGTCTGCTGTGCGAACTGGTCTATGCGAAATCAAAGGAAATCGAGTGTATAGATGTTATCGTTGATCTGCACAATTTTTCGCTGAGACATTTATACGGATTGTCCCCGAAATTTGCGAAACGAATGGTTTTCTTCATTTCGGTAAGAACATTTTGAACGAATTGATTGTTGAGAGATATTTTTCTTGTGACATAGAATTTTGTTAGTCCGTACTGGAAGTTGGAATTCTGAAAATCACATATTTTGAAGGGATTCTTCTATAACTCGGTAGCTATATACAGAAGATACAAAAAAGTGAAATCACCGAAATTTGTCCACCCTGTACCTGTATTTATTTTCTAGCAATGCCTTCCTATGAGATTATCACATGTCTACGTAGTCAGACAACCAAAAATATTTCACCTTGTATACTCGCTGTTCAAGCCATTCATTGAAGAAAAGACAAGAAACTTGGTAAGAAACTAAATTTGAAATTTTCGAGATAATTTTGAAAATATATCAGTCATCGACTAGAGTGAATTTTGCAACTAATTATAAAAGGTCATACAGTGGATCCTAAAAAACAATTTCGAAAATACTTTCTTGTACTTGCAGTGTGGGTACAATGTTAAGAATTTGTGTATATATCACTTTAGAAGCATGATACAGATATTGAAAATAGAGTACCTTAATGGAGTCAATGAAACTTGTTTTCAATATTATACAAGGTGTTTTCGAAATAAGTGCACATATTCAGCACATTAATATGATATAGTCTAAGGTCTAAGGAATATTCCCATCATATAAGATTGTTTTTAAATCTTCTAATCAACGAGAAATTTCACCCCAAAAATTGAACTAAATACGAGAAAAAAATCAAGTAAGCCACTTTAAAACAATTTAAATGATTGCATCCTGCGTGATTGTGCCTACCGCATGGAAATTTGAACAGAGGTGACGTCAGATTTGCTACAGTGTAGATCTTTGGTTGGAAAAAGGGGTCTAACCTCAAATTTTATTTTGATCCCTAATTTCTTTCTTATTAGTGCCATTCGATAGTACACGTCGAACTTTCTCAGTCTTTGAAATATTTCACTTATTTCAATGCCACCCTGTATATCTACTGATATATTAGAGATAACGAAACACATTTTTTATGAAATAGGATAATAATTAGACTTTTACTACAGTTGATCTTGAAATCCTATTGAATTTCAAGAATTAACAGAAAGATTCTTGTCACCTGGCAAAACATTTCGAATTTTCTTTTTAGATAACTGTTTGTGGATATGACTATGATGTAATGTTTGCTACAATTGGTCCAGATATCCTGCCCTCAGAAATAGGAGGCACTAGTACCGATTTGGTTCCTAGTAGATGGTTGAAGATTTTATACAACAAGAGAGTTCAAAAAGGTAAAACAGTTGAGCAAAATACAGTTTTATACATATAGCTTCAATATAATTTTGATGTATGTACAGGGTATCCCAATTTGGGCACTTTTGCGGGGTATCTCCCTTATCAGTAAAGATAGAGCATTGCGGTTTTCGCGACAGTGTGCTACTTTTTTATGAAATTAATAATGACGCAAGCAGAATTGTGATAGCTCTTCCGGTTGTCGAGATACAGGGTGGAATTGAAAAATATCACTTTTCAGGCACCCTCCGTGTCTCAGTTATCTTTGAACTTATCGAAGAAGTTAAAACTTGTTTTTATAGAGTTTTTCTCGTAGAATCCAGTGGCGTAGTTATTTTTTTGCTAGCACCTTTTGTTTTTTAGTTATGGAGCAAACATATGTTTTTTTAAATGGAACACCCTGTATATTATTTCATATATACATTGAGCATGAAGTGGGCTTTCCAAAAATATATAATTGTATACAATTATTTTCCATTTAAAAAAACATATGTTTGCTCCATAACTAAAAAACAAAAGGTGCTAGCAAAAAAATAACTACGCCACTTGAGTCTACGAGAAAAACTCTACAAAAACAAGTTTTAACTTCTTCGATAAGTTCAAAGATAACTGAGACACGGGGGGTGATATTTTTCAATTCCACCCTGTATCTAGACAACCGGAAGAGCTACCACAATTCTGCTTGCGCCATTATTAATTTCATAAAAAAGTAGCACACTGTCGCGAAAACCGCAATGCTCTATCTTTACTGATAAGGGAGATACCCCGCAAAAGTGCCCAAATTGGGATACCCTGTACAGCACATTATATTTGCATATTCTTCTTTAGTTTCCAATTTAGTTATCGTATCGTAATTTTGTTTGTTCTGAGGAACTGCTTGGTTTTTAGAATCCCGATTTGATTGTTATTTTTTTGAAATGACCCGGCCGTTACTTGATGGAAATCCATGGCAAATGTAAAAACTCCACAAACGATGAGATTTCCACAAAATTCTCAAACACACATGTTTCGCTAACACAGTAGCTTCGTCAGGTGATATGAATGAACTTAACTAACGTTGGCTTGCTTAACTTTTATATATCCTACTTTCCCAACCTGAAGGATTAGTTAGTTACCAGTGGACAGGTTCGATATACCTTCATTGTCGGAAATTAGGCACAATAATTGAACTTTCACCTATTATGGATCATCGACTGAAAAATTAGCTACATTTTCTACATAAACAAGACTTAAAAGTAGCATATAGAACATATACAGAGTGGGCCTTTGAAAACGAAACAGAGGCTCTGTAGGTCGCCAAAACCGGATAATCAAAAAAAACTGAAACAGGTCAACTACATTTTCGAGGGGGACATCTTTCTAAAATAATTTCAGCCTTGCGGCGTTGCCGCTTCTAAAGAAAAGAAGCAACAACTTTGTTATTTCAAATGGAACACCTTGTATTTTATTGCATTTTTAGATTCTCCCCGAAGAGCTGATTTCATCAATGCATCACACTTATAGGGTCTAGCTGTAATCGTTTCAGGGATATAAAGTTTTCAAAATCGAGATTTTTCAACTTTAACATTTTTTTGTGTCGAAACTATTCATTATTGGTCAAAACGGCTCTCATGTCCCGATCTCAACTTGTGATTTACTATCTACTGACATTTATTTGAAACAAATGCAGTGTGGTTCAAGATTCAGAATTCTGATCACCCTGTAACTGTTCCAATTAAATGTCAGTAGATAGTAAATCACAAGTTGAGATAGGGACATGGGAGCCGTTTCGACCAATAATGAATAGTTTCGACACAAAAAAATGTCAAAGTTGAAAAATCTCGATTTTGAACACTTTATATCCCTGAAACCATTATATACAGCTAGACCCCAAGTGTGATGCATTGATGAAATCAGCTCTTCGGGGAGAATCTAAAAATAGAATGAAATACAAGGTGTTCCATTTGAAATAACAAGGTTGTTGCTTCTTTTCGTTAGCAGCGGCAACGCCGCAGGGCTGAAAATATTGTAGGACGATGTCCCCCTCGAAAACGTAGATGACGTGTTTCAGATTCTTTTCATAATCCGGTTTTGGCGACCTATATACAGAGCCTCTGTTTCGTTTTCAAAGGCCCACTCTGTATAACACGTTGGGAAGGTTCAACAAGAATAATAAAGACAACACTTCTAAATTCCAAAAATCAGGGATATACAAACTCAACTCTGTGGATCTTGTCCTAAGGTATATATCGGTCAGACAGGTCGTACGTTCATTCAGCGCATTCATGAACATAAGATGCATTTTTTGAAAAAGAAAACAAATTCAGCATACGCCAACCATATATTAGAAGAAAACCATAGTTTTGATGATAATCTCGAAATTCTACACGTAGAAAATGAAGGAATGAAACTCAATCATTTTGAATCATTAGAAATCAGTAAACTCAAAAATTTACTTAACGATCAATTAGACCTTAATGGTTCACCACTGTTGAATTTGTTTTGTTAGTAAGTAATAATATGTATTTGATATCAACCCTTTCAAGTTAATCCGGTATACCGTATTTTAATGTAGATATTGTGCCTAATTCCCGAAAATGGAGGTTTATCGGGCCTGTCCACAGGTAACTAATCCTTCAGATTGGAAAAGTAGGATATATCGTCGTCAATTTCACAAAGTGACGTAACTCAGTTTATCTGATTTTTCAGGAGAGCCGTTTGAAGTTTTATGCAATCTTCAGGTGATTACAAAATGATGATGAAGATATCTAATCAGGATGATCTTTGGTATACATAGAGTATGGACTCTCTCTACCTGACTGTTCATGGAAACAGTAAAAAAAAATTGAGTGACGTTGAGATTTTGAAAAAAACATGAGTTACGACCATTTGTGAGACTAGATAATCCTATTGTATAACCACTTACGTCCGATAAAGGTTTTGTCAAAAATGTATTCCATTGGTTTAAAAAAAACTAATGAATGAAAAAACATGTTCTATTGACCCTAAAGAAATAAACAATACACCAGGTCACAAAATACAAAATAAAAATATTTTTTTCATAATAAATACAAAGGATATTATAGAAATAAACAATACACCAGGTCACAAAATCCAGAATAAGAATATTTTTTCCATAATAAATACAAAGAATATTATATAATTCTTGGAACATGGAATACCCTCAAAGAAAGATTGCCTCTGTGGAATGTATAATATAACTAATACATCTTCAATGTGGAAGAAATCTGAAAAATAATTGGTGTTCTTGCAACCTGACAACTGGAGTATTCCCAGTGCAAAGAGATTGCAGATCGGAGTATTTTTCTTCTGATATTTTATTAACTTGTGCATTGAGCTTTTTACTTCGATCTCCTTCTTTCTCATGTCCATCAACTTGATGATGTTCAGGTTGAATACTTATTCTCGTGTTAGATAATTTTGGAATTATCGGTGTTCTTTTCATTGGATTTTTATGATAATCACAATCGGGATTAGTGATAAAATGGTCATAACATAATAGAATCGAACAACGATGGCACGAACTGAACACTTCAATCCCACATCTATGATATTCGCATCTTGCAATGTATGGTGGATCGTCATCTGAATCATAAAATTCATTCTCACTGAATTGATTGCTAGTCGTGTCCTCTTCCACTAGTTCTACTTGGTTTTCCAATGTTCTTTTAGATTGAGCTAAGGGTAAGTTGTCATCTGATGAAAATGCTTCTTGTTGCTGAAGCATTCTAATTTTGATTTGAGACAACGGCACGTCCTCTGAGGAATCCGAATTCTCATCACTGATTACATCATATTCGGTCTGAATTACCTTTCCACAGTACCATACATTATCGTAAAACATATTCACTTGAGCTCCGATCTTGAGGGTACCTCGAAACATGAGTTCATTCGATGAAACAACATTTTTTGTGCCATCTTTCCATAATACAAGCACATCCATCGTAATTCTTATAATTATAATCCACCCCTGACTGCGTGCTCGAACGTCTTTACTGCAACTGATGGCATTAGACTATTGGAAATTGATGAAATACAGTGTAATCTGCAAGTCTCAACAAGTCTCAACATGCAGATACGCCAGACCTGGAATAGGCGAATTCTCATAACATACTCTCACAAACTGACGTTACTCCAGATACGTCCCTATGTGAGAATATAAAATTGAACATTTTGAGATATGCCACTTACTGAATGTGCTATTGAAGGAAAAATACACCACATTGGGTTACGCCACTTTGTGAGAAGATAGTTCTACGAAAAATAAATGGTTTCGTGGTCTTATCTCAAAATCGGCAATTTTTGAGTTACGTCACTTTGTAAGATTGACGACGATATAAGCAAGCCAATGTTAGTTTAGTTCATCGTACCAGATTATCACCTGACGAAGCTACTGTGTTAGCGAAACATGTCGTGTGTTTGAGAATTTTGTGGAAATCTTATCGTTTGTGAAGTTTTTACATTGATTGTTATTTCAACATTAGAACAAACTTGTGAAAATACGGTGATGAATTGGCCAATATAAATAATAACATTCCTATTATTTTCAGATCTACAAATTTCTGGATATGAGTTTTATTGATGGCATCGAGATGCATGGAAATATCTTGAAAAAATAACTTCCCGGAAATATTCACAGGCACTCAAATCACGATGTTTTATACACTTATAATGAAGCAATTATATATTATTGTGAAACATTATAGATCAGCTAAAAGCATTAGATTAATTGTATTGTTTTGTTTTCGATTAAATGAGCACTATGATGGGTACAAGAGAATAATTAATCATCTTATCACCAATATTTTTTAAAAACATTGACAGCGTGCTACCGGTTTCAAAAAAAGTAAGAACATCACCTATTTCATTTGTTCATATTGAATCATGCATGGTGCATATAGTATCAGAAGTAATATCGAAGTATTTCCGTTCTCATACTCTTGTTGAGTCAACAAAATATTCGTCAATAGTTATTTACCTAACAGGTGCGGAAAGTAATACTTTTCCGCATGCGACGGCCGTCAAGGGTGGAAGAGACATTTTTCTACTACTGCTATGAAAAGTAGCGCATTTCTCATAGCTTACTAAGTTTCAAAACCATGTATTGCCCATACTGTGAGAAATATTTTTTCTCACGGCACTTTGCCAACACCACATACATTTCCATGGAGAATCAACAAAAACCGACCAAAACTTGGCTGCTGTTCAGCTTTGAATAGTTGTCACAACTGTCAGAAAAAGTTCTTGAAATTCTTTAGGGTAGTTCTCATTAGTGCTTTCGATAGAAATCGCATTTTCCATCGAATATTGTTCCAACAATTCATAATAAATAATATGATGTATATACCGAGATGTGACGATTTTGATAAATACACCGCCAGAGACAGAGATAATGGAAAAAGCTGCGAAAGTTGGATTTGTTTCCGGAAATTTTAAGAAACAAGTATGAAATGGCATATTGGTACGAAAAATTTATGGAATCTAAAAAAATACAGAAATGAAATCTTCTTCGGAAAGTATACTTTTTTGAAATACTTTGGAGAACTAGGAAAGGCGTCTACTCTTTGGTCACAATATTCAATGTGGCATAGTGCCACATTATAAAATGAATACCAATAAGTTACATTAGTCGGATTCTTTGGAAAGTGCAGTTGTAGAAAAAGTATAGTGTGCAACATGTGGGGAAAAGCACTTTTCCCACTTGTTGCACAATATACTATTTCCTTAAGAGTTAGGTACAATGTTTTTTCCTACGAGTGTTTTTGTCCATATTATTTATGAAAAAAAAAGGTTTTTAATGAACAAGATTTTATAATGATGCTACAAAATGACACATATATAAGACAGAATAGTTACATAGATCATTTAGTTACTCCTAAATATCCTCATTTTCAACAAAACAATGATTGTGCGAGAAAGTAATTTTTCAGCACTTTGTGCGATGAAGTGACTTTTCCGTACAATTTTATCTTAAACTCCAAACTTTACATTGTAGACCAATTAAAAGCCAGTATTTGGTATCGTTACCATAGCAACTCAACAAATTTCCGGAATTCTTTTCCTCCTTGGAGAAAGGAGCATGAAATTACACTGGAAATTTTTTGACGTTCATAGGTAAAATGACATTTACATTCAACTTCAGGTCATGTCGAATTCATTCTATCAGGTCATGTCGGATTCATTCTATAAGTTCCTTGCAAAATAATATATACATATACATATACAGAAAAAAATACTATACCTATATAAACTAATAATTTTTTATTTTTAGTAATATGCTATGATGCATGTATATTCAAATTGGATATTTGTCAGGAAGTAGTATTTTTATAGAAAATGCACAATAAAGTGTAAATGAGCAAAAAAAAATCAACCAACGAATTCTTTTTCGTTTCGAAAGGATTTCATGTGCTTCCTGAATTGCATATTTTTTCTGATTGATAGATCAACTCGATGTTACGCCACTGCAACCCTTATATCAGAGTAAAATATAAATTGCAAAAACTGCGTGAGACGATTGTTTTCATACTATCGATAGGTCCCGAGATATTCATTTGATCACAAAAAACTTCCAATAAGATTCGTTGAGATTTCTCGGTTTTCATACTTATCCAAAAAAAATCACTATTCCCAGACCCAAAAGGAGAAAAGTGTGTGAGAACAGTGGCAAAATGCCTGATTTGTCAGATGGAGAACGAAGCTACGACGAGAAAAAAGAAGCTGTGGCCAAATTGAGAAACCTCATGAAGGGTGAGTAAGAAAAATGTCATTACCATTTTTTATATTAATTGTTCTTGATAAATAATATCCATTTATCTGAGTATTTCCAAAAAAAACTAAACAGGGTGTTTCAATTAAAGGTGATGAGGCATCTATAAAATCATCATCAATATCTTTATTGTTCCCAAGAAGCAATTTACAAATATGTTTATGCCTAACAGGGAACATAAGTACAAATGCAACACCCTGTATAATAATATTTTTCTTCAGTAGTTTCAATCTCCAAAATCACAGATTACTACGTGTTTTAGTGAACGAAAAATTGAACAACCTAAAAAGCGACGATGCATATTTGGAGAGATTCCTTTACGCAAAGAATTTTGACGTTAATGAAGCATACAACACTGTAAGTTGTACAATAACAATAAACTACATACAAATTCTGCAACCAATAACTATTTTAGTTTTCTCGGAACTAATACTTTTTTAGATGAAAATGTTTTACGAACTTCTGGAAGAGTGTCCAGAGTGGTTTTCCCTAGGATCTCCGGCAGACCAGAGAGAATTAATCGAAAAAAATATTCGAATACTAACCAATGGACACGACAAGGAAGGAAGGATTATCTACATAGTAAAAATAGGTAGGAACGTGGATTCTTGGAACAAAAAAGTTGAATCATGATAAAAGAAAGAAAATAACAAACACCCTGTATAGAGTGTTTATTATGTACTAGCACAAACTTCAAATGGCGAATCTTTGAAAAATTCAAAGATAAAAAGCCTTCATGCCTGATGGTTTCTTAGATTCAAAATAATCGATTCATTTAACTTTTTTGTCGCTCGACGACGCTTACAACACAAAATAGTAGTTCACCTAACAAGTGCGGAAAAGTCACTTTACGCACGTGTTAGGTACACTATTTTTTCTACTAACGTGCGGAAAAAACCCAAGTGTTAACATGAAGAAACATTTATTATTAAATACTTTTATGAAGATAAATTTCGTCAGGTGCTTCATTTATAAACTGGAATATTTCTTTTTTTCTATTTTGTTTTTTATATATGCCGCGTGACCTCGAAAAACTTGTTCAAATCGAGTTTTTTTTTTTAGTTTGATTACACTTTTTAACATTGAGTACCTGGACCAAAGAGTGTTTGGCTTGCATGTTTTGGAAATTTCAGCGAAATAAGCCAAAAAAACGTCTTCTTTGAAACCTTTGATTCCCTTATTCTGATTCTGATGGTAGTAGATCCAAGTTTGCAGTTCTAGCCGCTTCAAAAACTGAGCGCGGAAAAAACTTTTTTCCGCACTCAGTGCAGAAAAGTGACTCTTTCAACACTGAAATGAGTGCGGAAAAGTGAACTTTTCCGCACGCTAGTAGAAAAAACTCATACCAGCAATATGAAAAATAATATGAAATTTTCAAAGGCAACATGAACCCATCCAAAATGAACCTGCTGGATATCATAGCAGTGGACGACTACTGCTTGGAAACCACCCTCATTTCCGACCATACCGTTTGCCAAAAGGGCCTGTGCGTTATCGTCGACATTGCCGATTTCTCGTTGAACCTCATGCGTTGGCTCACCCCGACCAACATCCAGATCAGCCTGAGAAGGATATTTTCCATGCCCATAAAGGACTACAGGTTCCACGTGGTGAATAACGCGTTTTTCGTAAACGTCGCCATCAAGTTCATGTGGCCCTTTTTGCCGCAACACGTCAAAGATTCGGTAAGGTTCGATAAATAATGTTCACAACTCGCACGAAAGTGAAATTTTGTTAGAAAATTCAAATTACGAATTGGCTACGTAGCAATTTTTATGAGGTTAGAAATTGAAGAGTTGGTATTTTTGAGAGGTACGCCAAAAAGTTCTCGAAATCAAGACATCAGTGGCGTACCCGAATTTGAACAATAATTATGGGAAAATTGAAGGTGGTCGAAAAATTAAGTTCATGTGGCCCTTTTTTTCCGCAACATGTTGAAGATTCGGTAAGTTTGGACCTTATTGTATGAGGAAAATACATGAAATAATGTTCACAATTCACACAAAAGTAAAATATTGTTATGAAATTGAGTTTTTTGTCGCAACAAGTCAAAGTTTTTGTAGGTTTGATCCTTTAGTAAGGAGAATACATGAAATATTGTTCACAAGAAAGTAAAATATTGTTAGAAAATAGAAATTTTTGCCGCAACAAGTCGAAGATTCGGTAGGTTTGGTTTTCTTGTGAGGAAAATACATGGAATATGGTTCACAACTCACACAAAAGTGAAATATTGTTATGAAATTGAAATTTTTGCCGCAACAAGTAAAAGATTCGGTAATTTTCGGGCCTTTTGTGAAGAAAATATTGTTCACAACTCGCACAAAAGTGAAATATTCTTAAAAAAAATTGAATTTTTGCCACAACAAGTCGAAGATTCGTTCTTTCGTGAGGAAAATACATGAAATATTGTTCACTACTCGCACAAAAGTGATATATTGGTAGACAATTGAAATTACGAATTCATACTATGTAGCAATTTTGATGAGGGGGTTAGGAATTGAAGAGTCTACATTTTTGCGACGTACGCCAAACAATTTTCGAAATTGAGACTTCAGTAGCGTACATGAATTTGAACAATAAAAAATCGGAGAATTGAAGAATGTCGAAGAACTGAGAATGAGAATTTCGAAATATTTCCACAAGTTCCACGTGATGAATAACGCGTTTTTCGTGAACGTTCATGTGGCCCTTTTTGCCGCAACACGTCAAAGACTCAACAAGGTTCGATAAATAATGTTCACAACTCGCAGGACAGTGAAATTTTGTTAGCTTACTAAGACTCTTCGCGTAGTCATTTTGTTTACAGTATGAAGTGTCTAAGTAAAGCTATTTGAACAAGTTTTTCACGAAATTCTTATAAGTGTCAATATCCCCAGGACTATTAATATTTTACTGAGGTCATATTCCGATATTCCGGTCGAGAGCTGGACTATCATCCCTCCAAAGGATACACCTGTATATGCTCAATGGGTGTGACAGCGCAATATCGAAACATCTTTCTCTATCACACTCATTGAGCATATGGAAATTTTGAACGCCAATATCTTCGTAATCGTTCGATATAACCCTACCAAACCTGATATCGTTGAAATCGTTATAACAATCCCTAACCAATTATTCAATAGTATACGGAGTGGGGCCATTTCCGGTGGCGACATGGAGGAGATTAATTATTGACAGTTGACAACTTTTTTTTTTAGTCAAAATTCCATTTCAATGATCGGAACTCCCTCTACGATTACATAGACAGGGAAGTTCTACCGGAAGAGTACGGAGGTGAAAACCATATAGACTACGAGAAGTGTCAAAGCATCGTGTATGAAAGCCAAGCCGAAATAATTGAGAGCTTCAGGAACAACAGGATATGCTTTTTGGATAGTGTACTATCAGATAAAAATAAAAACAAGAGATTCATCTGATATTCGGATCAGCAACATTTTATTTACATCTTCAACCATCATATCATCCCCAAAGTCAATGCAACAAATAAATACCCACTTGATTATTAAAATCAGCATCGGGTACTAGGGTGTCCCAAGTTATCGTATACAGGCAATATCTCGCTCATTTGACAAGATAATTGAAAAATTCAAAAACTGCATTGAATGGCATTGATGTACCTTCCTCATGACACATAAAAAAATCTATTGAATTTGACAGTTCTCTGACAGCTATCCTTCACTTTTTATTTCCAAATGGCACTTCCTGTACATGATCATTGAAAATTGTGTGCCATCCTATAAGGAATACAACAATAACATATATAGTTGGTATTTTTTATTATTATAACAAAAACAGCAACATTCAATGATGTATGAATTTCAACTGAAAAAAAAAGAACTCAAAATAACAGCAATTTTTCAAAATTATCATGACATGAGAAGCATCGGCTTCTTGAAACAAAAAAACATGATTTTCATAAGGATAATTGAGTTACTTCAAACAAGTCACAAAATGTTGATATTTTTGTTACTTATCAATAAAAAATACCAGGTATATGCTATCGTTGTATTCCGAATTGAGTGACACGTAATTTACAATGAAAATATACAGGGGGTGCCATTTGAAAATAAAATGTGGGGGGTAGCTGCCAGAGAACTGTCAAATATAATGAATTCTTTTATATATCTTTTGAAAGGTACTGCCATTCAATGAAGTTTTTGAATTTTTCAACTAGGTATCTTGTCAGATAAGCGAGATATTGCCTGTATACGATAACTTGAGACACCCGGTATAGATCCATCAATCACTTCTTGAATGTGAATTTCGAATACGTACCTAATCAAAACCCATCAACAAGACTTCACATGATGGGTAATGAGTATGAGTTCTCTATACCGGGTGTTTCAAATTCAATCCTCAGCATTGGGAGCTATAAGAGATACGAAGATAGATTAAATTGGAAGTTGCGCATTCACCTAACTACCAATATGCCGTTTAGAAAGTTTCAAACTTCCAAGTATGTCCGGTGATATCCGGAAAAACCCGAAATGATGGATTATTGTAGGATTTCAAAGGTGCACTTTTGCATTGCTATTTTTTCTCTACTACATGATGGTGCTTTCAGATTTGCTAACTGATGTTTTTTCTCTCGGATTTTTTCTGTTTTGAATAGATAGATAGATAGATAGATAGATTTATTCTTCCGTGAAATTTACATTTTTGGAAACGTCAAGTAAAACATGTGGGTAAAAAATGTAGATAAAACAAGACATACAGAAAATACGGGTTAAAAGTATATGTTATTTGTTATTCCCTTTTCAATGGTGTATCACAAGTTGCCATCATTTCTGAAATAATCGGAGATATTTGAAAAAAAAACAAATTATCATAGAAGGCTTTGAGTTTGATGTTTCACATTCAATCTGTCACACTTAATGACATTCGGTTTTTTTTGTATGTCACTATATTTTTGGCGGAAATGGCTCTCACTTTGGGGTCTAGCGAGAATGATTACAGAGATATAGGGTGTTCAAGAGATTTTTCAACTTCTGGATTTTTTTTTGTGTCGAAACTATTCATTATTGGTCAAAACGGCTTACATGTCCCTATCTTTTGATTTACTATCAACTGGCATTCAATTGGAACATATACAGGCTGATCAGAATTCTTGAATCTTGAACCACCCTGTATTCGTTCCAATTAAATGCCAGTAGATAGTAAATCAAAAGTGAAGAAAGGGATATACAAGCCGGTTTGACCAATAATGAATAGTTTTGACACAAAAAATCCTAAAGTTGAGAAATCTCGATTTTGAACACTCTTTATCTATGTTATCATTCGCCGACACCCCTATAGATATGAAAATAATTTTAGATTAGAACACACTATCGACTCACTCGTATATGAGAAAACTGATAGTGGAATGAAATACAGGGTGTCCTAATAAAAAAAATCATCTAGTACCTTGTAGATCGTTTGTTCCGAGCACCCTGTATTTTCGTAGGTAGCGGAAAAATGTATGAACATTCATTTCAAAAGCTATTCCAATTCATTTGAAACCTGTTCATAAATAACGAAGCTAGAGGGAGGGAAATTTATGGAGAATCACCCGCAGTTTAATTGGAATAGATACAGGGTGATCAGAATTCTGAATCTTGAAGCACCCTGTATTTTTTCAAATTAATTTCCTCTGTATCGATGAAAATATTTCAGACGCGTTGAGAATGTTCAATTATCAAAGCATCCCAATTTTCAGAATGTTCTGTCTTTTCGTTCTCCAGATACTTCTAATAGGCCATCCACCGTGGATCACCCTGTATATTAAATTCACGTATTAGTGTTCTTGTCTACTACTAGAGGAGAATTGAGATAAGTACCTATTCTTTATGAATCACTAAGCATGAAAGGGAAAATATGAGTCAGTATTCTCTATCAGTGAAAAAAATTGGTTCAATTGCACAAATGAAATAAAAGTGAAGCATCTGAGAGTAGAGTACTTAATTCCACTTATGTTGGTAAGAATTCCGTGCAAATTAATGTGGTTTCCACTAGGGGTGGGCGATAATGATTTTGAAATATCGATTATCGATAATCATAATCTATCGATATTATCGATTTATCGATATTATCGATAATTATCGATATTATCGATATTATCGATAATTATCGATATTATCGATATTATCGATAATTATCGATATTATCGATATTATCGATAATTATCGATATTATCGATATTATCGATATTATCGATATTATCGATATTATCGATATCATCGATATTATCGATATTATCGATATTATCGATATTATCGATATTATCGATATTATCGATATTATCGATATTATCGATATTATCGATATTATCGATATTATCGATATTATCGATATTATCGATATTATCGATATTATCGATGTTATCGATATTATCGATGTTATCGATATTATCGAGATTATCGATATTATCGAGATTATCGATATTATCGATAATTTTTCTACAAATTATTATCGATAATTATCGATATATCGATAATTTTTCCCACTTCTAGTCGTGAAAAGGGTATCTTTATAAAACTAATTTTTTATATTTACTTTCTGGTTTCTACGTAGGTATAATAAACAAAGCCATTTTGTCATTATGTTATTTTTCAAGGAATGAGCAATCGAATGATGATATAAAAATATTCCATATAATTAGATAACCCACCTTACTTGATACTTGTTACTCGTTCAACACATAACTAACCAATAAGTTTGCCACCACAACTAATAAGGGTTGCCACGTTGCCAGATGTCAGATAGCTTCATGCAAGTTGCTGTGCTGGAGTCCTACGTTGTTTGAACAGGGCTGATGTACAGGGTGGCGTGTCTTATTATATTCTTCATTCTTACTTCAATTCTTACCAACAAGTATCTGTTTTATTCAGGGTGTTCCATATAAGAAACAAAAATACCTATTTTTCTGATGCTCATTCATTTTGATAATTTTTATATCATTGGTTATATCGGTATTTCCGATAATTTTGATATCATCGACATTATTGATCATTTCGATAATATCGATAATATCGAAAATATCGAAAATATCGAAAATATCGATAATATCGATAATATCGATAATATCGATAATATCGATAATATCGATAATATCGATAATATCGATAATATCGATAATATCGATAATATCGATAATATCGATAATATCGATAATATCGATAATATCGATAATATCGATAATATCGATAATATCGATAATATCGAAGATATCGATAATATCGATAATTATCGATAATTATCGATAATTATCGATAATATCGATAATATCGATAATATCGATAAATCGATAATTTTTCTCCAAATTATTATCGATAATTATCGATAATTATCGATAATTATCGATATATCGATAATTTTTCCCACCCCTAGTTTCCACACCCAAATGCATCACCAACTCCATTGCGGTGTAAAATCTGAATAACGCTTGAATCAAGACAACCAGTCGGTCCGGTCAGCCTTGGCCATGGAATCAAATGGCCAAGCATCATACTGAATTTCTGTAGGTTTAGGATGTACGGTATAACATAAACGCATAATAACAGTAGCCACCTTGTAATTTCCTAAGGCAAGGTCAATTCGAATTCGATTGTATTTGGAAATGACTACATTTTTTCAATTCACTGCGACATAACAACATCACAAGACCAGGTGATTTTTTTTTTGTAGTGGACCACCTCTACAAGTCCACAGTGTTTTTGATCGATTATTTATAGTGAAATATCGAGTGGACACCATCATAAAAAATGCCGGTTGAACGAACAGAGCCCACTTCACCTTTAACGGATGAACAACAAAAGGATTGTATTCTTAGACTGAGACAGATGCTGAAAAGTAAGTAGGTAAAAGAACTGACTTGAATATGTGATAAAAAAGAACATATTTCTCATTATTCCAGATTTTTTTGAGATTTTTCCTCCTCGTCTGTAAAATAAAAATATGAATACTATTTCGATATGCGTGTACTGTATAGTGAGGACAAATCAGATGATTTGCCCCTATCAGAGAGCCTAAAAGGAAAATTCAATGACAATTTGTATTGAAAAGGTTTCGGGGAAGAGAAATAAAGTAGTGATTCACACGAGACCAACGAGACAAGACTTTCATAAAGTCTCGTCTCGTCTCGTCGATGAAATATGAAGTCTTGTCTCGAGTCTCGTCTCGCAGCCTTGAGTCTCGTCTTGTCTCGCGTCTCGTACGAGAGTCTCGCAAATGTATCGCAATTTCGTCATGCATTATCTTGTTCCAGTCTATAGCACCGGATATTTACCTTTACCTACTTTCAAGGTATAATGTAGAAGTAGGAAGAGACAATTACAAAAATAGACATTTATTATACAAGGAAAAAAAGTTGTAGATTTCAGCTCCAGGTTGTGGACGCCGAGGTGGACGCATAGAGGAGGGAGACAAAAAACCGTGAGCTAAAATCTAATATTTTTCCCGTGTATAATACACAATTTTTTTCTGTGACAGAAGAAAGGACGAATCAATATTGAGAAGATATTACATTATTTTGAAATCTGAAATTTATCGACGTGAAATTTTGAGTTTTTAACAGTAGGGACACCTGCGTTGTAGGCATCTTCATCATTTTTTTGAAGTAATCAAATATCTGATGTGATTTTCTGTCACTCTAATTCTGTCATTTGATTTCAAAAAATTGCGAATTCAGTAGTTGTTTAGTAATATACGTAACCGCGAAGTCGAATGGAAGATAAAAGAACTTGCAGTTCTTTCTCAGAGACGGTATTATTGACTCATTTTTTGGAACTGTAGCACAACAAAAGCCGAGACAAAAGCAATCGACAGTGAATATATATTATGTGATATATATCCGGGGAAAAATTACTCACTTTTTTCCCACGGGAAAAAAGTAATTTATGAAAAGTGACATTTTATAACCTGCCAACAGAGATGAAATGCCAAACTTTTTTCCCGTCACAGAAAAAAAATAACATTATTTATTGAAAAGTAAGTACCTAATAGGTACATTTTCACATCAGACATCTGAACAAGAAGGAGAAAACATAGCATTATTATATATTCGAAAGTTATGAAAATAAAATGTTTTGTCCATCTGTGCTTAACAGTGTGACGTCTTTCTAAATATGTTTTATTATGAATGAAATTCTCAAGTCTGCAGGCGGCCCGCAGAAATATTTACCTGCGAGACTCCCGCACGAGACCATAGACGAGACCAATAAAAGTCTCGTCTCGTCTAGTCCGAGTCTCGTCTCGAGTCTTGTCTCGAAAACGAGACAAGACCATGCGAGACTCTCGAAAACGAGACTCTCGCGGGCACCACTAAAATAAAGGTATATAGAAAAAATATCAATTTTTCACTTATCTTTGGACGTTTCGGGAACGAATCTGCTCTAGTTTTCAACATAAAAAATGGATTTTTTGTATGGCAAATTCGAATTTGTCTTGACACTTGTCAGTTCTCAGTGACAATTGGTGACATTTGTATAATCAAATGAGTTACAGGATGTTTTCATTATTGATTGAATTTACCATTTTCAGATTTCAGTGAATACCATGTTCTATCTATATCAACTGAACAGGAAGCAATGCTATTGTCTCCGTTCAGAAGAATACAAGCAGATTCCTTGATTTTTCTCTTCTGGTTGTTATCTTCTTTTCCAATGATTTTAATATTTATCCACTCTGCCGTTTGTTGTCCATATTCAGTAAAGGATATGTTCAGCTAGTTTCGATTTGTCGATGTGTCTTTTCTTTATATTGTATTTATGTTCCTTACGAGGGGCATATACCTAAATGTGTGTATCTAGATCTATGCGAGGAGAGAACATCCCAAAAAAATCTGGGAGAATGAATGTAGCACGTCCTCGATTAACCTACATACAGTATATTTTTTCAACCAGCTGTGGCAATATTTATTTTATGTTCGTCTGTAGAATCAAATAAAAAATTACAAAAATGAGGAAGTTCACTATATCCAAATTTGTAGTTCTCCTTAGAGTTGATGAAAAATCATCGTATACGTGTGTGTATTCTTATTTTTTTTCATTGGCTCATGTTTCACTTCAGAAAAAAAATCGAAGAATTAGTTGTGGTTCCTTCACTATTTTGCGGACATCTTTGGTGAACTGCCATGTTTAAACAGACCTAGAACGTGATTTTGCTAACGGGACTGAAATGTTGCCGTTTCCACTCGAATGATTGGGACATTCACAAATTCTGTATTCAATAAAACGATACACTATTATTGTAATACCTATATACTGGCTATTATATATAGAATAGTATTTTTTCTAATCTTGATTTCCTGATTCCTGAAATATTATTGAAGGTCAGCAACATTGCAGAAGTCATTGATAATTCCGATCCTTTTGACCTCGCCGATAAAAAAGCACTGGGTCGGCTGTCAAGCTCCGTTTATAAATTTACAAAATTTCCAGCTAAACTTCGATACCTTCCGAAATATTTTTTTCACCAAAATGTTCATTTCTGTTTGTTTTTTCGTCTCATTATATAACCACTTTATTTTTCGCTACAATTGTACTGAAATTGTAATTTGATTGGAACCAGCTATTTCAATATCAAGTCAAATAATATGATATAAGTATCTACTTTCATACATAACAATGACACCCTTATTTGAAGCATTTTCAGATGAAAAACATTTGAAAAACATCTGCACACAAGATTCCTATTTGAAACGATATCTATATGGGACACATTTCAATGTAGAGGAAGCGTTCAAAAAGGTAATAAAACTAATAATTCATATATTCAAAAAATTTTACCAAGTTGCCAATTACTATAGTTTTACTCATATAAACCGAGATAAATGTTAATTTAAACCCTATTTTAGGTAAGTTAGACCACATTTATTACTCAAAGGTCGAAGTTGTAGAATATGTAACCTAAATAACTTGTTTAATCAATTCTTGATTCTCAAAATGTTCCTTGAGCCTCGTCTTAATATCTCTCCAAGTTTGTCCTACTTTTGTCTGCTATAATTATGATAAAGAATGTTTCAGATGGTGGCTGGGATAGAACTCCTAGTAGAACATCCTGATTGGTACAAAAAAGAAGGTCCCAAAGATCAAGAACTTTTAGATTTAGATGTCCGAGTGGTACTCCCAGATTGTGATAAGGAGGGTAGACCTATCTACGTTATAAAATCAGGTGGGTGAGTCAAAAAAACTTTGTTCCACGGGCTGCTTCATCAAAAGACAATCTGGAAGAATATAAACAAATGTTTGAAGATCCAAACATTTGTTTGAACCTATCATGAGGAAATTCAAGTAACACATAATGCTACGTAATAAAATGTTCTTCATGTTAGGCACATCAAGAAATTTGAAAATAGATATTTTCTTACTATTCTTACTATTTTCCACCTAAAAGTTGCAACTTTTGGCCTATTTTACAACTATGCAATATCGGGTCATCCTTTATATAATGAAAACGAATGCATTACTTACAAGAGAAAAAATATTTCAGGAGAGGGCATAATGATGGAAAAATATAATAGTAAGTTTGAACAAATCAGAGGTTTAATATTTAGTTATTCATCACTATAATATAAAAATCAATTCTACTCTACCAGTCATGTACAGGGTGGGCAAAATTGGGCGTTTTCACCGTATATCTCAATAACTAGAGGAGTTATCGAAAAACCGATAAACATGTTCCGGGTTCGATTTTGGAGAAACCTCGAATGGTACAATCAAAATTTCGATATCTTCATTCGTTTTAGAGATACAGGGGGAAATTGAAAATTTGCCGATTTCGATTTTATTTTCTGACTACTTTACGGTGAGAGGTATCGAAAAATTTCAAACGTATATTTATACAGTATGATGCGTGGAATCCATTGGCATCATCAGAAATTTCATAAAGGGTGACGTTGAGAAAATTCGGCAACCAATTATGTTTTTTCTAATGGAACACCCCGTATATTTTGGCACAGTTGAATAGTCCCAGGCGTTCTCATTACAAATATATCTATAACCCTACCTTTTCCTTCCACAGTTTCACATATATTCGCAAAAATATATTCAGTGTGTCACATTTCTTATGGTTACACCCCTGTATCTTCTGTAAGAATAATTGATGGAAACATTAACAATCATAATATTTTGTGGCAGAATGCCTGAATATGATACTTCACCCATTATTTCTAGTATGCCTTAATATTTTTGCGGTCTAAGAGATAATAAATAAGATATATATTTGAAATTGAAACGGGAACTTTCCAGCTCTGCCAAAATATACGGGGTGTTCCATAAAAAAAATTGTTCTGTATCTGGAATTTGGACATCTTCTATAAGGCTATATTTTTCAACGCAACCTACTGATTTCCTAATTGAGTAAATTATTGGTCTTATTTCTGTATCTCAAATGTCTTGATAACAATGATATCAAATCGAATAATTTCCCATTTTATTTCTCACCAAATATCCATTTATCTGGAAATTACATTCCCTATGATAATTTATTTTCCACACTTGATGAATATATACAGAGTGTCATTTTCAACCTCGATTCTGCCTGTTGATAGCATTATCCAGAAATATCGATGATTCCATAGCTGCTGGCGAGCAGTGTTATCATTGGAGATGATCCCACTTGGTCCATGACTCCGTGAGTGTATCATTTGTATCTTCCTGACAGTTGCGAATTTTTGAATCCTACCTCAATTATTTTTACAGAAGATACGGGGGTGTAACCATAAGAAATGTGACACACTGAATATATTTTTGCGAATATATCTGAAATTGTGGAAGGAAAAGGTAGGGTTATATATATATATTTGTAATGAGAACGCCTGGGACTATTCAACTGTGCCAAAATATACGGGGTGTTCCATTAGAAAAAACATAATTGGCTGCCGTATCTTTTCAACGTCACCCTGTATAAAATTTCTGATGATGCCAATGGATTTCACGCATCATACTGTATGAATATACGTTCGAAATTTTTTGATACCTCTCACCGTGAAGTAGTCAGAAAATAAAATCGAAATCGGCAAATTTTCAATTTCCCCCTGTATCTCTAAAACGAATGAAGATATCGAAATTTTGATTGTGCCATTCGAGGTTTCTCCAAAATCGAACCCGGAACATGTATATCGGTTTTTCGATAACTCCTCTAGTTATTGAGATAGACGGTGGAAACGCCCAATTTTGCCCACCCTGTACATAATATATATTATTATATGTCGTACCTAATTGATGAATTGTCCATTTTTTTTCCAAGCTTTGATCAATAAACTCAGTTAAGCCTAATTACATAGTTGTCTATACTCAAGTTGTAGGATGATTATATAAAATGTATTTTTAATGAATGTTGATGAGCATTTTGTTTTTTTTTATAATCTGATATAACCCATTAGGTTTACTTATACCTATTGATGTCAATCGAAATTTCCGTTTTGTGGAACGGCGCAATATCGAAACTTCTATCTCGCTCACACTCATTGATCATATGGAAACTTCGAACGCACATATCGTAATCGTTTGAAATAACCCGATCAAACTGGTCTCATTAAATTCGTTATAATCTCTAATCAATTATTGAATACAATATAGGGTGTTCCATTTGTAAATCGAAAGTTGATGTGATTTCCAGGAAAACTGGAAGATGAAAAAACATTCCTAAAATGTGAGAACGTTCCCTCTAGTGAGCATATTCAATGATCCGAATTTCAGAAATATGACTAGAAAAACAAAGGATCGAGACACCATGAGTCTGTGTCACCCGGTATATGTATAGAGTCGGCTAACTTCGTTACGTATTCAGGATTTTTTGAATACCAATGTCTTATTTTATGTATATTTTATTTTCAGTTAATTCTTTATGATTGTTTGAATAATAATAGTAAAAATAAGGAAATTATCCATAACTTGACAACGCCGCAACCGATTTCGATTTTTTTCTCCAGCGATAAAAAGGCGAAAGATGTCGGAATGAATTTTTGTATAAAAATACAGGGTGTTCCATTTGAAAAATTCTGATGAATGTCATCTGAATCTTGCAAATTTCTAAATGCAAAATTGAGCACCCTGTTGAAGAACATGGCGCAAGATTACTGGATTGGTATACGTGGGACCTTGCTTCTACCGTATGCCAAAAATATTTTCAAAATTTGAATAAATGAATATACCATGCCCAATTCAACATGACTCTTCAATAATGGTAAAAATAGATTTATCAATTATAACTTGGCAACGCCGCAACCGATTTCAATTTTTTTTACAGCGATGTGAAGGCGAACCTCGGCAGAATTAATTCCGAATGAATAAAACTGGATGTTCCATTAAAAAAAACTCTTCTTCGAGTTGCCCCGCTTTTATAAAACACCCAGTAATATTTAAAATATTTTTGAAATGAGCAACTTTAGTAACTGAAAAAGTTTGTTTTCCAAAGTTTTTCTCTATAGATTATGGCTTTCGAGATATCGAAGAATTACGCACTAAATGGACACACTGTATATCTTGTACACACATAAATAAATTACCTCTCGTGTAAATTCTTAATCGAGAAATTTTCCACATTTTCAGAAAATATCGACGTTAACAAGGTGAGCATGTACGATGTCATAGCCCTAGACGACATTTGGCTGGAAGCCATTTTGAACGGCAACCCAAAATTAGCGGAAAAAGGTCTGTGCGTCATCATGGACATGCACAACACCCCGTGGAAAATCATGAAATGGCTGCGACCGGAAAACGTGAACATTTCCTCGAGGAAAACGGAAAGTTTGCCATTCAAAGACGTCAAAGTTCACATAGTCAACAACACTTTTTTCATGAATACGATCATCAAGATGGTGTGGCCTTTTTTGCCCGAAAAAATCAAGAAAATGGTAGGCTATTTCAACTTTTCCTTACCCAATTTGAGGTAAATTTAGAGCTAGATTCATTACTGATTTATTGATCTTCGATTTATACAAGAAATCACATACAGGGTTTTTCACGATAAGCGTTAATTAGACATTTCTGATATTATATGTATAAATTGACATGATCTACACGTCTAAAATATTTTAAACGATGCGGAAAACCTGTATATTATTGTATTTTTAGATTCCATCTGAAGAGCTGATTGTATCAATGCATCACACTTGGGGTCTAGCGGGAATGATTACAGAGAGATCAATCAATCAATCAATCAATCAATCAATCAATCAATCAAGCTACAGGACCATTATTTTTAATGATTTTAAGGAATAAATTATAATTATGGTTTATGAAGTATCTGCATTTTGTAGAAAAAGTTTTAATGTTTCTAATATTTATCAATTCTGTAGGCAGTAGATTAAACATCCTGGGGGTATGAAAAGCAGAAAATCGTTAGCTTATATATTTTGTAACAAAAGGAGTAGATACGTTGTTTTTTGATTTATTTCTAGTTGAATTTTCTAGTTGAATATGGATGAGATTTTGTCTTTTTTTTTTGCATGTAAATACAGTTTGTAAGGAAGTATAGTGATCTTACATTTAGGATGTCTTCATCATATAGTAAAGCAGTTGAATAAACTGATCCATTTTTTTTTATTTTTAGGTTATATTTCATTTCAACAGTTTTGATGTCCTGTACGATCACATTGACCAGAAAGTCCTTCCGTTAGAGTACGGTGGTTTCAAAAAAATTGTTTATGCTGACCTGTACAAGCAGCTTCGTGATAGGAATGACGAAATAATTGAAAGTTTCAACATGTACAGAAACGTTGAAAAATATTAAAAATTGTACTTACCATGTACTCAAAACTAGAATTAGAATTGTTATTCTACAAAATATTAAGTCATTATTTTATGAGTTGAGATTATGAGTTGAGATTATATAATATATTTTATAATGAAATTATATTATTGAAAATGTAGGTATCCCAATTTAGATCGAAAAAATATTGAATTTCATTAAGAGTTTTGCGAAATTAATGACGTAGGTACTTCAGCAGTAATAAAATGGAATGAACTGTGACTTTCCGAAAGAAAACAATCTTTAGAACCAAAATATGTTTGTAATAATTGAGGAAACTAGGAGGAGTAAGGAAATGAAAATAGGAAGAATTGGACCAAATAGAAAAAACACCTGGAACAGGGGAAACACGTTTGATAACCAATCAGAGAGCCACAAATTCAATTTATAACATTTATTATAATACATGTCGACATATAAAACAATATAAAAATCCAACATCAAAATAACGCCAATGGCATTAAAACTAGAGACACCACAATTGATAAATAATTCGATAGTAAAGATGATAATAAATGCACAAATTTGATCGTTTTCCCTTCAATCAAATTTCCCAATTTCGTTGAGCAATGAGTTAATACTTTTTCGCATTCCCAACAAAAAAATTAAACAACTAGAAAAACATAGATCCTACGACGATTAATTCTCCTGCATGTGAACGATAAACAAACATTCAGAGGAATCAAAAATATGATGAAATGTGTAGAAGTGACAATATTGAAAAATGTAATAAAAAAAAATTAAAACAGAGAAGGGATTTGAAAAAATGAATGCCAACCAATCACAACCAAGAAAATACAACATTGAACCAGCATAATCCCTTTAGAGTAGCTTTAGAATTATTGCATTATCCTATAGACTTATAAAATTACTTGGTACCTATATATACAAATTTCAACTGAAATTCCAACCAGCAATTCGTCAGATTATGAAAGGCAAGACAAAAAATACTGCATTGATTCTATATCTGATAAATATTGCATAACAAAACCAATAATTTTCCACAAAAATAAAGCTCGAGACATCACATCCCTACTAGAGTGACCATATTTTCCATAAATACTCTGAAATCTCTGGACATTTCTCGATGGCGAGAAATTATTGTTTTGGAAACCAGATAATGTGAAAAAATGTACATGGTAAAGTTTTTTCTAATCCCTTTAAAAAAAATTAGTTTCTAACTGCAGGCTCCTTTTGTCTAGCTCCACGGTCGTCATATCCATCGGCATCATCTGAAAATTAACCTTCAAATTTCACCATGTTACTGTATATTTCAGAAATATTCTCAAAAAACAACGTTCACATAATCTAAATCTAATTTTGAGTTCATTAGCATGAATTCAGTGAGAAGTGATAGAGGAGAATGGTAAATTTTCACACTAACAGTGAATTCCACTGGCATTTGGATTGATGAAAAGTCAACATAGGACAAGCATATTGGCATGCTCAAAGAAAAAATGTCTCCCATAGTTGGTGCCCTAAGAATATGTCCAGATTTTTGCAATTTTTACAATCTTCAGGAATTTTTGCGATTTTTTTCAATTTTCAGGAATTTTTGCAATTTCTGCCATTTTCAGGAATATTTGCAATTTCTGCAATTTTCAGGCATTTTTGCAATTCTCAGGAAATTTTGCAATTCTCAGGAAATTTTGCAATTTTTGCTATTTCTGCAATTTTCAGGCATTTTTGCGATTTGCAATTTTTGCAATTTTCAGGAATTTTTGCGATTTTTGCAATTTTCAGGAATTTTTGCAATTTTTACAATTTTTACAATTTTCATGAATTTTTGCAATTTTTCCAATATTCAGGAATTTTTGCAATTTTCAGGAATTTTTGCGATTTTTGCAATTTTGCAATTTTTGCAATTTTCAGGAATTTTTGCAATTCTCAGGAAATTTTGCAATTTTTGCTATTTCTGCAATTTTCAGGCATTTTTGCGATTTTGCAATTTCAGGAATTATTGCGATTTTTGCAATTTTCAGTGATTTTCAGGAATTTTTGCGATTTTTGCAATTTTTACAATCTTCAGGAATTTTTTGCGATTTCTGGAAATTGCAAAAATTCCTGATTTTTGCAATTTTCAGAAATTTTTGTAGTTTTCAGGAATTTTTGCAATTTTTGCTATTTCTGTAATTTTCAGGAATTTTCAGGAATTCTTGCAATTTTCAGGAAATTAGAAATTTTTACTTTTTTCCGGAATTTTTGCAATTTTTGCAATTTCCAGGCATTTTTGCGAATTTTGCAATTTTCAGGAATTTAGAAATTTTTACTTTTTTCCGGAATTTTTGCAATTTTTGCAATTTCCAGGCATTTTTGCGAATTTTGCAATTTTCAGGAATTATTAGAAATTTTTACTTTTTTTCCGGAATTTTTTCAAATTTGGAATTTTCAGGAATTTTTGCAAGTTTCGCAAAAATTCCTGAAGATTGTGAAAATTGCGAAAATCGCCAAAATTCCTGAAATTGCAAAAATCATGAAAATTCCTAAAAATTGAAAAAAACGCAGATGCCTGAAAATTGCAAAAAATCGCAAGAATGCCTGAAAATTGCAGAAATTGCAAATATTCCTGAAAATTGCAAAATTGCAAGAATTCCTGAAAATTGAAAAAATCCCAAAAATGCCTGAAAATTGCAGAAAAAAGCAAAAATTGCTAATTTCCTGAGAGTTGCAAAAATTCCTGAAAATTGCAAAAAATCGCAAAAATGTCTGAAAAATGCAGAAAAGCAAAAATTGCAAAATTTTTCCGAAAATTGCAAAAATTCCTGAAAATTGCATAAATCGCAAATATTCCTGAAAATTGCAAAAATTGCAAAAATTGCTGAAATATGAAAAAATCCCAAAAATGCCTGAAAATTGCAGAAAAAGCAAAAATTGCGAAATTTCCTGAGAATTGCAAAACTTCCTGAAAATTGCAAAAATCGCAAAAATGCCTGAAAATTGCAGAAAAAGCAAAAATTGCAAAATTTCCTGAAAATTCCTGAAAATTGCATAAATCGCAAAAATTCATGGAAATTGTAAAAAATTGCAAAAATTCCTGAAAATTCCTGAAAATTGCAGAAATTCCTGAAAATTAGAAAAATTCCTGAAAATTGCAAAAATTCCTGAAAATTGCAAAAATCGCAAGAATTCATGAAAATTGCAAAAATTCCTGAAAATTGCAAAAATTCCTGAAAATTGCAAAAATTCCTGAAAATTGAAAAAAAACGCAAAAATGCCTGAAAATTGCAGAAATAGCTAAAATTGCAAAAATTCCTGAAAATTGCAAAAAATCGCAAAAATTCCTGAAAATTGAAAAATCGCAAAAATGCCTGAAAATTGCAGAAATAGCAAGAATTGCAAAAATTCCTGAAAATTGAAAAAATCGCAAAAATGCCTGAAAATTGCAGAAATAGCAAAAATTGCAAAAATTCCTGAAAATTGAAAAATCGCAAAAATGCCTGAAAATTGCAGAAATAGCAAAAATTGCAAAATTTCCTGAAAATTGCAAATATCGCAAAAATTCCTGAAAATTGAAAACATTGCGAAAATCGCAAAAATTCCCTGAAAATTGCAAAAATCGCAAACATGCCTGAAAATTGCAAAAATTGCAAAAATGCCTGAAAATTGCAGAAATAGCAAAAATTGCAAAAATTCCTAAAAATTGAAAAAAATCGCAAAAATGCCTGAAAATTGCGAAAATTCCTGAAAATTGCAAAAAATCGCAAAAATGCCTGAAAATTGCAAAAATTGCAAAAATGCCTGAAAATCGCAAAAATCGCGAAAATGACTGAAAATTGCAAAAATCGCAAAAATGACTGAAAATTGCAAAATCGCAAAAATGAGAAAATTGCAAAAATCGCAAAAATGACTGAAAATTGCAAAAATCGCAAAAATTCCTGAAAATTGCAAAAATCGCAAAAATGACTGAAAATTGCAAAAATCGCAAAAATTCCTGAAAATGGCAAAAATTCCTGAAAATTGCAAAAATTGCAAAAATTCCTGAAAATTGCAAAAATCGCAAAAATGACTGAAAATTGCAAAAATCGCAAAAATGACTGAAAATTGCAAAAATCGCAAAAATTCCTGAAAATTGCAAAAATGACTGAAAATTGCAAAAATCGCAAAAATGACTGAAAATTGCAAAAATCGCAAAAATGACTGAAAATTGCAGAAAAAGCAAAAAATTGCTAAATTTCCTGAGAGTTGCAAAAATTCCTGAAAATTGCAAAAATCGCAAAAATGTCTGAAAAATGCAGAAAAAGCAAAAATTGCAAAATTTCCCCGAAAATTGCAAAAATTCCTGAAAATTGCATAAATCGCAAATATTCCTGAAAATTGCAAAAATTGCAGAAATTGCTGAAATATGAAAAAATCCCAAAAAATGCCTGAAAATTCATGGAAATTGTAAAAATTGCAAAAATTCCTGAAAATTCCTGAAAATTGCAGAAATTCCTGAAAATTAGAAAAATTCCTGAAAATTGCAAAAATTCCCTGAAAATTGCAAAAATCGCAAGAATTCATGAAAATTGCAAAAATTCCTGAAAATTGCAAAAATTCCTGAAAATTGAAAAAAACGCAAAAAATGCCTGAAAATTGCAGAAATAGCTAAAATTGCAAAAATTCCTGAAAATTGCAAAAATCGCAAAAATTCCTGAAAATTGAAAAAATCGCAAAAATGCCTGAAAATTGCAGAAAGAGCAAAAATTGCAAAAATTCCTGAAAATGGCAAAAATCGCAAAAATGTCTGAAAATTGCAGAAATAGCAAAAATTGCAAAAATTCCTGAAAATTGAAAAATCGCAAAAATGCCTGAAAATTGCAGAAATAGCATAAATTGCAAAATTTTCCTGAAAATTGCAAATATCGCAAAAAATTCCTGAAAATTGAAAACATTGCAAAAATTCCTGAAAATTGCAAAAATCGCAAACTGCCTGAAAATTGCAAAAATTGCAAAAATGCCTGAAAATTGCAGAAATAGCAAAAATTGCAAAAATTCCTAAAAATTGAAAAAAATCGCAAAAATGCCTGAAAATTGCGAAAATTCCTGAAAATTGCAAAAATCGCAAAAATGCCTGAAAATTGCAAAAATTGCAAAAATGCCTGAAAATCGCAAAAATCGCGAAAATGCCTGAAAATCGCAAAAATCGCGAAAATGACTGAAAATTGCAAAAATCGCAAAAATGACTGAAAATTGCAAAAATCGCAAAAATGAGAAAATTGCAAAAATCGCAAAAATTCCTGAAAATTGCAAAAATCGCAAAAATGACTGAAAATTGCAAAAATCGCAAAAATTCCTGAAAATTGCGAAAATCGCAAAAATTCCTGAAAATAGCAAAAATTCGTGAAAATTGCAGAAATCGCAAAAATGACTGAAAATTGCAAAAATCGCAAAAATGACTGAAAATTGCAAAAATCGTAAAAAGACTGAAAATTGCAAAAATCGCAAAAATTCCTGAAAATTTGCAAAAATCGCAAAAATTCCTGAAAATTGCAAAAATTCCTGAAAATTGCAAAAATCGCAAAAATTCCTGAAAATTGCAAAAATCGCAAAAATGACTGAAAATTGCAGAAATAGCAAAAATTGCAAAAATTCCTGAAAATTGCAAAAATCGCAAAAATGCCTGAAAATTGCAGAAATAGCAAAAATTGCAAAAATTCCTGAAAATTGAAAAAATCGCAAAAATTCATGAAAATTGTAAAAATTGCAAAAATCGCAAAAATTTCTGAAAATTGCAAAAATTCCTGAAAATTGCAAAAATTGCAAAAATTCCTGAAAATTGAAAAAATTGCAAAAATGCCTGAAAATTGCAGAAATAGCAAAAATTGCAAAATTTCCTGAGAATTGCAAAAATTCCTGAAAATTGCAAAAATCGCAAAAATCGCAAAAATGCCTGAAAATTGCAAAAATCGCAAAAATTCCTGAAAATTGCAAAAAATCGCAAAAAATTCCTGAAAATTGCAAAAATTGCTGAAATATAAAAAAATCGCAAAAATGCCTGACAATTGCAGAAATAGCAAAAATTGCAAAATTTCCTGAGAATTGCAAAAATTCCTGAAAATTGCAAAAATCGCAAAATCGCCTGAAAATTGCAAAATTTGCAAAAATGCCTGAAAATTGCAGAAATTGCAAATATTCCTGAAAATTGCAAAAATCGCAAAAATTCCTGAAAATTGCAGATTCCTGAAAATTCTTGATAATTGCAAAAATCGCAAAAATTCATGAAAATTGTAAAAATTGCGAAAATTCCTGAAAATTCCTGAAAATTGCAAAAATAGCAAAAATTGCAGAAATTCCTGAAAATTAGAAAAATTTCTGAAAATTGCAAAAATCGCAAAAAATTCCTGAGAATTGAATAAAAAACGCAGATGCCTGAAAATTGCAGAAATAGCAAAAATCGCAAAATTTCCTGAAAATTGCGAAAATCGCAAGAATTCCTGAAAATTGCAAAAATCGCAAAAATTCCTGAAAATTGCAAAAATCGCAAAAATGCCTGAAAATTGCAAAAATCGCAAAAATGCCTGAAAATTGCAGAAATTGCAAATATTCCTGAAAATTGCAAAAATTGCTAAAATTCCTGAAAATTGAAAAAATCGCAAAAATTCCTGAAGATTGTAAAAATTGCGAAAATCGCAAAAATTCCCTGAAAATTGTAAAAATCGCAAAAATGCCTGAAAATTGCAGAAATAACAAAAATTCCTGAAAATTGCAAAAGTTCCTGAAAATTGCAAAAATCGCAAAAATTCCTGGAAATTGCAAAAATTCCTGCAAATTGCAGAAATTGCAAATATTCCTGAAAATTGCAAAAATCGCAAAAATTCCTGGAAATTGAAAAAATTGCAAGAACCGCAAAAATTCCTGAAAATTTACAATAATTCCTGAAAATTCCTGAAAATTCAAAAATCGTTAAAATCCATGAAAATTGTAAAAAATTGCAAAATCGCAAAAATTCGTGAAAATTGCAAAAATTCCTGAAAATTCCTGGAAATTGCAGAAAAAGCAAAAATTGCAAAAATTGCAAAAATTCCTGAAAATTGGAAAAATTTCTGAAAATTGCAAATTTTCCTGAAAATTGCAGAAGTAGCCAAAATTGCAAAAATTACTGAAAATTAGAAAAAATTTCTGAAAATTGCCAAAATTTCTGAAAATTGCAAAAATCGCGAAAATTCCTAAAGATTGTAAAAATTGCAAAAATCGCAAAAATTCCTGAAAATTGCAAAAATCGCAAAAATTCCTCAAAATTGCAAAAATTGCAAAAGTTCCTGAAAATTGCAAAAATTACAAAAATTCCGGAAAAATGTAAAAATTTCTAAATTCCTGAAAATTGCAAAAATCGCAAAAATGCCTGAAAATTGCAGAAATTGCAAATATTCCTGAAAATTTCAAAAATTGCAAAAATTCTTGAAAATTCATAAAATCGCAAAAATGCCTGAAAATTGCAGCAGAAACCAAAAATTGCGAAATTTCCTGCGAATTGCAAAAATTCCTGAAAATTGCAAAAATCGCAAAAATTCCTGAAAATTGCAGAAATAGCAAAAATTGCGAAAATTCCTGAAAATTGCAAAAATTGCAGTAATTCCTGAAAATTGCAAAAATCGCAAAAATGCTTGAAAATTGCAAAAATCGCAAAAATGCCTGAAAATTGCAGAAATAGATCACAAGAACAGTGACAAGTTATTAAATCTGAATTTTGATGATGTCATTGACGCCTTTGCATCAAAAAAATCAATAAAAATATTGTAGTATTCATCTGAAAAAAAAATTTTTGTTTGTTGTTATGTATAACGTGTGAAGTAAATATAATTTGATTCGTTGGACATAATGATTTCATGTTATTGTTATATGCTGTAAAAAAAGCAGTGAAAGGATGATTTGAATTTTGAAACTGATAATTGGAATTTAATATTTGGCGGCGGCGCGGCGGAAAAGTAAAAGTTAGCCCCCGGCGTAAGGGAGTTTAAATCCGGCACTATTCCACGTATTCCCATTCCATCCATTTTCTGCAGTAAGAGATTGTGATCTTCTGTGACAAATGCACGGCTGAGATCATAAAAAAGCCAGTACTTACCATCTTCCTCGTTTTCTTCCAACTGCGCATCATTTTGCAAATCCTTGTAGTCGGCTTGGTCGTTGCCGAGCGTGTCGATATGTTTTTTTTCGATCGGAAGTGGAATGTTCACGTTCCTCATGTGATCATTATCGCCGAATACGAGGGCATCGTAACCGTTGTTTTGACCGAGGGGCGAATCGAAAACTTCATGGGCCGCATTTTCCGCGTCTTCTTTCACTATAGCAAAGATTTTGGAAAATATCCTAATTAATATCATTATCATTATACTGTGTGACCCACTTCAGATGGAAACACCCAGGGCCTACTCTAAACACCCCTGTATCAGAGATTTAATAGAGAGTTGAAGTGTTGTCATGAACGTTAACGTAAACGTAGAAATTGACAGCTACGCATGCGCATTTTCCAATTCTTCACGTTTGCGTTGTTAGTGGGCTTACGGGTGTACGTTATCTCAACTTCCTTCACGTATACCTTAAATATCAACGTACGTTAACCAAACGATACTCGAAATATGCCAATGAGTCAAAATTATCAAATTCGAGATCACCACCTAGTTCTGCATCAAGGAGTCCTATAATTTTGACAGAAATAAATGTTCGAATCTAAACACACAACCAAAAATGACTAATACAAACCGAAAACAAAATGTATTATTACGTTATGATGACAGTGACGACCAAAGTGGCGACTTCAACTCAATTTAACGACAATACGTAAACGTTATTTTTCGTACGTTAACGTCTACGTGGAGGTCTACGTACAGTGATTACTTCAACTCTCTAATCTCTGCCTGTATCTTACGTAATCGTTTGGCAAGGATCCTGAAATTTGCTAGAGCGAGAGATATACCAAAAATGCACTCTCTGACCAAGTGGGGTCATCTTCTGTGATATACACTGCTCGCCAACATCCATGGAACCACCCCAATTTCCGGAAAATGATATTAGGAGTCAAAATAGATCGAATATCACTTCAGATTCGGAATCAGGACGCCCAATTCACTAACTATTCATATTTTTCCTGGTAAATTTTCAGTTCTGAAAAATTGAATTTTGTCGCACTTTTTACGGAAGCATCTCCGTATCTTACGTAATTGACTTTATCTTTGGACTTTCCCTTACGTGAAATACGGGGGTGCTTCCATGAGAAGTGAGACAAAATTTAATTTTTCTGAACTGAAAATTTTCTGGGAAAACTATAAATAGTTAGTGAATTGGGCGCCCTGATTCCGAATCCGAATTGATTTTCAACCTATTTTGACTCCTGATATCATTTTCCGGAAATTGGGGTGGTTCCATGGCTGTTGGCGAGCAGTGTATATCACTGAAGATGACCCCACCTGGTGATAGAGTGCATTTTTGGTATATCTCTCGCTCCAGCAGATTTCAGGATCCTTACCCAACGATTACATAAGATACAGGGGTTTTTCCATTAGAAGTGAGTCACACTGTATTTGATTGATTCATTGATTGATTGCTTGATTGATTGTCTTTATTACCCCAAGAAACATACTTGTTTATAATAGGGATACATAAACAATATACATAATGTTATACATACAATTATAATAATATATAACAAGTAAAAAAAAATGCAAATAATCATGCAATATCAACTTTGTCTTTTATAAGTAGGTAGGTATTCAAATAAGAAATTGAATTATCAAAGTCCCTGAAGCAGATATTTTTTCAAGTTAATTTTGAATCTAGTTGCTTCCTGTATATTCCTCAATTGACTTGGTAATGAGTTGTATAGAACGATTCCTGTGTGAAAAATGGATTGTTTGCCGATATTTGACTTGAACGTATTTGCTATTAGTAAATTTGATTGTCTTGTTCCATGATTATGTAATGAATTGATTTCATTGAAATTTAAATTCGAAATTTTCAATTTATATAGGACAAATTGAAGGTGTCAGAAATCATAGACAAGAGTCGGGAATCAACTGCATTTATTATTCGCTTCTTTTCATGTTCCAAAACAACGTTGTTGTTTTCATACAAATAGTTTTTATGGATTCTGTATTATTAAGAGAGGTACAGGGTGATTCACCATAAATGTCCCCCCCTCTAGCTCAATTTTTGAACCGATTTGAAAAATTTGAAAAATCATCTAGAATGATTTTTCAGAAAATTTTTCCCGTTGCATCAGAAAATACAGGGTGCTCGGAACAAACGATCTACAGAGTACTACTTGGTTTTCTCAAATGGAACACCCTGTATTTCATTGTATTTTTAGATTCTCCCTGAAGAGCTGATTTCATCAATGCATCACACTTGAGGTCTAGCGGGAATGATTACAGAGATATAGGGTGTTCAAAATCGAGATTTTTCAACTTTAGGATTTTTTTGTGTTGAAACTATTCATTATTGGTCAATACGGCTTCAATGTCCCCATCTCAACTTTCGATTTACTATCTACTACTACTAACAAATACAGTGTGGTTCAAGATTCAGAATTCTGATCACCCTGTATCTGTTTCACTCATGGCAGGCAGGAAAAAGTCATGAATTTTGTTTTATTCAAATTTAGAGTCAACAAGTCAAAATCAAGATTGTTTTTCACTATTGGCATAGCTTTTTCAGTAAGTTGTTCTCATTACAGGAAAGTATAATGTATACCTACTCAATTTAAATCCATGTTTGTCTCAATTATTATTTCAGGTGAAAATATTTGTTCCAAACTAGGCTCCACATCTGTTTGGAAAACGAATTAACCAGGTATATCTTCAAGCTAATATTTGCAATGTCCATAAAAACAATAACAATTTCAGAGTGTTTTTCTACTTTATCTGCTTGAATAAATCAAAATCGGTTGATTGCAATGGTATGACTTGCAGATAAAATAACAATTTTTAATTCAGAAGGAAGTGAAAATGCTTTAAAAATAGTGATTTTGTAAATTCTTTAAAATCTTTCAACCTTTGTTGGTTAACAAACTTCACTAAAATATCTCATATTTGGATGAAATCATTATATCCCAAGAATATTAGGAGAAGAAAAGAAAGTAAAGGACTTTTAAAGGATTCTCAGACACTTCACATCCCAGGAATTTCAATAAATTTCAAGGAGCCCAACATTTTGAACAGTTTCAAAGATTTCCAGAAATTAAAGATTTCCAACTAATTCCAAAGGAATTTCTGAAATTCTATTCTATTTTTAATCTTAATGAATTCTAACAATAATTCACAAGTGATTTCAAAGAGGTCCAAAGAATTTAGATAAATGTTGAAAAATGCATTAAAAAAAATAATTCCTAGAAATTCCAAGGAATTCTGAGCAGTTTCATGAACTTTGGAATTCTGTCAAAATACATATATCCCAAAATTCCAAAGAATTCCTGAAATTGTAAGTCACAATGAAGCATTTTATTTTGTCCACACCATAATATATATTCCATTCTGAGAAATTCTATATATTTTCAAAAAATAAATTGCTAGAATAACCAGTATATTCAAAAGCTTTCAAAGAATCCCTAAAATACCAGATATTTAAAAGAGTTCCAAGGTTTGGAGATCTTGTTCTGAAAATAATTTTAATAAAATATCAACATTATATAGAAAATCATCAAAAGTACTGCATTATCTTCCATATGATATACCAACAACTGCTTTAACAATAACTTATTCTTTAGAAGAACTGTACAGATTAGAGACTCTGAAAATTTCATACAATATCATAAATAAAAAATTGAAATGTAATATTATTTTGACAAGAAATTTTGAAATTCATATTTATCAAAGTAGATAATATAACTTATTTCACCTTGATGCTGCTAGTTCTACACTGGGACAAAAAATTCACTCATGCAGCCTTATCTGAGTTCAATAAACTACCAGATAAAATTAAAAACTGCAGAAATATAGGTACATTTAAAAAGAAAGTAATAAAGATGATAATTTCTGAGAGAAATGTTTAAAATTTATCAGTAAATTATGTAGTTGACTAGAATTATTTTCTTTGTTCATTGTATTGTTTCATTTTATTGTGATTTATTGTGATAGCCTGATTCATTAAGATTTATTATTCATGTTCACTTCTACTCATGTTTGAGTAGTAGTTCATAGATATTCATTACTTATTATTTCATAATTATGGTCTTCCTCATACCAGAACTTCTTCTGACTGGAAGATATGTTTTATTAATAAATAAATAAAATTCACTCTAATTCATACCTTGTAAATGTCATAAATAATCGAATGTCCCTTTTTGGAAAAAGTTACAAGCATATAGTATTATCAGTGAACTCTACCTACTTGTTGATATCTATTTACCTGGTTTTGCAGCAACTTCCTTAACACTCTCCCTAGCACTCTGATACCTAGCATTCTCTACAGGCTGATCCTTCTCCTTAGTTTCTGGCATTGGGACAACCCCATCAGGCACTTTGAACACCACATCCCTAGGATCTGTCTCTGGGGTCACAGGGCCCTGCAGAGGCTTGGCAGCATTCAAATTGGCCTGAAAAAAAAATTGAATTTAATGATGTAACATTAGATTACAATCCCTTTTTTTTAGAAGAACAGGAATTATCTAAAAAGATGGGGAAAAAATGTACTAGAATTACCTGGGAAGGCTTTGAACCCATTTTGGTGGATGAGCTAGAAGATGGGGCTTTGAGGTTGTCCCCACTGGGAGCTGCCAGGACATTTTGGTTTTGGTCTACCTTGTCTGGGTTCAGATTGTTAGATTCTGGGAGGTTCTTGTTGATTTGATATACTTCTGAGCTCACAGGGGACATTTTATTGAAATTTCTGGAGGAGGATATTTCAACAGCTGCCTTAGGCTCAGGTAAAGTGTCCTGGCTGGAACATCTGGCCTGAAATAATACTAAACTGATGTGGTTTTGATGTATAATTAAATTTCTTACCTTCAAACTCTCAATTTCTCTAGTCAGTTCTCTGTTCTCTTTAGTCAGATGCTTGATATCACTTTCTTTTTCATTCTGATTGCCCAAATTGTCTTGTGCCTCTTTCTCAATACGTTCCTTCTCAATTTGTAGCTCAATAAACTGAGACTGAAACATTATTTCAACAATGAAATAAGCAGTAAATAACATTTGAAACATGTGATGAACTCACTTTCAGACCTTCTTTGGAAGCCTTGACTTTTTTCATCTCCTCTTTAAGCTCATTCAGTTTGGCTTCCAAATTATTGACAATTTCTTGCTGTGCTTTTTGATTCTTGCTTGATTCTTCTTTGAAATCGTCATATTCAGTCTGCAGTAAATTGAAATGTTGCTGCAAGGATGATAGTTTCATCTTTGAATCAGCAGAGTCCTTATCATTTTTATTTTTTTCATCCTTGAGTTGGTTTTCTAGAGAATTTTTAGTTTTTTGGTGCTCAGCTTTTTCAGTCTTCAGACTTTTTTCCAGGCGCTGTTTATATTCTGAGATAACTAAAAAATTCATAGGTATTCAGAAACATGTATTCCATTTTTTTATTTTATTTACCTTGCAATTGTGTAGACAAGTTTTCTTCTTGCTGGTGGCAGATATCATTGCCTTTTTTTACATCTTCTAGTTGTGAAAGGGTATTGTTGTAGCAGGCTATAATTCCTACTATCACTAAAATGGCACAAAGGTACAAGAATATTTTGGCCCTAGTGCCACGAATAACTCGGGAAGTAGTCATCACATGTAATTGAACGTTGAACGATTCACTTTCGCTCCTTTAGCAGAATTATAATTGATTATGAATTTCTCATTTCACTCATTCGCAACTGCACACTTTTTTAGTTTTTTGACAGCATTGCATTATTTTGATTTTTAAACGCAAAGATCAGAATGACAAGGACAAGAAATAACATAGAACAAATGACAATTGGCACTTGACATTTTGACAGGCACGAGCAAATGAACAGCCTATCTACATTCATTGTCTACAAAGGTCTACAAAACAAAACAAGATTGACAAATAATAATTATGAATTAGATAGTTATTTATGGTTTTACAAAGTATTTTTATTCAAGAGCGTGGTAATACAAATTTTATAGTTGATGTGACTTCAGAAAATGTCCAGACAAAGGTGTTTCATCGTCCGAATATCCCGCTATCTCTTGAGGAATAACTGCACTTTCTTCAACTCCCGTACAAGGCCTGCACATGCATTCTAGTGGTGCTTTCGTTGTAACCTGGAAATATAATGATAATAATTGAAAAGGATCAAAATTTCAACTGACCATCAGTTCAGAAACTAGTTGAGAAAGTTAGAAATTGGAATAATAAAAGATGAAAATTATTCCCAGAGGCCGAAAAAGCTTCAGTTCCACGAAAGTAGATGGCGCTAAGTAATTTTTTTCAGTGCCATCTATGATCTGTTAATGTTAATTACTTCTTCTAGTATAATGTGTCATTTATGGCATGATTGACATGTCAAAGTCAAAACTGAAAACTTCAAAAGTAATTCATTGTTGTTGCTTTTTGCTTTCTATTCTATTAAAAATTTGAGGAATTCTACTACCACTAGTACTACTATTATATTATTTATTTTCTTTGATTAGTCGTGCTAGTGTTTTTCCTTGATTTAATTTTCGTTGTCCATTTCCTTCACTCTTCACTGGTTAATGATCTTCGATCGGTTGGATCAATGTATCAGCACAATCTTTTTTTTGTTATATCATGGTGTGATGTGTGGAAAATTATACGAAATATTATCTAGGTGAGTACAATCAATTAGGTAATTACGAACCTTTATAAACTTCCGTTCTCCAGGTTTTGCTTTCGGGCAAAACAATGATACTGAAGCTTCTCTTTCACCTGATTCTTGGCAACACATGCAAGACCTTTCCATCTGCCAGATCTTGCTTCCAGATACCTAAAACAATTTGTCTCACAATTTGTTCTACACACTGTTGAGATATGTCTGTATCAGTTTTTACTTGAATATAGGAAGCACATCTTCCAATGCAAGCAAAACTTGGTATAGGTTTTGGAACACAGCCAGGATATTGTAAGACATGTATAACAGGAGTCACTTGACACTCATCTGTGGTACTAGCAGCATCTACTTGAGATATAGATGTTCGCAGCCTTGGATCCATGCACATGTTCCCAAGAATTGTAAGGAGGAGAAAGAAGTTCCATATTTTGCTGGAAACTAAACATTAATGAATGAGTATGATTGTGGTAATAGGTACATATTTCTAACTTACCAAGTACACAAATATTAGACAACATCTCCTAGGTATAACAAAACTACCAAAGCTAACCTGTGATGATGTCTGCCAGACTGCAGACTTTTTCATTATTATACTCCTTTTATAAAATTTCTGTCCACAAAGTTTCAATGTACTACAGAAAGCTTTCTTCTATTGTTTTTGTTTGGTCTGAGTGTATCTCAGTCTCATGTTTTTTTTTTCAAGGGTAGGGCTTATGTGAAACTCATGTTTTCTGCACAGTCACCCTTTGCAGTAGCATGCTGTGTCACCTCATGGGGTTGATGGATACTAGAAAACTTGTTGTTGGATGGATATTGGTTGTTTTTTTAATAATAATGTGACACTGTTGCTGCTTGAATCATGAATATATCAGCTTTTCAGGAAATATTTTATTAGGTAGGTACAAGTTGTCTAAAATCTGCAGACAGCATTTTTGGACAATTATTAAATTAACGGAGAAATCACATAACTAGCTTCATCTTGAGTCAATGGGTTAGGATAGGTACCTACCCCATATTATTTCTTTATTTCTATAACAAATAATGATATTAGCTATAGGTATAGTTTCAGATATTTTCTCTTATAATCTACCTAGAGCATAATTTATTGCCGGAAATTGTCCGCAATTAATTCAAGCATGTAAGAACATTTGATACCAGAATTATATTTAAATAGAAAACAAGTAAATATTTATTTGGACGTTTACCACAATTAAATAGAAGGCTGTGTGTATCATATAGGGGATTTTTTAGGCAACCCATGCTCTAGTAAAATGACATTAAAAAACTATGGCAAAACATGTCTAACTTTATCAGTGTGAAACCAGCCACGAGTTCCAGCCACGACTTCGCCTAATATTCAAGGCGCGCGCCATACCACCAATGGTCGTTCGTTATAAATTTATATTCAGTCCATGGATGAAACTATTCATAAATATTGTGAGATATACAGATTATCATAGACCCTCAGAGAAATTCATTGATGTAAAATAGTTTCATCCATGGAAATATTTTGGAGGTTTAAGTAATTTCATGGCTAGCCATGAATATAAATTGGTAATGAACGACCATTGGTGGTATGGCGCGCGCCTTGAATATTAGGCGAAGTCGTGGCTGGAACTCATGGCTGAGAATTCAGTAATCTTTGCTGATTCTAACTTTCAATCTATGCCAGGAGTGAGGATGTTTTCCAGTACTTCTGAATATCATCCAACGTCCTCTAATTACCCTGGGCGACCGCGAGTACTAATTGATTTCATACAATTGTCTTGCTAGGTTTCAGGGAAATGTCAATATTGACTAAAAATGAAAGTGATGTTCATATTGGGGGAGATTTTTTCTCATTTTCCCCGTGCCCTAATAAAATGAAATTTATAATATCAGATACCTACATTATTATATAAAAATAAGTGATTTCATATAATTTTCTCACTAGGTTTCAGGGAAATAAAAAATATGGTCAATATTATTGTCTAAATTTCCACTCATTAATTTTTTGTCTACATGCTCATGTGGATGGAAAATTTTCAGAAAATTTGCTGGTTACTATGGTAACAACGACGAAATGACGAAAAAAATCATCATCTGATTGGTTGAAAATGACTGGTATAAAAGTTTCAAGTATAGTATTTGCTTGAGTGCTGAATATACCAATTTTAGTAGGTGATATTATTTTAATTAACATATTATTAATCAGTAAAAAATAAAAATTGAAATGAGGAATTGATTGTGAAAATCGGCTGTATTTGAACATTAGATCGGGTTTTCATGAGAAATAAGCAATTTTCAAACTTTGGTGGAGGAACTAGTATATTATGTGTTTGAATGATATTGAAAAAGATATTAGATACAACTGGATGAGGCTTAACCAGTGGCTTAACACGAATTTTCTGCGGCGTTGTATTGGTCGGTTAGAAGCAACCTGACCTTTTACCCTCTGTATCCCCGCTACTGATCCAGATTGGACACATGCTCAAAAAATTTCAGTGCATTTAATTGCATTCCTAATGAATTTTGTCCAAGAATTAAATGCAAAATCGGGCAAAATTAACGTGTTATAGAACAGATATGTTTATTTATCTCGAAAACAGTTCGTTTGTAGAATATAATTGAGGAGCAAAAAAGCCTTCAAATTGAACGATTCGCCCTATTTGGTAACTGAAAGATGTCAAAGGCGTACCATGAAAAATTTTGGGGGGGATAAAGAAGCCTCTACCCCCTAAACCGTATCACCCTGTATATTTTGAAAATCTTTAAAATGCTTCAAATGATGATCTTCTAGAAAGTATTGACCACCCCCAATTTCAAATTGATATCTCTAGAAGTGAGCGAGATATTTCAATTGATAAAAAAAATAGTTAAACTTTGAGCCCTTGTAGCTCCGCTACTGATGGCCCCTGTTTATATGAACTTTTTTTATTAAAATGATGAGATCTATCACCTAGTCCAGTTCGTACCTTGAAACCTGAATCACCCTGTATATCATATTTAGGATATTGAAATAATAGAAACTTTTATTCAAGGAAATGTCACTCATTTGCCTAGAGTTCTTTTAAAAGGACACCGTCTTTTTGGAAACTCTAGCTTTTAATTTTTTGTTATAAATTTTTCTGTTAATCATTTTTGAATGCTGAACCAGTTAACAACAAAAATCGAAATTCGAAGCAAAATACTTTCAGGCATACTTGGGTTAAATGGAATCGAGTAGGTCATCCAAAAAGCAATCCAAACTCCAAAAGAAACCGAAATTCAAGCGCGTAGATTCCAAAGAGAACTGTTCCAACCTCGAACTGAAAACCAGATACGAACGAATGCTGAAAGATAACGCCAAATTGGACGAAGAGATAGCAGGATTGGAGGCGAAAGGGGTCTCCACTGATCTCAAACCGCAGATGGTCGCTTTGCACGAGTATAACGAGATGAAAGACTTGGCTCAGATGATTCTAGGGTATTTGGCCGATGTTGAACAAACCACCATTACTGAGCTGCACAAACGTTTCAACTTGCCAATGGAATAGGTAATCTTTGGTGTCATAGTTCATGTCAAAAAATCGGCAAATTAACAGTCATTTGTAATGATTATTCCACTCTTGTTCTCGAGAACCGTTCAGCATCGACCATTTTCACGGTTTCTTCTGTATAATAATAATAATCAATTCGCTTTCCATGAAAATAGTGGTACACCAGCAGCACAGTACTGCAAGTAGTACAAAAAATTCAAGAAGGAGTTGATACGGGAAATTACGTTGTAGCTATTTTCATTGACCTCAAAACGGCATTTGATACAGTTGACCATAAGAATATCTCAGAATACTTGGAATCGCTGGGACTCAGAGGCATTGCATGTTACAAAAAATATCTCCAATCATTGGAGCTTTGCGAAGATGTCCTTAACTTGATTAAAAAATCATAAACATAGTACTTCATTCTCATATACTCAGTCGTATTACCTATATGATGAACGTTTGGGGATCCTGTTGAAAAAAAGTTTTAGTAAAATACGAGGTAAAATATCTGCACTTTAGAAGAAATCTCTGAAAGTATTGTATCGCCTTTCATTTGATATCCCAAAAAACGATCTGTATGCGATAACAGAAAAATTTTCATTGGATGAGTTGTATAAAATAGATTCTCTTAAAATGTCATATAATGTCATAAACAAAAATCTGAAATCCAATTTTGTTTTGATAAGAAATTCAGAAATTCATGATTATCACACGAGACAATTAAACTTATTTCATCTTGATTCTGCTACTTCTATAATTGGCCAAAAAAAAATGTACTCACGCTGCTCTAGCTGAATTCAATAAATTACCTCATGATATAAAAAATTGCAGACATAATTATATCAAAATTTGAAATTGTATTAAAAAACCACATGATTTTATTACGAAATGGATAAAATGATACTTTGCCATCTACGGATTAGTCCCTGTAGCTGTTTTTCATGATTTGTTTGATTAAGCATTTTTAGATTTTACTAAAAATTATCGGTCTTGCTCTATACCAATACAGAAGCGGAATTGACCTACACGTGACCAACCAACTTCGTTTTTTAGCAATAAAATTATTGACATTAAAACGTCAATTATGTTGAAAGCCAGAATGATGGATGCAGTGTGAGCAACTCTCGCGAGGCGCTGGTTCATTGTCTCAATCATGAAGTAGTCATACGAATACAACTGGTGGTATTATTTTTCCTGTAAATATCCGTCGATTTACATATTCCAGCTTTCTACTGTAATTTCGCTAATGGCAATGTTCCAAAACTCCTCGCCTACGGCTCAAAAGTTTTGATTAACAATGTCATTCGCGAAATTATTAGGCAACAAGCTGTAACAATCGCCGAATATTTCCGTCAAAATAGTATCACTTGTTGTATTACATATGATAAAAAACTACCTAGCTCTCTAGCTACACCAATTTTCAAGTACGTGCGTGGCGTAGTTGCTTGACTATTTGAGCTCAACGCCGGCGACCTGGGTTCAATGCCTGCGACAGACGGTTTTTTTTTTCATTCTGTTTTCTCAAATGATTTTCCGAAAAAAAAGTATTCTTTCTAAGAAGAAGGTTCATTTAGACCGAGTAAGGCTGACAATAGTACTGTCTTGGATGCATTTACTGTTGAGGCCGGTAGGCAGTCGCTATTTCAATGATGTTTTCATTTCAGAATCAACCCGAAAATTTTTTTAGAACTGATTCTGTGCCAATGCCCACCGTGATAATTATTATTTTCCTCCAGTCTGTAGACGCTATAGTATGAATATGCACCTTGCTCTTTACAACACGTCTTTTTTATTTCAAACTGATCATGAGAAGAAAAAAATCGTTCAAGTAAGCAGTAAAAACAAGAGCTTTTTTTGTCACAAAAATTTTTCTTGTAGCGAGAAAAATGTTCCTCGCAAATTTTTATGTCAGTTTTTCCCGTAAAATTACTGATAAAAATTTTTGAGTTGGTCATGAAAATCCAATGAAAAGAAATTGTTTTTTTGGCAATATAAATCATCGACAATTAACAGGGTGCTTCCTAACTACAGAACTAAACTTCAGAGAAGGATTTGTTAGGTCGTTTTAAGAAAAAAGTTGCTATAAACAGGTTCCCGGAGTTGCTTCGTTTCTGAGATACAGGGCGTTGAAGCTAAAAAAAAAATGGGTTTTTATGGAATATCATAATTGATATCGTTGAACCGATTTGGTTGAAATTTAGTTATTTCAAGTAATAAGGCGTCTTTTTAATCCCAACTAGATTGAAATTATTAGGTCCAGTAGCGTTTCAGTGGGCACCACAGCCAATAATATTAAGTACTTATGATAATGACTTTTCTTTGCAGTTTTCAATTTTCTTGGATAAAGCAAATAAAAATACAACTTTATAACCTCTCGTGCTCTCAACATAATATCCAGCTTCATTTTCGAGAAAAAAATTGCATATCATGAATATGGAAAAAATAATAGATTTTTTTTATAATTATCGAAAAATATCTCGCCCATTTGTCAAAAACTTGGTACTAGCTCAATAAAGCATCAATTAAATACACGTGGTATTATAATTCATAAATTTTAATGTTGCAAAAAACTTTTATACATAATTTTTTCATCACAAGCCTCAGTTTCAACATTTATATAAAACATGCTCAATTATTAGACAAATACTTTCAAAAACATTTGTCGATTCAATGAAAATTGGCACAGAAAAATATACAGTACGAATAAAAAAAATCCCTAAAAATACATTTTTTAAATCATAAAGAGAATTGAGATGATTTTTATCTGCTGAAATCACCGCACTTGAAACACTTGCATTCAGAAGGTTCTCTCAGCTTGATGTCCATCGAATTTCTACCTTCTCCAGTCAATCTCACTCCATCTGGATCATAGCAATGTAACAGTGTTATTATTCTTTCTCTGAGGAAGCTTTCTCGGCAACAGTAACACTCCTAAAAAAATAATTTCGTATCTATCATTCAAATTTAAAGTACATTTTTGTCATTTGAAAATATCAATTACAATCACATACATCTGTGTGTGGGACGATCATTTTAAAAATAATTGATCTTGATAACTTGAAGATGAAAGCAGTTGATCAGAAGAGATGATTTTGTAAAACTACCCTTTTTCAGGATATATTGGTCAAGGAAGAATTTAGCAAGACTTGTAATGTCTTTTTTTTTCAATAAGAAAGAATAAAGCAAATTATTCTTTCATTATCATTCTCCCTATCTTCCCTAGGTACACACGATGTTCTTCGAACATTGTAGGAATTTCCTTTCGTGCGCTCCAAGAGATGGGAAAAAATGGCAAGAGGAATTTAAATTAATCTGATAATTCATTTAAAATGAAAATTATTGCAAACACTAATTCAAACTTCTTCCAGCTAATAAAAAAATATGTTACCTTCAAAAATCCAGTGGGGGTTATAACAGAGGGTTGTACTTGACTCTTGCAGGACCCTTCACATTTATTAACAGCTATTTCTCCATTGCAAGTTCTTTGCAACCTTCCAAGTTCATCATATTCCTCTGAAATAAAAAATACTCCAATCAGTCCAATCGATATCTACTTTAAAAAAATAGTGATTACACCGAAAAAGATAAATTAATTTTGCATGTTATTCGTGAGTTATATTCCCCAAATTATTTTTCAGTGAATATAGGAAATGAATTGATTCAAAATTTACTATGTCCTGTTGGTATTTGCGGTAACTATTTGGGTACAGACCTTTTGTAATGTGTAATTCTGAAGGCAACGTTTCACAGGTCTCTTCTGACATCTCATTCACACAATAGACATAGGTCACTGACAATACCCCGAAAAACACTGTATACAACATGTCTCTAGCTTGTTCAGGAGTTGACTGAGGTAGATATTCGGCTCGCATCGCTTTTTATACCCTACACCCTGGATATCAGTTCAGATATATTGAACAAATTCGAGTTGATTCGCCCATTTTTGCATTACTTGAAACATTTATCATAAAAACGAATTTTATTTAACTGGTCCCAGTACTTTTAGTTTCTTTTATTGCTTAATTAGCAACGATTCAATGATTCTTCAGAGAAGTGGGTGAGATATATTTTAACCTAAATGGCCGTTCACCCCCTATTTTCTGAGTACCCCTGGGGTGTGTACAAGATTAGCACTCAAGTGAATCGCTTGGTAATGATTTAACTTTGGTCCCACTGCGTTTTGCATACGATTATATTTTTGCATTATTTTTTCTTCAGCGGGTGTGTTTTGTCTATTCTGGGGACCGATATAGTTTCCATTCTCGAAGATTCCATTTTTTTGTCAACAGTAAAAACACAAGAGCTTTTTTTTATCGGATAAATTTCTCTTGGTAACGAAAAATATTTCCCGATCAGTAATTCTACGAGAAAAACTGACATGTCAGTTTCTCGAGAGAAATAACTGATGGAAAATGTTTGAGATTAGTAAGGAAATTATCCAATTAAATGAAAGTTCGAGTGTTCTTTGGCAAGATAAATCAACGATAATATACAAATAAACAACAATAATGATTACCTTTATTGATGATTCCGTGTAACTGGTAGTGTGCGGAATTGATTTTCTCATACACTCAGTTCCAAAAAAAGTGACGCACTTGATATTTGACCTATCTTATTAAAAAAAATAATGATAGGCCGATTTCTATTTTTTTTTTATTTGTTGGTAGGTAATGCATTTGTCTTTAGAACAAAAATAAAGAGGTAACAATTTTTTCAAAGCCTCTTTGATGGTGGTGAAATAACTGGAACCATGATTTATTCTTAATTTTTGACTCACCCTGTGTGTTAATTGAGTAATGGCATAGAAAGTGCTGACACCCTATACGAAAGAGGCTTCTTTTGCGAGCATTTCGTTTTTTTATTCATTGATTTATCTCTAAAATTTTCCGAATTACACCTTTTTTTGCTTAATCCTTGCAGATTACCAACTTTCTGAATTTATCGAGAAACAATTTTCTAATCAAATAAACTGATACCAATAATTTTAGAAAACCTTTTTATTAAACACAAAATTATAAATTGGGATGACTGCTTAATACCGTGTATTGCCTCCTCTAGCAACTCTAAGAACTTCCAATCTACGAGGTATACTGGAAATTGAGTTGCTTATCGTTTCCATTGGTATACGATCCCATTCTTCCACTAATGCATCTGCCATTTCTGCGAGACTTTCCGGAGATCTCTCGCGAGAACGTACACTTCTCCCTAATTCATCCCACAAATGTTCTATAGGATTCATATCGGGGCTTCTCGCAGGCCATTGTAATGTGGTAATACCAGTAGCTTCTAAGAAGTTTCGCACTATTGCTGCGGTGTGAGGTCGGGCATTATCCTGCATCAATATAAAATTATTGCCCACTAACTCTGCATAAGGTAAGACATACTGCTCTAAACTGTCAATGTAAATTTGGGCATTCATCGACTGCCTCACCGGAAAAACATGAAGGGGTGTCTTTCCATTCATTGAAATCCCTCCCCACACCATAACGGGCCCACCATTAAAACTTTCGCATTCTGTTATAAAATTTTGATTAAACCGTTCACCAGTTCTTCTCCACACTCTTTTTCTTCCATCCACCATGTTAAGGCAAAACCTTGACTCATCCGTAAACAAGACATTCGACCATTCAGGAATATTCCACTGTCCATAATTTTCAGCAGCACGATGTTCGGGCAATAATTTGGGACCTTTTGCAGGTCTCCTAGCTTTTAAATTAACTTCTTTTAGACGTCTTCATACCGTCTGCTTACTTACTGCAACATCACGAATTTGGCGAAGATCTTGCTGAACATTTACCGCAGTATTTGATCAATTCCGTAAAATCCGCAATCTCAAGAAGCGATCATCTCTTGGAGAAGTTTTTCGGGGGCGACCAGAACCGACCCTCCGAGCGGTGCTTCCTATTTGTTCGTACTTGCGGATTGCTCTACGAGCAGTTGCTTCATGAACTCCCACTGCACGAGCGGCGTAACGTTTACTACGCCCATCGTTTACTAACGCAACTAATCTTGCTACTTGTTCAGGATTTATTTGAGGCATTTTATGTAATATCAGTCAATAAAACAAGACACTTAATTAATGACACAACGACAAATTGTCAAATATGGAGGCATACAACAAATTAGTTGTTATGGCAACGGCATTTGTTTTTTAAACCCATCGATAAAAAAGGTGCATCCTTTTTTATCTATGTCAAAATGACTCACCTCGTCGTCAAATAGCGTTTTCCGTGTAGGAGTTGATTTATCAATATGAAAACTGTCAAATTCAATGAAATCAACAAATTATTCTATCTGTTGAAAATTCATCTGGAGTAAACTTCCCATATTTTCTACCTTGTTTCAATTTCGAAATTTTCCATTCATTCAAACTTATTTTTTAGATTTTCCATCGACCTACATAGTTCAAAACATTTGAGAAATGTCTGACATTTCTGACGATATTATACATTCTGATAGAAATAACGAAAAAGACGACAACATGTGCAGAGACTATGTACGAGGCCAGTGTGACAGAACATTTTGTAAATTCAAACACGATAATGAACCTAGACTGTTGAACTTCTGCCACGATTTTCAAAATCATGTTTGTCCAAGACCTCACTGCAAGTAAGTATCTACCACAACCTAGTATCTTTCCTTCTCAAATACAAAATATCTCAGTATGTAGGCATCATTACTAACTCCGCACGCCACCTTAGAATCAGTTTATTCATCACAAAAACATACAAATAAATTCAATCAATACAGACCAAAAACAAATGCATATTTATCGGACTAGTCAAAAAAAACATGGGGCATAAATACACTTTAAAATTAATATTAAAATACACTTTAAATTACAACAGTTGAAGTAGTTTTAAAAATTGAGAAACTCCTCCACATTATAAAAAATATGTTCGGTTAATAAATGTTTGAGTTTGTTTCTGAAGGACATATAACAATTGGTATATTCTTTATCACATATACTTTTGAACTTATTGTATAACTTGACTCCTATATAGTTGGGTGAATTCTGGCAAATTTGAAGTCGAGAATACCTCTGATAGATATTATCTTTCATACGTGTGTCATACGAGTGCAGGTCCTCATTTTTTTTAAAATTGTTTTCATTTCCTTTAACATGTGTAATTATTTGAAATATATATAAACTAGGCAATGTTAGTATTTGTGATTTTTTAAATAAATATCTACATGTTGACATTGGATGTACGTTGAACATAGTTCTCAATATTTTTTTCTGTGCCATGAAAGCCTTATCAGCATGTGAAGATGGCCCCCAGAACACTAGTCCATACTGTAGAACTGATTGAACATGTCCAAAATAGAGTAGTTTTAATACCTCGAAAGAAACCGTGTCTCTAAGATTCCTGATCATATAGCAACATGTGCTTAGCCGGGAGCATACAGTTTTTATATGAGCGTCCCACGATAACTTAGAAGCAGCAGTGAACCGTACATGAATTAAATCAAAGGGCGCAGGCATTGTTACTAGCTCCATACGCCTCCTTTTTTAGGTTCATTCATTGCTCTGCCGATGATGCAGACGAATACAAACGCACTGGTCAGATGTCTTGTCAGATTTTGACAGAGGCGACCAAGAAGAATCAGATGCCTGGGGCACTGAACATCTGCAACCAGTTCCGCAAAGGTCAGTGCAGGAGGAGCAACTGCAAATACCGGCATATCACCAAAGAGCAGGAAGAGGCTGAAGTGATGGAGCTGATCCAGAATTTGCCTCAGAAACAGGTACCGGTGGTGCTCAATAGTAATGTCAACGAAGGGCAGATAATTACTCTGGGATCTTTGAATAGTAAGTGCATTTTTCAACTTTTCAGCTTGTAACAGCCACCCTGTAACTGTCGACTAAAATTGCAAAATCAGCGTTTTGAACATGAGAGCGACTTGGGAATAGAGGGAGACGAAAGAAAGAACAGGGAGTCGGGTCGAAGATATCGAAGAGGAGAGAGCGTGAATTATTGACGTCGAGAGATCGATTTCGGAATACGCGAAATCAGCCCCGAATGGCAAAACTTAAGATGCGAAATCGGTGTTAAAGTTTACATTATGGTTTAACCTTCCATTCATGTTTTTGAATATTCAATATGCGCAACTTGCAGAGTGATTTGGTTTTGGTTATTTTTTTTATTAAAATTCAATTGATATTAATACTGTCGCGAGAACGCGTTGATAGAGTGATACTAATTTGTTGAGGCGAAGATATAGGGAGAAAGAAGGGTCTGTAGCTGAACCTATAAGGATGGTTATACCAGGTCGTTGTTGATGAAGAGTTATTTGGGTGAGATCAGATCAATTTTATCTGCTTGATTTTTTTTCTTTCATCAAGAACCATTTTCCAAATCTTTTAATTGTTGTTTGAACGGGTTTTATCTTTCTTTTGGTATTGCAATTTTTCCATACTGTCATGGTCTATTTTTGTAAGGGTTTGTCTCAATAGTGCAATATAAGTTTGGTTATTTTCCTTTTGAAGTAATGCGTTTGAATATCAGTTATCCCTAAAAATATACCCTAGATCCAAACGAATCTGCTTTACAGCGGTACAGGGCTACGAACCCCAGGCATCTCGAACCAGTGGCTTTTATAAACTATATAATATCCGTCCTAGTGCGGACAAACACTAGGTGGTGGCAGCATATCTACAGGGGTTGACGGACTTCCAGGGTTGTCCTGGAGTCCTTCAGCATCGTCGTACGAAGAGGGTCAGGCTGACAAGTGGTCAGTAGTCTCATCAGAGTGGAGGTACGAGAGACGACACAACTTGAGAAGGCGACAATGAGAGATATGGCTATCAACATACTATAAAATCTTTTTCTAATTATTATCCACGGCTATCATACATTGAATAGGTAGCTGGAGGTTACAAGCTTTTCAATTCAATCTTGATAGTAATTTTTGATTTGTGCTGTACTGTTTTATTGTTATTTTTTAGATGTTATAAGACGAAGTGGTGTGAATTTCGAAGAGTATCAAGATGAGGGTTTGCCCTTGTTGAAGCGGCGTTTTATCACTGCTCAAGAACACGAAATTCTGCCCTGCGAAATTATAGAACCCAGTCAAGCGAGGCCTGTGTTCAAGGGCTATTTTGCTGGTAATCCTCCTTCACCAATATGGAACAGAATAGATGCGAGGTAAAATTGTTCATTATCCATAATGTTTTATTATGCTTACAGTCAATGTGAAATATCCTTTTATTCATGACTGCTACATTGTCTTATTATTGCAATAATGTTAAAACCTCTCCTTCTTCAGTTTCATCTTGTTCTCAATAAAGTTTTGCGGAAGATTCTTTGTACTTCAATTGTTTTCATTTTTTCAGAAGTATCATGTTGGAAGAGGAAAATAATATTCTTCACAAAGAGATAGTACAGTTGAAGAAACAGGTAAGTTCCACCCCTGTTTTTCCACCTTGAACATATCTTTCCTGATAACCAACTAAAGCAATGTATGTATAACAATCTGTTCTGGAATTCAACTGATGCTTTCTGAAATGCAGTTGACTATTCTGAAATGCAATTGATACTTTCTGAAATTCAAGAAAATTTACTGAAAGACAATTAATACTTTATGAAATACGAGTGACGATTCTGAAATACAATTGGAGCTTTCTGAAATTCAAATGACTATTCTGGAATACAATTGACGCTTTCTGGAATTCAATTGACTATTCTGAAATAAAATTGATGCTTTCTGAAATCCAGTCAACTATTCTGAAATGCAATTGATACTTCCTGAAATTCAATAGAATTTTCTAAAATACAATTAATACTTAATAAAATACGAGTGACAATTCTGAAATACAACTGACGTTTTCTGAAATTCAAATGACTATTCTGGAATACAATTGATGCTTGCTGAAATTCAAATGACTATTCTGGAATACAATTGATGCTTTCTGAAATTCAAATGACTATTCTGGAATACAACTGATGCTTGCTGAAAGTCAGTTGATTGATATGGAATATAATTGATGCTATCTGAAATATTATAATGGACAATTTCTGAAATTCAATTGATTATCCTAAAATATAATTGATACTTTCCAAAATACAAGTGACTATTCTGGAATACAAGTGACAATTCTGAAATATGTTTAACTTTTCCTGAAATTCAATTGACTATTCTAAAATACAAGTAATATTCTAGAAAACGAATGAATATTCTAAGATACAAGTGATAATAATTGTGAATTATAATTGACTTTTTCCCCAAGCGGCATAAAAAGTGGCTAACAGGCAGAAAAAGGGGTACTTTCTCTGCCTAGGCGAGAATAGTTTGCTGCTATGCAACGTTCAAAGAAATTTGAATGAAATTGGTAATCAGAATAATCACTGACTTTGGGTGAATATAAAATGATGGAGTTTTCAATAAAAAATTACTCAATCTACTACTTTGCTTTCTAGTAAAACAAATAACTATTTCCCGAAATACAATTGATATTTTCTGAGATACAAGTAACTAGGCTGAAATACTTCAACAAAAAATTCACTAGTTTCGGCACTTGTGATGAAAGATATGCATCGTCGAACTCCAACCGATAACAATCATTCCTCAAGGTCTCCGACCTGACGGCCACCAACGAATTCCTGCTGGACCAGAACGCCACGCTCCGCCTGTCCGGCAAACGGAACGTCTCCGCGGCAACGGCGGCCCAGCAACAGCAACAGGTCAACAGGACGGTGATAGCCAGCGTGGCCGCCGTGCCCGTCTCTCTGGCCACCGTCTCCACCTGCAACGCCGTCTCCGGCAACCATTCCGTCTCGATAGCCGGCTGTCCGACGGTCAGCATCGCGCCCGCGGCGCCGCAGCTGTTGGCCAACAGTCAACAGATTCTAGGTGAGCGTAATTTTTTTTTTCGATTTTTGACACCCTTGGAAAAAAAATTAGCACGCCCTTTTGATACAGTTTTTTTTTCGTCATGTCGAGATTTCACATTTTTGACACCCTCATGAAAAAAATTGTGTACGCCCCTGAGCCAACAGCTAACAGATTTTGGGCGAGTGAGTTTCTTGGATTTTTTTCGATTTTCGACCCCCTTGGAAAAAAATTGGTACGCCTAGGCTGTTGACCAACACATAACAGATATTGGGTGAATGACTACACGGCCATTTTCCCAATGAATAGATGTTTTGTTTTTTTTTAGATTTTTTACCTTGGAAAAAAAATCGGTACGCCCTTGTTGCAGTTTTTATCTTTCATGTACGGATGTTCCTGACCCCTATGGAAAAAATATTGGTACGTCTCTGGAGTCGTAGTTTTGTTTTTCTGTTAGTGTCGATATTCCCATTTGTCTTGATATTTCCTTGGCCACCGTCTCCACCTGCAACGCCGTCTCCGGCAACCATTCCGTCTCGATAGCCGGATGTCCGACGGTCAGCATCGCGCCCGCGGCGCCGCAGCTGTTGGCCAACAGTCAACAGATCCTAGGTGAGCGTAATTTTCTCTATTTTTCGGATTTTTTTCGATTTTTTACCCCCTTGGAAAAAAAATCGGTACGCCCTTTTGATTCAGTTTTTTTTCGTCATGTCGAAATTTCACATTTTTGACACCCTCATGAAAAAAATTGTGTACGCCCCTCAGCCAACAGCTAACAGATTTTGGGTGGGTGATTTTTTGGATTTTTTTCATTTATGACCCCCTTGGAAATCAAATCGGTACGCCCTTTTTGTTGCAGTTTTTTTTTTCATGTCAACATTTTCCAATTTTGTAACTTTGTAAACTTGGTACGTCTCTTAGTCGGATGTTGGTACGTTTCTAGAGTCGTAGTTCTGTTATTTTTTGCTAAATCCGGTATTCCCATTTTTCTTTGTTTATCCATGGCCATATGCAACTCCGTCTCTGTCAACCATTCCGTCTCAATAGCTGGCTGTCCGACAGTCAGAATTGCGCCCGCGGCGCCGCAGCTTTTGGCCAACAGTCAACAGATCCTAGGTGAGCGTAATTTTCTCTATTTTTCGGATTTTTCTCGATTTTTTACCCCCTCGGAAAAAAATCAGTACGCCCTTTTGATTCAGTTTTTTTTCGTCATGTCGAGATTTCACATTTTTGACACCCTTATGAAAAAAAACTTTGTACGCCCCTCAGCCAACAGCTAACAGATTATGGGTGGGTGATTTATTGGATTTTTTTCATTTATGACCCACTTGGAAATCAAATCGGTACGCCCTTTTGGTTGCAGTTTTTTTTTTTTTCATATCAACATTTTCCAATTTTGTAACTCAGGAAAAAAATTTGGTACGTCTCTTAGTCGGATGTTCCTGATCCTTCTGGAAAAAATATTGGTACGTTTCTAGAGTCGTAGTTCTGTTATTTTTTGCTAAATCCGGTATTCCCATTTTTCTTTGTTTATCCATGGCCATATGCAACTCCGTCTCCGTTAACCATTCCGTCTCGATATCTGGCTGTCCGACAGTCAGAATTGCGCCCGCGGCGCCGCAGCTGTTGGCCAACAGTCAACAGATTCTAGGTGAGCATAATTTTCTCCATTTTTCGGATATTTTGTCGATTTTTGACCCTCTTGGAAAAAAATTCGGCACGCCCTTTTGTATTCAGTTTTTTTCGTCATGTCGACATTTTATATTTTGGCACCCTTATGAAAAAAAATTTGGTACGCCTTTGGTACGCTAACAGATATTGGGTGAGTGACTACACGGTTATTTTCCCGATCAATGGATTATTTTGTTTATTTTTAGGTTTTTGACCTTGAAAAAAATCGGTACGCAATTTTTGTTGCAGTTTTTTCTTTCACGTCGCCATTTCTCATTTTTGTCACCTTCAGGAAAACATCATGTTACGTCTGTTATTCGGATGTTCGGACTTTGGTACGTCTTTTATACGGATGTTCCTGGCCCCTCTGGAAAAAATATTGGTACGTCTCTGGAGTTGTACTTTTGTTGTTTTGGCTAGTTTCGAGTCTCATTTTTCTTGATTTTTCCTTGGCCACGTGCAACGCCGTCTACGTTTCTCATACGGATGTTCCTGACCCCTCTGGAAAAAATATTGGTACTTCTCTGGAGCCGTAGATTTGTTTTTTTCTGTTAGTTTGGAGTCTCAATAGCCAGCTGTCTGATGGTCATCATCGCGCCCGCAACGCCGCTGCTGATGGCCAACAGCCAACAGATATTGGCTGAGCGACTACACGGTTATTTTCTCTATCAATGGAATTTTTTCGACTTTTTTTCGATTTTTGACCCCCTTGAAATTAAAATCGGTACGCCCTTTTTGTTGCAGTTACTTTTCATGTCGACATTTTTTCTTTTTGGCCCCATTAGGAGAAACATGGGTCGCTATTTCGATTTATTTGGATGTTTTCGAAATAAATCACGAATTATATTTATCAACAATTATTCATTTTTTACCCACTCGAAAAAAAAATGGTATGTCTCTGAAGTCATAATTTTCCTTCTCATACGGAAGAGATATCTTGATTCCAACATTTCTCATTCTTGACTCTGAAATCATAGTTTCATTCTAAATTCCGAATTTTATCCCCTCACAAAAAAATGGTTGAAAAAATTATAAGTATCAGGTACCAGAATAGCTTCATTTTTCCAGTGACAACCAACCCCTCCACCCAACTGGCCATCGCCAACAGCTCCCAGGCGCAACTGGCCATCGCCCAACAGAACCTGGCCAACAACCTGGCAGCCCAGCAACCCCAACTCTCCTCCCAAGCCCAGCACCTAGCTCTCGCCACCACCACCCAACAGCTCACCTCCCAAGCCCAGCACATGGCCAACCACCAGCAGCTGGCTTTGGCAAACACTCCCCAGCAAGCGCAGCAAATCGCGCTGGCCAACAATCCCCAAGCGCAGCAGCTAGCGCTGGCCAACACCAGCCAGCAGCTGAGCTCGCAGGCGCAGCAGCTTGCCTTGGCCAGCACGAACCAGCAGCTGACATCGCAGGCGCAGCAGCTCGCGCTGGCTAACACCACGCAGCAGCTGAGCACGCAGGCGCAGCAACTGGCCATGGCCAACACGCCACAGCAGTTGGCCGTGGCCAGCGTGGCGCTAGCTGCGGGCACCAATCAGCAGCTGATCGCGCAGCAGAATTTGGCCACGGAGATGCACAGGAACAGTCAGATGAACGCGATACAGACGTCGCAGGCGTTGGCGTTGTCCAACGCCACGCAGCCGATGGTTTCGCTTGCAGCTGGGGCAAATCAGCAACTGATCGCGCAGCAGAATTTGGCCACGGAAATGCACAGAAACAATCAGATGAACGCCATTCAGACGTCCCAGGCGATAGCGATGTCCAACGCCACGCAGCCGATGGTTTCGTTTCCGATCATGACGCAGACAATGAGTCACGCGTTGACTCATTAGTTGGCGGGGTTTTGCGGGAAAGAATGCTGGTTCGAGGAGAGTTAGCGAACCAGCAGCTGCCAGCAAACAATCGGCAGCTGATTGCGCAACAGAATTTGACCACCGAGATGCACAGGAACAGAAACGCGTTACAAACTTTGCAAGCGTTGGCGTTGTCCAACGCCACGCAGCCGGTTGTCTCGCTGGCAGCTGGGGCTAATCAGCAGCTGATCGCGTAGCATAATTTGGCTATGGAAACGCACAGAAAAAATCAGATGAACGCCATTCAGACATCCCAGGCGATAGCGATGTCCAACGTCACGCAGCCGATGGTGTCATTTCCGATCATGACGCTGACAATGAGTCACGCGTTGACGCAGACAATGAGTCTCGCGTTGACTCATTAGTTGACGGGGTTCTGCTGGATAGGTTCGAGGAGAGTTAGCGAACCAGCAGCAAATTGCTTAGCAGAATTTGTCCACAGAGATGCACAGAAACGGTAGAATCCAACGACACGGTTTCGTTTCCCATCATGACGTAGACGTGACTCATTGTCACGCGTTGACTCATTAGTTGGCTGTTTTTTTGGGGGGGGGGGGGGGGAAGTGTGCTAATTCGAAGTGAGTTGGCGAAGATAATAGGATATATTTATTTAGGTTTTTCTGGTTTGTTCTATGGCCAAATATGATCGCCGATTGACGCCTAACCTACAAAATGATCAACGGAAACAAAGGTGCATGAGACGATACATACGTGATGGAAACTGATGTGAGATAATAGTGACAAAAAATCTTGTGGTATAAAAACTGGTGAAGAATATAACTAGACTTATTGTATATTCCCATCATGAGTTGTGACTGATAAACTTTCTGCCGCAAGCAGTAACAGTGAAACTATACATTTCCATAAGTTTCTTATATGATATGTTTCATCCTTACATAACTTAGAGCAAAACTGTGAAGATTTGGATAACAAATTGAACAATGGTCATAATTCCAAACTGATTTATTTTTTGTTGATAGGCTCATGATTAGGTGAGATAGATCTGGATCTTAGTTATTTATTTGATTTCAATTTAATTTTGTGTTACCATAGTCTTTTGAATTTTCCTTATGTACTAATACATTTTTTGAAAAAAACACACTCCTTTTTTCATTTAATTGTGACAACCTTTGAAATTTTGTGTCCTCGCCATTCCCAAGTTTTTCCAAACATGATATGTAGGTACTGGCGGGTAGGTAGGTACTCTTGAAAAATATACATGATTTGACATCTGGACATAACAAATCTGTATTATGGATTAAAAAAATGTCATTACCAAATACCAAAGCCATCAAATTAACATGAATATAATAATTTTTGAATTACAATCATTTGTATTCAATAAGTTTCCATTAAAATAAGAACAAACTAAAAAGCATATATCACATTTTAGTTGGGAGCATATAACACTATCTAATAATCATATATATTAATTGATTCCACATAAAAAATAACATCCTATCACCACAACTTGAAAACAGCTAGTGTTTTTTCTTCAATTCATTGAATCTCCTTGTCAAATCATCAAAATCGATGTCATCTTTGGTCTGTGAGTTAGAACCATGTGGTTGTGGTAAAGTTGATGGTACAGACGGTAATTCTGGTAAATCGTACGTCTTACCATTCATTTTCAACCTTGGAGCCGGTTTGGGTTTGTCATCATTGTCCTAAAAATATGAAAAAACACTGAGGCTACAATAATTCTCAGTGAAATAGACCCCACAAGCGATTTTGACTAATAATAATGGAAGCATATTTCATAAAAGCATCAAGGACAGCCATGTGATATGTTATGTGAAAATAGTTATTCACAAACAGGGTGAAGCTATGTGAATAAGTTTGAAAAAAATTAGGGGTTGACTCCTTGCCATTTCTTATGAAAATGGCAGAAATTTTTACTTATTGATGAAAACCCGATTTTTTATTAAAACTATATCTAATTTTTCCATAAAACATGAATAGAAATCACCCCTTACATTCTTTTGCATCTATTCATTTACATCCTGTATACTATCAATGTTTATACAGTGAAGTCATAAACTGTTCCCACTTTTGTCTAACAGACCTCAACTATGTCAATATACAGGGTGTCCGCTAAAAGGAGGTCAATCCATTGACCATAATATATTCTTTGAACAAAAACAATATGAGTTTCTAAATACCATTTTTCAGTGTAGCCCTTCATATTCAATATACAGGGTGTCAAAGTTGGAAATTGAAAACTGTATTTTTTTAATTACTGGCGTATTAAAAAAGATATTAATCTCAAAATTGGTACATTACTTCAGCACCAAGAGTTACATCGTGTGAGGAAAACAAAACAGAAAATAACTGTCAAATATTCAAAATACAGGGGGTCAAGTACACACTTTCCCCCATGTTTTATTTGTACGTGCGCTAATGACTTCCTATCTATTTTTCTTCAAGTGGTCAATCATTTTTGAGTATTTTTTGTCTCTTGTAAAATTTTGAAGAAATCATTTGTTTTTCAGATAATTCGAAAAGTACTGGTTATTGTTTGATCCCTATGCAGCTTATGGTAATCTCATAATGTTCACATACTCCTGACTATTTCGTCGAAATTGGAAGAGGGCGTATTTTTTTACGTACGAAAAGGTGAATATGGAAATACGGGGTGTTCAGAGCGAATGTATTAAAATGATTTTTACAAAAAAAAATTATAGAAATTCAACATGTCTAAAAAAAAGTGTGCTTGATATGACCTTCAATTTTTGGAATACACATGCGGGCCCTTTTAATTAATTGAATTAAATAATGATTTTAGGAGGATGGGGGGGGGTCGATTGACGAGCCCACCCTTTTAAAGAATTATTAGTTTTTAATTTCCAACTTTGACTCCCTGTAATGAAAAATGGTATTTAGAAACTCATATTGTTTTTGTTCAAGGAATATATGGTTAATAGATTGACCTCCTTTTAGCGGACACCCTGTATTCATTAAATAAAATATTATATCCTACATGTCTCCAAAATAGTCTCTGACGGTTAAATTTTTGTTGTCAATTCCCCATTGAAATTGGAAATGTATAATTTTATTTTCACCTTGGCAAATCATGTCAAAATATTCAAAATAAAAAAGTCTAGTTAACTCAATGTAAGCCATTCATGAAATACTCAAAATTTGTATAAAGAACTATTTGGATACTGTGAAATGTGCTGAAAATATTTGATGAATTAATCACAACACAAAAAAGCATTGGTTCTATCATCTAATTGATCAAATTCAAGGCTGATCATCATCCTACCTCCATGTTGTCATCAAGAGTAGGGTCTGTAGGAGTTTCCTAGAAAATTATTGGTAGGATATCAATATTTGAGTTGATTTCATTAATTTTGTTTCAATGGGTGATGGATGGCATGAAATGGATGAAAGTAAATTACTGTCTAAATTTGATATTTCAGTAAGGGATTTTTGTGGAAAAATGTAAATGAGCAATAATTTTTAAAGTGAAATTAAGAATAAATAAATTACCTGTAAGTTCACACCAGGATATAAGTTGTGATATGTTGGTAAATTATTATCCTGGAATGACAAAAATAAAAAAAATATATACTCATTGCAAAAAAATATGATGTCACAAAAATACTCATATCAAAAGAATTATTTCAAAAACAAAATAAAACAACATTTTCAAAATACCAATCTCTCCATAATGGAGTAATTGTGAAAAAAATATGTACCAAAATTACTATGAACTGGTTTTGCTAGGGAAAAATCAAATAAAAATTTCATAAATTCAATTTTTCAGTACTAGTATTGATGCTGTGATTCTTATATTTTGCATGACTTCAGCATTTATCAATTTCCATTGATAAAGTTTTTAGCTTCAACAATTTGAGATGAAAGAAAACTGAATTATGTATGACTTACAGTGTTGTCAGTGTTAGACTCTTTTTCATCCTCTGGTGGTATATTGTAAGAAAATCCAGATGGTGGAGCAGATGGTCCAACATTCAACTCTTTTTCATTCATTGGCTAAAAAGAAAACATTTCTTCATTATTTCATCACAATTGCATTTGAACAACCATTGCCTTACTGGATAAGAAAAAGCTGCAGGCCCAGGCATAGGATCCATCAAATGTGGTAATGGTGGAGGTAAGGGATACCCCATGAAACCAGGAGGTTGAGGCATTCCACCACCTCCCAAATTATTGGAATTATTTGATGATAGATCAATTAACAATGCATCATTGCCTAAAATATGAATATTTCATTACCTACCATTCATTGATATAATAAAAATAAATTCCAACCTCTTTCCATTGCCATAATTTGTGGGTCAGGTTCATATGGAATATTGTAGCATTTAGATATTTCAATCATGTATTTTTCAACTAATAGCTTTGGTGGGCTGTGTATGGACAATTTATGCTTCAATTTGGCACTAATAGCCTCAATTGATTCTATTTTGCAAGCTTCTACAAAGCTTGGGCCATATTTTGAACCCAAGAGGTCTGCAATTACTTTCAATTCCTATAACAATGAAGTACCTTATAATTGAAAATTCCACTGCCTTACATGAGTGACTAACTTGAATGTCTGATTGTAAACGAGGTGATACCCAAATGAGACTGGAGACAGCTTCTGAAATGCCATCATCTAATTCCTTCATGTTTGATATGAGACCAAACCTGGCAAGCAGGAGATCACAATACATTTCAACAAGCTCAAGGGCTTCAACCAGATAATCTTCCCTGAGTATAGAAACATTATTCAGTAAATATTTCAGACGTATTATATACGCAACTAAACTACCTGATTATGGTTTCCACTCTGATTTTCGCCCTTTCGACTTTTCCTGCTAAAATGTAATCCCCGATTTCTCTTCTAGACTTCTCGATGAGCTCAGTTTTCTTTTTCTGTAAAAGTTTGAGCCTGGAAATCGCCAGGCGCAAGTTTGTCTTCAATTTAGGGTAGTTGGGACCACTCGCGAACATATTTCAAGTTTATATTTTCAAAATATTGATGACAAAAACAAAATTATAAAATAAAAATTATTGGTCAATGAATCATCGCAATTTGCATTCATCGCCCTGAAAAACAACTGTCAATTGTCAAATAGGTGGACAAACGTCAAAATTCTTCTTCTTATGTGATGAAAGTCCATTGTCACTTGCCAGCTTGAGAAAGTATATACACTGCTCTAACAAATTAAAACCAATTGCTATCCTACTACCGGCTGCTTTCGACCGTCATCTGATAACTAAATGATATACAGGGTGGCCCACGGTCGATGGTACCTTAGACGTATACGGAAAACGGTACATTGGATTATCCTGAAAATTTGGTTACTCCAATAAGCGATTGTAATATAACGATTCAAAATATTTTCAGCGATGATGCAGCGTTGCCACTTTTACCAAAAAGTAGCATCATCTTTGTTATTTCAAATGGAACACCCTGTATTTCATTGCGTTTTTAGATTCTTCTTGAAGAGCTGATTTCATCAATGATTCACACTTGGGGTCTAGCAGGAATTATTACAGAGATATAGGGCGGTGTTCAAAATCGAGATTTTTCAATTTCAGGAATTTTTTGTGTCGAAACTATTCATTATCGATCAAAACGGCTTACATGTCCCTATCTTAACTTTTGATTCACTATCTACTGACATTTAATTGGAACAGATACAGGGTGATCAAAATTTTGAATCTTGGACCATCCTGTATTTTTTCCAATTAAATGTTGGTAGATAGTTAATCAAAAGTTAATACAGGGACATGTAAGCCGTTTTGACTAATGATGAATAGTTTCGACACAAAAAAATCCTAAAGTTGAAAAATCTCGATTTTGAACATCCTATATATCTCTGTAATAAGTCCTGCTAGATCCCAAGTGTGATACATTGATGAAATCAGCTCAACGAGAGGAATCTAAAAAAGATAATGCTACTTTTTGGTAAAAGTGGCAACGCTGCTTCGCTGAAAATATTTTGAATCGTTTAGATCACAAACGCTTATTAGAGTAACCAAATTTTCAGGATAATCCAATGTACCGTTTTCCGTATACGTCTAAGGTAGGTACCATCGACCGTGGGCCACCCTGTATAGGTTCGCAATGCCATACAGGGTGGACATAGAAGAATTCTATAAATATTTGCAAATTTAACGCTCTGTATCTCGCAAACGCGGCCTTTTACGACTCCTGTTTATGACAACTTCTTCATTCTTTGAGACGCCCTATCACCTCTCAAAGTGCGTCCCACATATTACCAAACACCCTGTATAACATTTCGGTGTAAGATAACGCTCGAAATTTGCAGTCGGCTCACCAACTCCTATTAAATGGCCTACTTGATTTTAAGAAAAACCCATTATATTAATATAATTTTATGATATATAGGTAAACATATTAAAGATCATGATATTATGTATCTATCTCCAGAATAGCCAATAGTATGTTGAATTTCATCATTTAAATCAATGCTATAAGTTGTGCCTGCAGGGTCTGGTGGAATTTTTCCATCAACTGGAATCCTAGCTGTTGTTACAAACAGTTTATCAATTTTCTTTCCTCCAAATGAAACTGAAGTCACCTGTAGATGAAAAATTATAATTAAGCGGCGATAAATTTCCTGAACATAAACGCACTTCATCGTATACCAAAATCATAGTATACAAATTAATGAAAGCTGCAAAAGATGAACTTACTTGTGGAGTAGGTAACACAATTTTTTTCAATACAGATCCATTTTCCGGATTGAACTTGATTAAATCGGAACCGTATATTGCAGTAACCCACAAATTTCCATCTGAATCAATGGTTAAACCATCTGGCAATCCACCTATGTTATTGGCTTTAAAGCTGAACACTTCTTTTTTGTTACCTTGAAATGAATAACTGTTAAAGGGAATATTCGGGACAAAGTCAATAAAAATTGCGTACTGAGTGATCCTGAATTGGAAATATCGAATTGGGTGACACACGGTTCTAAAGTATCGATATAATACATTTTCATTTTTTGCGTGTCCCATGCTAAACCGTTGGAAATTCCAATGCCGCCAAGGTGTTTTTTCAATTTCCCTTTCTCTAAACTGTAAAGTGCTCCTCTTCCACGTACAGTGCTGCCATCTGAATTAGTTGCACCCATTGTACCTAAACAGAATATTTTAGTATGTATTCTATCCACATTTTTTACTATAGATGAATTCACATTAAACTGTTACCAATGGATTTTGAATCGAAATGAGCGACTCAGAGAGACAGGATGTACCAAAACGATTATGTCACGTCGCATCCCGTTGAAATCGCGACCACGCAACTGAAATACTACACCTTTTCCAATTTTGGTTCAAAAAGCGTCAAGTTGATTTCAAAAAGTATCAATTGAATTTCAAATCAGTCATTTTAATCTCAAAAAGTATCAATTTTATTTCAAAATTATCAATTCAATGTCAAAATGCGTCATGTGTATTTGAAATAAGTCATTTTAATTTCAAAAAGTATCAAATGTATTTCAAAATTATCAATTCGATTTCAAAACTGTTCATTTTTACTGATGATGCCACAATGACAGGAAACAGAATCCAGATAAGAATCCAATAACAGGGTGAATGAAAATATCTCCCAATACCCATCTTACCTTTGCGTGTGCTTTTTCAGTTTTCAGTGAAATTCAAATGATACATTATGAAATACATTTGATATTTTTTTAAGTACAAATGACTATTTTGGAGTTCGAAGTGTTAGTTTTTGACGTATTTAGAAATTGAATTGAAAATTTTGAAATACATATGATTCATTTAGAAATCAAATTGACTAATCTGAGAAACAAATGATGCTTGTTGAAATTGAAATGACAATTTGGAAATACGATTGACCATTTTTGAACTAGAATTGGAAAAGGTGTAGAACTAAATTCGAACGAATTTTCCAAAAAATCAGATCTCTAATTTGAGTGAGGTTGAATTTTCGTCGAAAGATCCTGGTATATTCACCTGCCCAAAGTCTTCCCCAAGGATCCACTTTGGCCCCGTTCAGTCTATTGCCTTTCAGCTCCTCTTCTTTTTCTACTTCTACTATCGTTTCCACTTTCGAAACTTGTGAACTTTTGCCATCCCAGTCAACAAATACTAATTTCCTCCCTAATCCTGCTATGAATTTGTTGTTCGTTCCTTCTACAGGAAACATAAACGCTAAAGGTTCGTTTCCTATCAAGATGAAAGTTTGTCAATTATTACATATAATTTTATGTAGTTATTCGGTTTTGATTAAATTACACAGCTTTTTGGTACCTACATAATTATACTCACCAACTTTTGCTTTGGTTACTTTTCCTGTATTTTCATCGTATTTATACACATCGGAATTAGGGATATCTACAAAGATTGCACTTTGTGTTGCTATGTCCCAATGGATTCTTGTCCCCACATCCAGTGGTGGACTAATGGGTGTTATTTGAATATCTATTGACATCGCACGGAATTTCAAATGGAACTGGTGAATGTACACTTTAAAGATTACAACTCTTATGGAATATCTACACGAATATCCCAGTGAAATGATATGAGGTATAAAGGTATTTGTTTTTTGATGTAATAAAAACACTTAGATAAAATTCATATAAATGTTTTGACCTCTAATGATTAGATAACACTGAGTTTTTCTGGGGAAAGCGAGTGTTTGTTGGTGATCAATGACAATAAAGTCGAATAAATCAAATTCTTCGATAGAGCAAACATACATTTATTCAGTACAGAAATTTGATTTGTAGTTTTATCAAAGAACTACACTGATTCCTGGATATCCTTTTGCATTCAATCCTGTGACTTTGTAAGTACCACCATGCTCTGGTGGAGGTAAAATTTTACCGTCGATTGTGAACTTACCACTAGTTACGTAAAGTTCATCCAAATTTGGCCCTCCAAAAGCAACAGATGTAACCTGAAATTCAAATTATAAACTGCTCAACACATGATACGTAAAATCGCATTTTTCATCATATCTTTCGATTTCCTCTACCAATTTTCAATGATTTTTCAGTTTCTGAAAGCTCGTTTCATTGACTATCGAACCTATGGATATGACTATTTCATCTTTTCCGGGTGAGATTCTACAGGATGATAATCATAGCTGTGCATTTCTACAAAAAATTTCAAACGCTTCCGTTTGGAAGAAAAACTTTTCCATTACTTTTTGGGGTCAAAAACATATTACTTCATATATTTTCTCAATACTGTGAGAACATTTTTGAAATTGAAATTGTCATTTGAAATGTTCACCGCAAAAGAAATCACATCCTGATACTCGTTAATCTACTGCAATTGTGATGAATTCTGTCAGTTGCATGGTATATCTCGGCAGCAACTTTTATTTAAACGGCATCCTGTATATTTTCCAGTCTATCTCATTTGCCTTGAAATTATCTTCTAAAAATCTATCACAAAGTGAGAAAGACGCTCTGAAAATCCGGTTTTTCTAACATTTCCAGTGGTTTGATCTTGCAATAGATTCTGTAGCAACTTGACATGGTGATGTCAACCTCTCCTACACGCTTTGATCGTAAATTATGCATTATATATCTCAATAAAACATTCCGAAATTTCGAAAATTTTTATACAGTATCGAGAAAACATATGAAGTAATGCTTTGATTATCATCCTGTAGAATCTCATCTAGAAAAGATGATTTAGTCATATCCATAGGTTCTATAGTCAATCAAACGAGCTTTCAGAAACTGAAAAATAATTGGAAATCGGTTTAGGAAATCGAAAGTTATGATGATTCAAATAATTTTATCGAAAAAATGCGAATTTACGTTTCATGTGTTTATCAGTTAAAAGTTTCCCACATCCTCAAAAAAAAGCAGGAAAATTTTGATTCGAAGTTACGTATACTTCTACCTGTTTTGCCGGGATTGGTATGGTTTGTAGAAGCGTCTCAGGCTTTCTGGGATCAATTTTGATAACTTTAGATCCGTTGAAAACGGCTACCCATAGGTTACCATCTGTATCGATGGTCATACCATCTGCACCAACTATCTCATCATCCATTTTCTCCAAAGTGAATATCGGCTTACCATTCCCTGAAAAAATAGCATTTATAATATCTATACAGGGTGTCTCAGTAAGGTCCGAGAGGTACGATATTATGGAAACCATAAACCTCACAGCTCCGAAAAAAAAAAATTTGAGACAAAATTGAAATTATCATTCGAATGAGCCCAAGATGATTGAATTTGGATAAGGAGTATCACAGTATCTTCGCCCCCTACTAGTCATTTTAGAAACTTGGAAATATTTTGAATCAATTTCTCATCGCTGTTTTTCTCAATATTTGTTTTCAGAAGCTGTAATGTTTATGGTTTCCATAATATCGTACCTCGCCGACCATAAGTGGGATACCCTCTATACCTACTATTCATAATCTGACTATTATTACCTATTGTTCCTTTTTCTATATCGAAATCGTATTGGTAAATACTGCCTTTGAGTGTGTCGTTGTAGTACATTTTTTTGAGTTCTGCATTCCAAGCTAAGCCATTGGATATACCGATTTTACCCAAGTGCTTTTTCACTTGGCCATTTTGGAAAGTGTACAATGAACCTTTTTCATTTTCGAAATGACCGAGTTCCCGTTCGGGGCCCATGGTACCTAAAAATTAAAAAAGAAGATTGAAAAATCAATGGAATAATAAACTTCAGACAAATGAAATTCATGAACCACTGATAAACATTCAGAAATACATCAACTGGCATTCAAATCAGTCAAGTAGAAGAAAAAGAAAACTATAAAAAGTGGAATATAGATATTATATTATGCAGATTGAAGGCATATTAGCGGAACTTCGACAAACGATAAAATATCTTATTTCAAGGTTAGAAGAGAAGTTCCTACGAAAGTTAAAACGTTCCATTTTTCGAGATACTAGCTGTTGAACCGTTAAAATAGGGAATACACGTGAAAATATTCTCATTACCGGCGCCTGATGTATGAGCTATCTACAGTATGATGCAAATGTATGGAATAAATTCATTTCAAAACAAGACGACTTCCGAAAAAAATCCAAAAAGTAAAGTTCAGAACTTTTTTATCGATGTATTTTTTCAACTAGACGACCCTTCGATGTTCAATTCTCAGTAGAAGATCTCTGCAAGATTCGGTTAACCAATTGATAATCCATTTCAATTTCAATCTTCTTTTGCAAAATTTTGACTATTGGATAGACGATCAGTAGACCTTTCAAACGAGGTGTCACATGACCCCTGTTTGTATTTAAAAAAACCGTCCATTACGTCATTACTCCAACACCGTTGACGTAACATCTCTCATATGAATGTCATGAGATGAGGTTTCAAAAATTAAAACTCACGTGTTTTTGGAATTTCTTCAAATGTCGCCCATTTCTGAAATAATGAATTTATTCCATACATTTGCATCATACTGTATATATCGTGTCATGGCATAATATATATAGTAAACTATGGTCATAGATGAAAACCTAAAGTAATCTCCACAACTTTTATTAGAATGATCAAAGATCAATCGTAACGGAACATCTAAAGATTTTCAAAATCTACAGGGTGATACGTTTATGGGAGTAGACACGTCCTTATTCCCCCCAAACTTTTCCGTAATACGCCTCTGGCATCTTTCAGTGATCAAATTATATGGATCGTTCAATTCAGAGGCTTTTTTTGCTCTTCAAGATTTTTTGAGAAACGAACCGTTTTTGAGATAAAAAAGCATATACGGTCTAAAACATGTTGATTTTGCCTATTTTTCGCTTAAATTTTATTCAACTGAAAAAAAAACCTTGACTTTTTACCCTCTGTATCCCCAATACTGATCCAGATTGGACTCGTGATTGCAATTTTAATGAGTACATTTCATTGCATTTTCAACGAAAATAAAATAGTTATTTATTATCGATGTGAAATTTGAATTTTTTAACTGGTACCTACTACCTAGTACACCAGTGTTTGCAGGAATCTTTTTGTAGGCATCTTTATTGTTGCTATGGAAACTTCGAGAAACCTTTTGATGCTAATTTAATTCTGTGTTTCAATTGCGAATTTAGTGGTTGTTTAGTAATTTAGGTAAATGCGAAGTGGAATGGAAAATATAAAAGGAGTTTCAGTACTTTCTCGGAGACGGTGTTGGCTTATTTCTGGCACAACAAAAGCCATCAACAGTGCACCTTAATATCCAGGAAAAAGTACTCACGGAAAAAAATGTAATTTATGAAAAGTGACATTTTGTAACCTGGCAACTGTGATAAAATGTCAAAGTTTTCTCTCGTCACAGAAAAAAAGAGTATTTCCTATTTTCTATAGAACTGAACATTTTTTCATATTTCGATATAAAATTTGGAAATAGAGTCAATGACACACCCTTTAATGGAAATCGCATCAGCTTATAGAAATACTAAAATTCATTTTTTTACAGGTGTACAGGTATACAAGGTATTCCTGAGTTATTTTTAGGAATTTAATCAGAATTGAGTGATTCAATAACCTATTTTTAAAATTCCACCGAAACAAATCTTGAGATTTAGTATCGTTACCTGCCCAAATTCTTCCAGAAGGGTCACATTTTCCATCATTGATCCTATTGTCAAGACTGTCAGGATCATTTTCAACTTCATACAAAATCTTTATAATCGACACATTTTTGGAAACTCCATCCCAATCTATCAAGACCAACTGTCTTCCTATGGTCACAACAAACTTGTTTTTCTCACCTCTCACAGGGATTATTAGAGAAACATTTTTGTTGGTATCTGGAAAAAAAAATTATAAATCTGCTGCCTTATGATATGTAGGTTCGGGAAGATATAAAGGGTGTATCTAAATAACACCGAAAATGTAAAAACTTCACAAACGATAAGATTTTCACGAAATTCACGACACAACATGTTTCGCTAACACAGTATAGCTTCGTCAGGTGATATACTGGTACAATGAACAATGTTCAATGTTACATCTTGATTCTGCTACTTCAATAATTGCCCAAAAAAAATTAACTCACGCTGCTCTAGCTGAATTCAATAAATTACCTCATAATATAAAAAATTGCAGATATATTTCAAAATTTGAAATTGAATGAAAAAAAATATGATTTTATTACGAAATGGATAAAATTGATACTTTGCCATCTACTGATTAGTCCCTGTTGCTATGTTTATGACTTGATCGATTAAGTATTTTTAGATTTTTTAGATTTTTGTTGTTGTTGTTGTCACCTTATGTTATTTTATAATTGTTGTTTGTAATCAACTTCCTACACTGAAATGACGTCACTGGGGAATAATAAGGTGATGTATTTAAAAAAAAATCTCATCTTACCAATAACTGCTTTAGTGTATGTTTGAGTAGCAGGCACATATCTATGTATGGACTTTCCTATAATATCCACATAATAAAGACTTTGGGTGTCTGCATCCCAATGGGGTCCTTCACCCAATTCTGTACTCTCAACATTCGTTAGTCTCTCAACTTTTGGAGCCATGTTTATTTTACTGAAATTCGTTAGTATAGATACATATTATATAAACTTTAAAGTATGATAAAACTTAACCTCGAGAGATAAATGCGATGGAACAAAGATAAGACTTTTTTTTTTGTTGTCAACGAAACTTCATATTGGTCATTATCTAATTAAGTATTGATTATGATTATTGATTCCATTTCCTAACATTTTTCAAACAAACGTCAAAAAACATAGTTCTAAAGTATAGTAATATGCTCAGCTTAATATAAAAATAGTGTTGAACCGGCTTAAAAGGAATTGATTATTGTTAAACATTCAGAAATAAATGATATCTTGGATGTTTGCTCGATTGAGGACCATAAAGTGTAAATACAAAAATCTCATATAAGTAGTTTACATACAATGCGCGAAGTATTTATACCTTGTGCATCGTTTTATTTCGCGTACTGCTTCGCACATCGATACCATATAGTTCAATAGTGTAACACCTAAAAAATCGCAGCTTTGGGAAAATCGCAATTGAAAATTCAGCTCATAATAATATAAAATAATAGCCCTGCCATAGTATTCTATTCACTTCCTTAAATCGACAAATTTAGAAAAAAAAAACGTTTGGTAAAAAGAAGCTCTGTGATCAAAAATCATCATCATCATCATTATTAGATGAGTAAGTACCATTACTACAATCACTACAGGGGGGGTGTATAATCTCTGACTACAGGAACAATGATATAACATAGTATTATTAAGTTTGTTTTGAATGTTGAAATCAACCATTTTGAGCTATGCAATGTAACAACTCTGAATCACTGAAAATATTTCACAGTTCAAAACTGTAACAAGTCTTGATTATTGTATCGAGTTATTACAGTATGGAATTATATGGAATAGAAGTTTCCTTCAGTTCTATAGAGTAACTAGCACCATCTCTTGGTCAGTACTGGAGCTTTCAGTTGTTACAGTATAGCACGTGAAAGCTAACAAAATGATGAATCAGATAGCGTATACAACTCAAAATGGTTATTTTTCGAGTTGTTACATTATTGAACTATGGTATCGACATGTTGTGGTAACGTAGGAAACTGAAAAATAGTGTCACTTCGCAAATTGTTATCAATGCGCGAACCTTGTCATCAGTGGCGTAACTACTATACCGCGAAACCCCTGGGGCCCTGGATCCACCAACCAGCCAAATTGGTTGATACATGAGTATTATTCAATAATATGCCACAGAAATAATTTTTCCATTTCTGCGAATAGTGCAGGCATGTTTTTTTCAGTGTAGGTCCAGGGTGATGTGTGAAATCAACGACATACAAGGCAATTATTTCAAAGGGAGAACTTGATTAAAAAACTAGTGGTGCTTCAAAAAGAAGAAGGCAACAAAAGTTAGATGAGAAGTGTAAAATTTCCAAGATTATCACGTTCTTTACGAATACTATAATATACTACTGTTTCGGATAATACAGTTGAATATTATGATGAATGTCCATCAAGTAGTAGCAGCATGATGATTGAAACAGAAATGGATGTTGACTCTGCAATTATTCTTCACATCTACGTCCTCCTTTGGTTGTTGATAGATACCTTTATTTTGTGCCTCGGTGTACACATCTTGAAAGATATAGGAAATTTTTTGTCCCAGTCCTTATGGTCTCACCTGACTAATACGGCCGGTGCTGATTCACAATTCAGTCTTTTATTTTGTGTCGAAGTGATCACAAGTGTTAATAGCGAATTAGTTTTGGTGTAATTTTACGTGTTTTATTCAAAATCCCGAAACTCACAAGAGAAAAGAGGAAATTGATGGATGAGATGGGGAATATCAAGAAGAAATTAGCTCGAATGGAGAAGAACATTACCCAAGCTTCGGAAACTGACGGTTCAACGAGCTGTAAGTAATAAATTACATATTTGTTAATTTTTTTTTTGGTTTCCCATGACCATGGGCGTAGTGTTGTTAAAAACATTACAAATAAGGAAATGAGGAAAGATAAATGTATGTTTGGTATTATTTAGTGACATTGGGCACTAAAACCGATATGCACTTGTGACATTGGGCACAGTGGAAAAACACATAACACTAACTATGACGTTGGGCATGGTTGATGCAATAAGGTGATATGATAATCAAATGACGTGCTAGCAGTTCGTTTGTTGTACCTCAATGATATTGGGCACTTTCGAAATTTTGGGCATAAATAGTGTGGGCCCTGCAAAAACGGGAAGCACTCTCAACAATGATCAAGTATCAACTTGGACTTCCTTCTACGAGAAGGAGTGCGATTGAATTCTCGAAATGAGCTCCTGAAATACCCAATACCAGACAATCTAACAGCTCTAACACCCCCAAAAATGAATGGAGAATGGAATTCTTTGATGCCATCAGAGTTTGCAATATTGTCCGAAAAATGTTTAGTGGCACTACAGGAACAAATTGGGATGGGTTGTCAGCTTTAATCACAATCCTACCTCCTGTCCCTTTCCTCCCTAGGAACGAACGATGTTCCTTGAACAGTATAGGGATTTTCTTGCGTGCGCTCCAAGCGATAAAAAAAAGGTGATGAATCCTGAAGATTACTTAATTTTAACGCCAGAGAGGATTCTACAAGTGTCAAAGCAGGGCAAATATTTCCAAATACTCATCATGCCTTATCTATGAAGAGGGGGACGAATATGGTTCCATACATCAACTTGGAAACAAAAGCGGCATCCCAGCAGTCTCCAATCGATGATCTATTATTTGGATCAAATTTCATGGAGAAAGTGAAGAACTGTCAGTCACTGGAGAAATTAGGACAATAACTGAAGAGAAATATGTTCAAAGAAGGTGGAGTAAAAATTAGAAAGACTACAGAAAATTACAGGAGCAGCTTTAAGAAACCCAAAATGAAAGCAGAAAAAAGGGAGGAAGAAGGATATGCAGTGATAAACAAGCATCAGACTCAACCCCGACGCCAGAACAGGGAATACAGGGAGAAGTATTAGCTCACGTAAATGACACGCAATGTTATGCTGGTCGTTTGAAATATTTTCATGGAAATTGGTCAGAATTCACTGACAATAATATAATTCAAGACTGATTACTAAGCTTCAGTATACCATTTACCACAACTCCATATCAATTGTATGTCCCTGTTTTCAACATTGAGAAATCCGAATTCGAAATACCTACATGAACTTGAAGGTTTAATTAAAAGAGGTGCTATTGAACGTTGTGTTCATACTCCAGGTGAATTTTTGTCATCGTACTTGCTCACAATAAAATAAAAAACGAAAAAAAAATAAAAACGAAAACAAAGATTCATTTGGAATCTCAAAAAGTTAAACGAGTATATACTAGCACCACATTTCGAAATGGATAATTAATCCTGTTATGAAGCTCTTGACACATGAGTGCTTCATGGGAACTATTGATCTAAAAGATGCATATTTTCTTATACCAGTTGCACTAGAAGATAGAAAATATTTGAGATTTCAATTTGATGACAACTTGTTTGAATTCACAAGCCTACTCTTCGGCCTTAACACTGGTCCGTATGTTTTCACAAAATTAATGAAAACTTTCGGAAAATATATGAGACTCAGAGGTTGAACATCAATTACCTACCCACTTGGATGACACACTCATTATGGAAAATACATTTTCTAGGTGTCAATATTTCGTTAATAAAGCAGAAAAAGTTCTCTCAATGCTGGGTTCTAAACAAATTATGAAAAAAGTCGAGTTGAGCCTTCCTGCAAAGTGAAATATTTGGGGTTCATATTCAATTCGAAAAATATGACCATCAGTTTGCCACAACAAAAAATTACGGATGTTATATTATGTCTGAGATCGATCGCAGAAAAACATAGGTGCAAAATCAGAACCTTCGCATCTTTGGTGGGAAAATTGATATCAGTTTCCCCTACAATAAGATGACTGGCTCTATTCAAAAAAGTTGGAGACTGAGAACATTTAAGCACTCAGGCATAACCAGGGAAACTTTAATGCGAACATGCAACTATCTCCTACACTGGGAGATGAAATTGAGTGGTGGTTGTTTGATATAACCAAGGAAGGAGAAGAAGTAGAGCAAAAACCGTTTTTCCTTGAAATATTTTCAGATGCCTCAACCACTGGCTGGGGAGGGGTTTGTGGTGACAAAGTAGCTAGAGGGTTTTTAGAGCTAAGAGGAGAAAACATATAAACTGTTTGAAAATACAAGCAGTATTCAGAGCTCTCAAAAGTTCTCAAAAAATCTCCGAACCGTAATATTCCTATAAGAATCGATGATGTCACAGCCGTGGCATGCATCAATAAAATGGGGAGCACTCGTTTCGGACACCTTGATGAAATTTCAAGAGACCTATAGCTCTGGTGTGAGAATAAGAATATCACAGTTTTTGCTTTATATTTCAGTTCATTGGATAACGTAGATGCGGTCAAACTTTCAAGGTACACTTCCGTGGATACAGAATACGAATGGAATGCTCAAGTATTTCAGCAAGTCGTTGAAAGACTTGGTGTACCTCAAATAGATTTGTTCGCATCATCTCTCAACAAAAAGGTGAGAGATTCGTTTCTTGGGGTCTGGATCAAGGATCAATTGCAACAGATGCATTCAAAATCAGTTGAAGTAATCTAAATTTTTATACATTACCCCCATTTGCTGTTGTCCACAAAATGCTACAAAAAATTGTAATCGATGAGGCAACTGGTATTATCGTTGTTCCTTCGTGGCCATCGCAACCCTGGTACTCAACCTTCTGCGAACTTTAAGTTGAGAAATCATCAACATTTTTTCCTCAAAAACGATTATTGCTATCTCATTCTAGGGAAGCTCATCTTCTCTACGGCTCCCTTTCCCTGGAGGCAGCGAAATTATCAAGCAAATGAAAAAGTACTCCTGTGTTCTCAAAAAATGGTGGGAGTTTGGTATTTTGAGGGTTTTGAGCCATGTACTTATAGTATGGATAATATTTTGAAATCCTCATCAAAGCTGGTCAGAGAAAATATGTCCCATTCAACTTTGAACACATCGAGATCTACTCTGTCACTATTATTTGAAATCATATAAAATGATGAAATAGTTCTCAACAGCTAAAGGAGGCTCATAATCTAAATCCCTTTTTACCAAAATATTCTCAGTCATCCTCCTATAGTGTTGGAGAGACTGAGCAAGTTATGTTCACTAGAACGAATTACATAGAAAGAACTAACTAAAAAAAAAAAAAAAAATTGTGACTTCACTCGCATTAGTTTCAGCACACAGAGTTCAAATTCAAACATTGTCATTGATTACTTCAAATAATATAGTGAGAAGGAATGATTGGATAGAAATAAATATTAGTTAACGAAAAAAAAAAAAAAAAAACGGGTAGAAATAGATTGCAACCATTACTTATTTTCTCATACTCCAGGGAGAGACCTGAGAGTTATGTTTAGCATCTACTATCGAAGATTTTATATCAATTATAAGTTCGATACGACCCAAAAATGTCTAAACTTCAATATTGAGCCATGAGAAACCTCACAAAGCAGCAACGACACAATCCATCTGTCATTGGATCAAAGAGATTTTGGTAGAAAGTGGAATTGACACAACGATTTTCACTGCGCACAGTGTCAGACATTCCTCCTCATCAGCTGCGCACCAGAGCAGGTCTAACTTTAGAGATTATTAGAAAGACAGAAGGTTGGACTGAGTCGTCTTCAGTATTCAACAAATCTTATAATAAACCTTTGGCCCCGAATCCTGAAGAATATGCAACCATAATTATGGAAGAATCAAATCGCAAATAAGATATAGTTGATTTATATTGTTTGTAATCTTGTTCACTGAATTGATTCAGTGAATGGTTTATCAGAATTAATATTGTCATTTTCAGTATTATAATGTTAATGTATTGAAAGTTTGGTGTATAGCGCACTTTATTGTCGAGGTCTCTAAACAGCTATCAACAACCAAAGGAGGACGTAGATGTGAAGAATAATTGTAAGATTGATTGACTTACCTAAGGAAGATCAATCTCAATTATTCGAACATCGTAGTCCTCCTTTGGTGCAACCCACCCACCCTTGGTCCCATATATTAAGTGCTCTACTAGATGGGCACAAAATACAGACTGAATTGTGAATCAGCACCGGCCGTATTAGTCAGGTGAGACCATAAGGACTGGGACAAAAAATTTCCTATATCTTTCAAGATGTGTACACCGAGGCACAAAATAAAGGTATCTATCAACAACCAAAGGAGGACTACGATGTTCGAATAATTGAGATTGATCTTCCTTAGGTAAGTCAATCAATCTTACAATTATTATGGAAGAAAAACAATTATTCCAGATTTTTTGGGATTTTCTCTTCTCGTTTCTATAGAATAAAAAAATGAATATTATTTCGATATACCTGTAGTAAGGACAAATCAGATGATTTGCCCCAAAATGTCACTGCGTTTAAACTATTTTCCTATCAGAGAGCTTTAAAGAAACATTCACTAGCTTGTCACCATGTCAGTGACAATTTGTATTGAAATGAGTTTGAGGCCCTAAATGATTTTGGCGGAGGGGGAGGGGGGGTTGGCCAAAATATGAAGTTACGCCACTGCTTGTCATTTTTTGACGCTTGTAGAAAAATTTCTTTCCACCATCGAACCATCGTAATATCTTTGTGATATTTAATTTGCAATTTCCCATTCATTAAATAATTGCATCATATGTAGGTCTACTTACTTTCATCAACTTTCATTTATTTGTAACCAGATGAAAAAAATCAACTGAACACAACAACAGTCTCTTGAACACTGAATCGTTACTATCGTGGTTAAATATAAACATTTGAACGACAATTAATAATTATTTGCACATCCAAGACGGACAGTAGTGTAGGCACCACATTTTATTGACGGGTCATACAAGTTTTAATTAGTTATTAACAAAACACTAGATTTCAATTATATTCATCGATCGAAAACAGATGTATAATGTTAGTTAACGATTTTTTTCTATGAGGCTTGGTTTTCACATTCAGTCCTAAAAAAAATAAATGCGGTTTAAATTCAATCATTAATAATGTTCATTCTGTTTTACCCTTGAAACTTTTTTTATAGCGAAAAATTTCGTGAAAAAGAAACATGTCGTCACTGATCAGCCCATCAAAGAACAATTTTTTCAGTTTCGGGCATTTCAAAATAAGAGCAAGAAGCACATCATCTAAATTTTCTCTGTTGTTCTTGATTTCCAAGCGTATGAACTCTGGAAATAATTTCAATATAATAAGTCATTTCGGAAACTACACTCAATAAAATAAACCTAAAGTTCTATGATAGTTGTTGATGAGACACCTCAGAGTGCTCTCAAAATCTCTGCTGAATCTTTGGTTGTATCTAGGGCTCGCTATCAAAGAAAACGAATTCAGTGGCATCTTTTCCATCAAAAATATGAACTCCAGTTGTTCATAATGGCAAATGTTTCCTAAAATATAGTGAGTACAAATGAATACCGGGTGAATCAATTATAAGTTCTCAAAGAGGAATATTCTCAGATATAATTATAAACATAAAAAAATGGATGTACAGAGTGTCCCATAAATCATGGATCAAGAGAAGTGAGGTGGTAGGGGGGGGGGGGGGAACATTTGAAATCAAAGTAACGGTATATGGGGTTATCAAATTGTTGATGGTTCAAAAGTTACTTAATTTTCTCTGAAAAACGCGACCCATTTGAAACAAATCCACAACATATAAAGGCTGTTTTGAATAACCCCATTTGTTATACCATTTCGCAATCTAAACTGCTCCACATTTGAAGTGAGACAAGCAAAAACTTCTATCATTTTCGAATCGTCATAACTTTGGAGTGGATCAACCAATTTTCAATTCCTTTCAACATTCTGATAGCTCATTCCATTGGGTACAACGTCAGTACTTTTTTGTTATTCCACCTTTTCGACATGGAGACCTACTGAGTGATACCTGAAAATGTTATAATTTTCAAAGAGTTTGGGATCACCCCGTTTCACCGGGAATTTTTTTATGCTTTGTTGAGGGCAATAAAATGACGAACAATAAGTTGTTTCGAAATGGTTTTGAATTCAAGAGGATTCATACAGGATGTTTGAATGTATGGAATTTTTCACAACATATTGTATTCTGATATGTTCAACCACCATAAACTCAACTTCAACAGAATTTTACATTGGCATATCATCAACGCCATTACTACACAATGTGTTGTACATTTTCGAATATAGGGGATGTAGAAATAAATTGAAATATTACGAAAAAAATGCCGTTAATAATTATTATCAACACAATATTTATAATGAGAAAATGATAAGTATATAAAATTAACATGGGGCGGTATCATGATAAATCGTTGCCCCACGTTGATGGTTATCTTGAGAAAGAGTATGAATACTCTTCAGTATCAATAAGACATTCATTGTGTTAGGGAAGTTGTCGTTCCAGTTGCCCAAAACTGTTGGTGACAATTTCATACTGGTTGATGACAATAATAATGAACTACCACATCGTGCGAGAATTGTCGCTGAAGTTTGAAGACAACATAATATTGCCTAAAAAAAAACATTTTCTCTGTCACACGTCTTATTGAGCATATGGAAATTTCGAACGAGAATATAACTCTCTCAAACCCAGTATTGTTGAATTCGTTATGATACTCCCTTACCACATATGGCATAAAATACAGGATGTCCCATTTGAAAATTGAAAGATGGGGTCGTTTCTGGTCAAACCGGGAAGTGATGGGAGAGTATGAAATTTCGAAAAATTGACCAATTCTCGAATCCTACACCCCTGCCAAATTCGAATCTCATACCTCTGGAAATCTGGAAACCATGGTTTGTCTGAAAAATTCGATGATACCCGGTATGTTCGAAAATGTACAACACATTGTATAGTGATAGCGTTGAGCAGGATAAGCTAATCTGAAGTTCTGTTGAAGTTGAGTTTATATGTGGGTCGTTGAACATCAGAATGCAATATATTGTGAAAAATTATATATCACCTTCCTGAATCGGAAATCATTTCGAGAGAACTCATTATGCTTCATCTTATATCGCCCTCAATGAAACATAATGAAAATCCCTGCCAAATGGGGTGATCTCAAACTTGCCGTAAATTGCAATATAATGTGAAAAATTCCATACAGCGAAACATCCTGTATAAATCCTCTTGAATTCAGAACCATTTCGGGATAACTCATTGTCCTTCATTTTATCGCCCTCAATAAGACATAAAAATGAATCCCGGTGAAACGGGGTGATCCCAAACTTTTCGAAAATTTTCAAATTTTCAGATATCACCCTGTAGGACTTCATGTCGAAAAGGTGGAATAACAAGAAAGTACTGACGTTTTACTCAATGGAATGAGCTATCAGAATCTTGAAAGAAATTGAAAATTGGTTGATCCAATCCAAAGTTATGACGGTTTGAAAATGATAGAAATTTTTCCTTGTCTCACTTCAAATGTGGGGCAGTTTATATTAAATGGGCAAGCATGTCATATAATTGGCCATCGGCATTAAAAGATCAATTGAAATATTTCATTCAATGACAAAACTTGAGGAAACAGTTTTCTCAGGTAATTGATACAAAGTAACACAGGTCATTAAATTATTTATGGCAAAATGTGCCCATCCATGTGGATGCGATTTGTAAAGGGAAAAATCACAAATGTGACATAGTTATATTGTAATTATTTTTTTTCCATAGACGTAAAAACTAAAACTTTTGAATCATCAACAATTGCAATAACACATATACGGTTAGTTTGATTGGAAATATCTCCCTCTATCACCCCACTTCTTTTGGTCCATGACTTATGAGTCTCCCTGTATAAATAAAGAAATACATTGAGAATTCGCATTCTCTATGTGATGAAAATATCAATTCTCTCTCGGTTTATTCAACAGAAACAACTACTTCCCTGGCTATATGCCACGACGAACATTGAATAATATCTATTGAACACAAACGATAAGAATTTTTGAAAACCAAATCTTCTTAAGTAGAGAATTTGCATTCTCCTTCATATAAAGATATGCACATAATATCATTCTGAATATGCAACAGAAAACAACTACTTTCCTGACTCTTAATTATAGTAAATCTACGTATATGTACATCTCAAAAAGAACAACGGATATATTGAATAATACCCCAATATGTTTCAATAACAAATCCACTGAATATAAAAATGTAACAAAATTTTTAGGTCTATATATAGATGAACAACTATCGTGGACTCTACATATAGATCAATTGTGAAAAAAATTGCTGGTATTATATATAAAATTCGAAATTTCATTCCTGTTAAATACCTAAAGAGTATTTATTTCTGTCTTTTTTATTCAAATATACAATATCTAATATCTATTTGGGGAAGTACAAATATTTCACGTTTGAAGCCACTCATGAAATTACAAAATAAAACAATAAAGTGCATTTTCAATTTACCTTTTTTAGAATCAACTGCGAATCTATACAAACAAACCTAAAGACTTGCTGAATCTAGTTTCATTATATAAACTCAAAATTTGTTGTTTTATTCATTTTGTCAGGAAGGAATTGAAAATATCGAATTTGAATTTTAATGAAGTTAATACGATTCACGCCCATGAAACAAGGCAATTCAATTTATTGATAGCAAATAATTATAAGTCAAATTTTGGTAAACAATCAATATTCCATAATGGAATAATTTTGTATAACTCCTTACCTAAGAGTTGAAAAATATAGAAGAAGCAGAAAAATTTAAAATGAAATTAAAGAAATATCTGCTCAGTAAACTTTAATAGTACTAATCATTCACAATTTGATTACTTGTAATGGATTATGATATTTTCATTTTATATTTTAATATAATTCTTTTTTTTTTAGAAAAAACAATATGTGTGCAATTATTATTGTTTCGATTTATTATGTTTTATATGTATGTTTTGTTGTATATATCCCTATTATAAACAATAATGTTTCTTGGGGTAATAAAGACAATCAATTATATCTCTCAAATCGGATGAAATGATATGATGTATTATGATATAAAAATATATCCTATACCAATATGTTCAGTATTGAAATAAAAATTGGAATGTATATGAGAAGTATACTTTTGTATAAACTCTGATCTTGATGAGCTTGGAACTTCCAAAAAAAAAATCATTCGTAGGTATCAGTGATCAGTGATATGGGAATTATATCTCTCACAAACAGATTATATGACTTCACTCGAATGAACTCATTTCGGGTATATACAGGGTGTCCCGAAATTAGCCTGCCAAACTTCACCAGCGGCTTCTTCGACCAAAAAGTTCCAATGAACACGAGTCGAGAAATGTCTCCTTAGGGACCTACTGCCCCCTCAAAGGAGGCTGCTGAAGATGATATTTATTGAATATATCCGAAACGCTACATGATGAAATGATGCAATTTGTTAAAAGAACTAAACTTCCCATGCCCAATGCGGTGAACATAAAATCATTTCAAAGTTTCATTCAGGTGTGTATAATACAGGGTGGGACTACATCAAATATTAATCAAACTTTTTCGTATGCATATTTTTTGACAATTTAATATCGGATTATAAAAATCCACACCGTTTCACAAAAAAAAGGTGCTCTTGTTCCGCATCGATCAGATGTATCATTTTCGAGTGAAATCGATTTAAAAATATTAATGCACCCACATGCATCTTATGCATAACGTTGCCAATTTTCAAATCATAGTGGCAATAAAAAAATCAAGTACTTTCTTTTTACCAAACAATCTCATGAAAGCGCGAAAAATAAAAAAAGATGATAAAAAATACTACTTCAATTTTTGTGCATTTTTTTTTCATTTCCACTACGCCTCATTGCAATGTCATGCATAATATCTGTAATAATATTTCTAAATTGCTTTTACTCGATAATAATACATCTGATCGTCACGGAACAAGAGTACCTTTTTTCTGTGAAGAGGTGTGAAATTTCATAATCCGAGATTAAATTGTCGAAAAATATGCATACAAAAATTTTCTAGCAATATTCAATGTATTCCCACCCTGTATTATACACTCCTGATTGAAATCTTGAAATGATTTTATTTTCACTGCACCATGGCGTTTTGGAAATACTCAAGAAATATCATCTTCAGGAGCTCCCTTAGGACCCATGTTCATTGAGAGTTTCCTTTCAATTTTTGGAAGTAAAAGCCGCTGTTGAAGTTTAGCAGGCTAATTTTGGGACACCCTGTATATATATATAAAGAATAAGTTCTTACTTATAGAGATAGAGACTTTCAAGTCTGGACACAGTCTCTTCAATTTGTTCCATTTTCTCTCTGGTATGATGATGCTGTGTAAGTCTGACTCGTCGAAATATATTTCCAAAATTTTCAGTTGACCTTTTCCATTTTCAGTCACCACGTCGATCACTTTTGGTCGCGACAGAATGAAGTAATCTAACTTCAACTCTTGAAGGAAAGCAAACTGTTTCAAATACAACACAAACTCCATGGTGTCGAAAGCTGTGTTGAATATGTAAAAGTTATTGCGGATTTCTAAACGGGTAATTGTATCCTTGGAAAGTGTACAGGCATCCAAAATTTTGAAGCACTCGTTTTTTGGGAAGTTTGTATTGCGGAAAATCAGGGTGTCCAGTTTTGTCTGTATTCTAAAATAACCAAAATTGTGTGAGAAGGTGATTTTGCATTGGTTCAGGAAACAGTTTGATATGTTTATTATGGGCAGTTACATTATACAGGGTGTCCGTTTTTAGAGCTCCACCATTATGGGAATCTCAGTTATTATTCGCGAGATTCACGAAGTGGGCGACATCTATAGGTTACATAATACGAACTTCAAACTGGGGGAAAACAAACTGTTCTCTATGGATAAAGTGCATAGACTACATTGCATACATCTTGCTGTAGCTGTAGTTGTCAAAGTAGAGTAATCACTCTTATCAGTACACAGTACACAAGCTAATGGCACTAATAGGATTGAGTGAGGATTGAGTTTGTTTTCCCCCAGTTTTGACGTGGCTTTGACATGGAACGATGAAAACCGAGCGCCACCTGGTAACATTGATTCCCCCGAATAAGAGATATTATGAGGTCGGTTAAATTAGTGCGAAGTTGCGCATTTTCATGTTGAACATTTATCTGCAAGAAACTTTGATGTGTCATTTTCAGTTTCTGAATTATTGAAAGAAAACGAAAAATCATGAGTTTCGTTTTTATTTTTTCAAGCGGAAACCAAAAGACCTAGACGTTTCTGACTGGGACATTCTCAGAGCGCTTTTTCACAAGGAATCTGACTCTGTCATTGTATTTTTCATGACGTTCTTGATGCCAAAGTTACAACACACAAGTTTGTTTTTTCTCATGGGCGACAAATTGCATTTCTGCATTTTTGAAAAGTTTTTTTTTTCTGATTACAATGATGTATCACACGATATGATCGAATCTTTCCTGTTGATCAAAATTGAGAAAAAAACATTTTTGCGAAGAGTGCTTTGGAAAGAACGCCAACAGCTTTTGAAGCTGAATTTCGTAAGATTATTTGAATCTGGATCTGGAATGTTCACATTTTCGTCAAGCTCATCTTTCGAGGTTGACAACGAAAGGATATGCTGACTGGGTTTGTATAGTTCGTCTGACTGGTCTTGCAAGTGAAGGGATGATAGCAGAGATTTCCGAAGAACATTTCCCGTGGAAGTATCGATAGAAAAGTGAAAGGTCGCCGACCTTTCTACGGTGTTCCAATGATGTCAAAGAGTGAGTGAGTATGGCGTCACCCACCAGGCGAATGGCTCTTCTCTGGATGGAATCGAAGAACATCAGCGTATGTTTTGGTGCTGAACCCCATATGTGGGAACAGTATTCTAGAACAGGCCGTATCTGCGCTTTGTAGATCATGAGAAGCTGTTGAGGTGTAAAGTAGCTTTTCGCACGGAACAAGAATCCGAGTTTTTGTAAAGCAGCTTTTGCGATAGATCTGACATGATTATCCCATGAAAGAATGTTGCTGATGGAAATACCGAGCATAGATATGGTGGTCTTGGTGGGGATGATGGTGCCAAACATTACAATATCAGGCATACTGAGTTCCGCCTTTCTAGAGAAAATACAGGCTTGAGTTTTGGTGGCGTTGAAATATTGTTCTTCACGCACCAAATGACGTGGGAACAATGAAATATCATGGCAAGCGCAATATAATCACTTGATTTAATTTTTATTTTATTACCCTATATTGGACTTACTTGACGAAGCGTCCTAGATGATAGATGATTTTCTTGAAAGGGTAAACGTCATACCACTCGAAAATTTTGAGACTGTTCACCTGGACTCCGTGTTCAATGAGACTGAACAGATATCGAACAGCCCGCTTGGTCAGGTCTTGAACCTTCAAAGGCAACCATCTGTTGTGCGTTACCGGTTTCTGCCAACCTGTTCCAAGACATTTTTAATCAGTACCCATATAGTTAGTTCACAGTGTCCATTTTTTCGAAAGCTTCACTCTTCACTATCGAATTTGACAATTTCCCATACGAATCAAAATTAGGCGATCATCTTATTCTAGTGGACAATGTTGTACTAGTGGATAGTTTTGTACTAGTGGATAGTTTTGTACTAGTGGATAGGTTTGTACTAGTGGATAGTTTTGTACTAGTGGATAGTTTTGTACTAGTGGATAATTTTGTCCCAGATAACACCAACCATCCGCCCAGCATTTGTAACGCATACCTCTCCCAGCATTGAGATTTGTTGCCGCTGTAGCACTTCTGAGTCAATAATTTAATCGCCGGTAATGTGTATTACGGCCGGCTGGCGGCCTTCTGGACACCTCGACCACCGAACATAAACTCTGTTTATGTTCGGTGCCTCGACGCCGGGAAGGCATTACATTTTGATAGTGGGCCGTCATTTCTCAAGGAGATCGGTGTTATCTAGGGTACTAGTGGATTATTTTGTAAGCTAGGGAAGCACACACCCAGTTAAGTCAGGAATATATAAATCATAAGAAACCAGATTTAGATATCCTCACAATGCCATTTTTGTTAACGTTACTTCGTTATCCTACGGCGACAGCCTTATAGATGTTGAAATCTTTATATATTCTCAAATATCTACGCGTGTCATTTGGCATTATTCATATGTGAATAAATTCTGAAATAGTATATTATTCAACAAGCATATAATAGTTCATTGTATGCGAGTAGATTACTATACTTTATCGACGACTGTTGTATAAGTATTCAGATACAATCGATGTGTCCCCGGCGTGTTCGCCAAAACTTTGAATCTAACAATCTCAATAATAAATGATAATAACAATGATAATAATGACATTCGGCACCCGAGAGTCGTTAATCCATCTTATAGGGCTCCTGTCCCTGTAAATAATTTTGTCCATGACTACTATTGTCTTTGATATATACATTTATTATTGAAAACTGTTCAATCATAACTTATTTGGCATCAAAGCAAACTACAAATTGAAGATATATACCTGTTGCTATATCGCGTACCCTAGGAATTCTAGACCCGTGAATAATGGTTATTCACCGCTATTATTCACTAGTGTAAAAAATGGCTATCGTTTTGCATGAGGAAGTACATGGTATTATAAACAGTAGTGGAAAAAACATAATCGTGATATTCATCAATGATGGCATACTGGCAACGGAAGTGGAAGCTGTGGACAGATATACTGGGTGGTCGAGATGGCTCGTAAACGTTTGCAAATACTGATAATAATGTGTTTTTATTTTTGGGAATTCATTTGATGGGGTTCGCGGCATCAATTTTTATAATAACATGTTATTTCTTAGTCCTAGAACTTTCCCAGATTCGAAACTCACGATATGCCACTGGCAATTACCGATAATTTTTATATAGTGCAATTATTATATCATCTACAACATCATTAGAACATTGATAATGTCCAAATAATTATATCACCATCGGATAATGAGGCATTTGTCAATATCAAAGGTCAGAAAACTTGTCTTGGTGTCTAAATACCTGATGATACTTATTGTTATCAGTTGAATGTTTGGCGGATTTGTCATATGATGAAAACTATACCAATACTATCAATGATATATGTTTATCAAGAATTTAATGTTCCACAACTTTCATATAAGTATGATGGATGGTGAGAAAACTTCTTCACCAAATATTTCACGCCTAAAACCACTAACGAAATTACAAAACATCATCAAAACAAATCAATTAAATGCTTTTTTCATCTACATTTTCTAGAAACAACGGTAAATTTATACAAACCTAGACATTTTCTGAACCTGATTTCGTTATATATAGAATTAAAATATGTCGTTTTATTTATTTTACCAAGAATAAATTGAAAATATCAAATTTAGCTTTCAATAAAGTCAATACAGGCTCGCAAAAGAGGTTTTATTCCTAAACAGGCGAAACCTTAAAATGGTAGTGGGGCTCCTAACGGGGCACAACCACCTCAATAGGCACCTAGAGCTTATTGGGATCAAGGATGACCCCATTTGCAGATGGTGCCTGGAAGATGACGAAACGTCATCACATGTCCTCACTGAGTGTCCAGCACTGACGCATCAGAGGAAGGCTGTCCTTGGCAACATAATCTTGAGGCCAGAGGACGTAAAAGAGATTCAGCTGAGGAAGCTGCTGAACTTCTCCAAGGCAGTCGGCATACCCAGCTGAATGTTGTAACATGTGGGCGCACAATGGGCCCGAATAAGGAGGCCCACGTGCAGGGGGTTCACCCGCCCACCAGTGCTTCGAAGAAGAAGAAGAAGAAGAAGAAGAAGAAGAGTCTATACAGTCTATAGTTAGGGACTAGACAATTGAATTACTTTATTGCAAATACATTCAAGTCGAACATTGGCAAACAATCTGTATTTCACAATGGAATAATTTTATACAATTCAGTACGAAATGAGTTAAGAAATATACACGATACAAGAAGGTTTAAAATCAATCTCGAAAAATACCTGCTCAGGAAAATTTTAATGAAAAATATGTGGCATGATTTGAGTACTCAGAAATGAAATGTTATAACTTTAATCTTAAGAAACAATATTAATTTGTTTCCACTGAGTGGAATTCAATAATTAACCTTTTATTATATTGACTTTATGTATTCATATGTATCCCTATTATAAACAGGAATGTTTCTTGGGGTAATAAAGACAATCAGTCAATCAAGCAAGAGCTCGAAAAACAAGTAGACGACTTGAATATTTCAAAAGTCTCAAAAGATGTCGATAATATGATCCGTTTCTAAATCAGAATGCAGCATCCTGTTCCACATAACAGATTGTCGAGAAATTGGACATTATCATCTATATAGAAACTAAAAATTAGGTACCTATTTCCAGACTATCGATGTGCCTGTAGTACTCTCTAGTAAGAAGAGTGGTACTGGGCTCCAGGAAGTCTCTATCGACATGCAGAACAATTCGTTCCCAGAGGTATTTGCGGTCCAAAGCTTCTTTCCATTTTCGACATACGAAGTAGCAGGAGAGTCTGTCGTTTCGGGGTAGGTACTTGAGGATTTCTGACACTATTTCAATGGGGATTAGGTCCTGCCAAAGGCTATCCATTTTCCCAAGGGTGTGGCATTATCTTTGAATGCCTCGGGCAGGGGATTTCTTATTTTGAAATTTCGATTTTCGAAACGTAAATTTCAGACAAGGTTTCGATTTTACTTCAACGTGATATTTGAAAGATATTGAGTGACGTTACTATGGTTCAATAAACAACACCACGAGCCACAAACTGACCACGACAATGTTGAATATTTATACCGATCTAGGAGTTTTATAGTTGAAGGATTTGTTTGCGGTTTCCCATTTAAATGGTATTTGTAGGCACTAGGATTCAATTTCAAATTCAACATAACTACAAGCGAATAATAATATATTATAGTTAAATTATAGTCATTACAAAATAACTTTGACTTCAGCAAATCCTCTGGCTTCCAGACCAGTGACCGTGAAAACAGCGCCATCATGTTCCCCAGGAGTTATTCCCACTTGACCGCTGGTTACAAATAGCTCATCTAGATTTGGTCCTCCGAAACAAACTGAAGAGATCTGAAGAAAAAACATAGGATTATAGCCTCTGAGATGGTTCTTAGAGAAGAACTGATATATACTTACGATCTGAGCAGGCATTTGGATGGTGTCCAGTAGAGTTTCTGGTCGTCTTGGGTCAATTTTGATGATTCTTCCTCCCCAGGTGGCGATGTACAGGTTACCATCGGTATCAATAGTCATACCATCGAAAACAACTCCTTGTAGGCCGTTTTTGCTTGCAGTGAAGACTGGCTTACCATTAGCTAGAAAAAATAAAATTAACTCACCACTTTACTTTATAACAATGATAAAGTTACAGTCCCACAACTTACAGATTAGGAGGTACTAATATTTACTTACAAACTGTTCCCTTTTTGATATCGAAGTCGTACTGGTCTACAGTACCGGTACGAGAATCAATGTAGTACATTTTCGCCAGTTCTGTATTGAAAGCGATGCCATTAGCGATTCCGATTCCTCCAAAATGAGATTTAACAACGCCTTTTTGCACACTATATAGGGTACCTTTAGCCAGAGGGATATCTGCTATTACCACTGGGGGTCCACCCATTGAACCTATAAAAAATAAAAATGCGGTGACTGGTTTTTCCATACTATCATGCATTGTTTCTACCTATCCATAATCTTCCGGAAGGATCGCATTTTCCATCGTTGAAGACGTTTTTAGTATTCTGGTCTACTTCTAAGAGGGTTTCGACTTTGGACGGTCTAGAACTTTCTCCGTCCCACGTAACAATGGCCAGCTCGCGCTCCAGACTTATGACAAACTGATCTTTCTTTCCTTGAATCGGGATGATGACAGAAACATTCTTACCTATAAAATGACATAGGTAACGGTTTCGTTTAAATGACTTCGAATTTCTTCATTTGAAGGTAGAGATAAATACGAAATAATGAAAATCTTGTTGTATGTTTTTTCCCGAATACAGATAACTCATATAGTTTCATAACAGATATTCCTCCTACTAACATAAAAATATTACGAAAAAACGATTACGTGATATTTTTATGCATAATTAAACTTGTTACTCAATTGTTTTGAAAACATGTTATCTTTACTGCCCATTGATACCTATAGTTCATGTAAGATATTTATAAATTCTGATTAGCGATAATGAATGTTTGTTACTTTCGATTAAAAAATGTGCTTCAAATAAGGACCTCACAAGTAGGTTTTTGTTATGATGAATCGAGAAATCTCGGCTTATAAGTTATTAATTATACAGGGTGTTATTTAGGTATGTGGCCAAACTTCAAGAATTGTTTTTTTGAGTGATTCCAAGGCGAAAAGTTCATGTAATCATTGGTCTGAAAATCTACCGTTTTCAAGATACAGAGTGTCAAAGATCTGAAAAAAGTCACTTCTCCTTATATCGCTAAAATGTCTGATACAATTTTGTTGAAATATTGCAGTGTTATTTGTAGTAGTAAGGTATACTAATTGAGCCATTACTAGATTTACGAAAATCTTTTTTTTTTTCAAGTTTGACACTGTGTTTCTTGAGAATTATGCATTTTTGGAGCTATGGTCATATGAACTTTTGGTCTTAGAATTACTAAAAATATCGCTCCTTGACGTTTCTTCACATACTTAAATAACACGCTTTGTATATTTTAGTGGCACGCCGGAAGTACCTGTCGGTAGTGAACATAAGTATTTTCTGTAAATATGAAAAAAAAAACAATGAAAATAAATGACTCACAGACTCCACAATAAGTCATATTCTCAAGAAAGAAAAAACTAGATACGCATAATAATAATTTGGCAAAATTGATTTTCTTTCGTGGTCGGTATTAGTGAGTATATATATACAGTAGTGGAAGCATTTCAAAAAACAACAAAAAGTACTTATTTATCTAAAATTCATTCTATATACTTACCAACATGGGCACTGGTATGTTTTCTCGTCGCTGGTACATATTTGTTAATAGTGTAACCATTTATATCAACAAAATATAGAGTTTGAGTCTCTGAGTCCCAATGTGGTGCTTCTCCCAATTTGAAATTCCCGCACAGTTTTTTGATTTGAGGAGTCATTTTGCAGTTTGAACACGAAGGTAGGAGCAGTTTTGCTATCTTCTAGTCGGAAGTTTTGTGGAATGAGAAAATATCAGCATGATATCATGAATTTATATTGAGCAGCATTAATCATTTAGCAGTAGCGTAGACGATAAATTTCGGTGAATACTTCTTGTCTATTTTAATTAAGAATTCAATTGGCTCAATGCGGGTAGCGAAGCAGAGCTAAACAAACAACCAATGGGCTATTAAATATTCATATCCTTCTTGGCCGAATTCTGATCATTATTTCACCTACAACTCTACTTTTGCGAAAAGCGATAGTTCAACGTGTGAGCATAACCGATCTTGTAAAATCAATTATTTCCTAGCATTATTGAAAGTATCTTTCACAATTTTCCTTGTATTTTCACTGTCGAGCAGTGTATCTATCATACCGCAGTGTACTGGTCTGGTACTTATCTGGCACAGGACATGGGCATGAGTACAGGAGAACAAAGAACACTCTTCTTATTTTTTGTCAACAATGACTGTCAATTGAGGTTAGGTATTGCGATTTGCGATTTGCAAATTATTTTTACAATTTTTGAGTTTTTCAAAGTATTTTTGTCACCATGGTAAGAACTGCTATTATAGACGAGCATCTTCTATCTTATTTGAATAGGGTAGCACAGCAAAACACGTATGCCATGGGTCTTATTTTAGGGCAAGTGAGTAGAAAATTTTGGTGCTAAACATATGTTCCTGTTGTCCACGGTAATGATACAACTATTCATGTTTTCTAGTCATGTACAGGCAAGGACTATGTGATGCATTTCGCCAAAACTCCTCCATTTCATACCGAGAATGATAAAAATCTAAATGAACCTGAAAAATTGAAAAGCCTAGATCAAATCAATGAAAACTGGATGTCTGATCATGCCAGGCAAACAACTAGGATGTTACCTGGCGGTATGCATGTTTTAGGTGTTTTTGTGATATCACCTGACAGTTCTTTGAATCCATTCAATCCTAAAGTCAAGGCTGTTTTACAAAGAATACATGGTCAGCTAGAAACAAATACATATTTGTATGGTAACTCATCCAGTGAAAAGCTAGTAGTACATTATGATCCAAAAACCCAGAAGTGTTTTTGTAAAGCATATGATGTAACAAGTCATATTATTCAACCTGCTGAAGTTAAAACTGTTGCTAAAAAATGGAATAGTGTCCAGTGTGACTATGGTATAGATAAAATTCAGTATATAAGGAAGTTTGAAGTCAACTATCCTCTAGAAAAACATATCAATGTATAAACAATCAATTTATGGTCTACAGTTCCACTGAAGTTCACATTTTCAGGCACTCATGAATGAGATACATGATAATTTAGCACAATCAGTATTTTTGTTCAATGGAGAATACAAGGAAGGTGATGAAAGTATAGAAAATGTTGGAAAAAATGACACAAGGCACACTAGGTCAAATAAGGGTAGGTCAGACAATATAGGTGATTCAAAACCTGTGATTGTATCCATATTTCAGTCCAAGGTTAGTCAATTCAGAGTTCATAATTTCATATTGAAATACTCTAATTGGTTTCCATAAAATACATTTTTGTTCCTTCAGCTTTCTGAGGGTGATGATGCATCAGAACAAGATAGTATTATTGAAACAGGTGGTCAGCTTAGGTTAGTAGGAAAAGTTTCAAGCAAACTGTGGCTGCAACCCAAACTGTCCATTAAAGAAGCCTCAGACTTCATCAGACAAGATATAATGCGCAGTTTAGTATCCAGATTAGAAATGCATTGGGATTCTTTAACAGAGGAAGAAAATTCAGAAGGTCAATAGTCTTTCTAGGGTGTGAGGAATTGAATTTGAGAAAATGTTTTTCAGACATAAATTGCCTTCATGAACCACCTAGGAGGGTTCTGATAGCTCTTCCCAACAGTGAGGTCACCCTGTCTGACTATTTGTTTCCTGGGGAGGGTCCTCAAGATGCTAAAGTTTCATTTGAAGAGCTGTTAGATATCAAAATCAATGGTAAATTAACTATTCAAGATGTTGAAGGACAAGCAGGTGAGACAGATTCTTGAACTTCATTGTGGGAAACTTAATTTATACAATTGGGCTTCTCCACTTCATTCAAATTTTTATGGGTTTTGTTTCATCAATATTAACAATATATAATTTCTAAATGGAAATGTGCATACCTGTTTGTAAGATAATTCACAAGCCAAATGGATTATTTTCAAAATTCCAAAAACTATTCACAAGTAAATTAAAATCCCTAATTTTCTATAATTTTTTGAATATTTCACATCTATTTTGAAGATATTTGTTTTTACCATAGAAAATTCCAGGATAAACTCTAAAATTTATATATAAACTGGAAGATGTTCAAAAAAATATATACTGAATGAAACATTTTGAATCTAAAGGACATTGAAATTTGATGATACAATATACAATGTTGTCACACTTTTCTTTATCAATTCATTTGAACTCAATTGTATCTCATCACTTTTTGTGTTTTTTAGATATATCTGAATATCAGAATAGCACATCAGAAAGTGATAGCAAAGAAGTGCTAACAAAATTCAGCTCAGAAACAAATAAAATTATGTATTTGGCATTGGTTATAGCTTTAATAGTTTTAGTTCTGGCACTTTTATTACATTTCTATCAGTGAGGTGGCAATACTATTTGTTGATGGTTATGAATATGTTTAACCTAATATAATTCTTACATCTATGAAATGAACATTTCAAAATTTGACATGCTACAAACTCTCTGATATATATATAGGTGTCACTTTTGAATATTATATAAATGCATTTATTTTTTTAATAAATATAACATGTTTTATGGTTATAACTAGTTTTATTTCAACACATTGTATGTTATTGAGAGAATGGACTATATTAAAAATAGTGTTTTTCCATCTCAATTCTCATAGTGGTAGAAATATACTGATAGATAACTTATGTTATGGAAATTTCTCCCATATATTGAGTGAAACTTATGAAAGAATGAGAAATGGCAATGAATTTTGTACATAAAAATACCGATTGTCACTCATAATTTATGAATTTCTATTTTTGAACAAGTGATTTATTGAGGATTCCATATTACGTTTTTGCAGTTGTCAAGATTTTCCAAAAACCTTGATAGTCAGTCTCGAACTGGGTGTTCATAGAAAACCATGCACTTTGAGAGGTGATAGGGTGTCTCAAGAAAATAAAAAGGTTCCCATAAACGAAAGTCGTAGGAAGCTTCGTTTGTGAGATACAGGGTGTTAGAGTTGAAAATATTCATAGATTTTTTTCATGTCCACCCTGTATGGCAAAAACCATCATCTTGGGCCCTTTTTCAGATGGCTATAATTCCTCAGGGGGCCATTTCTGTGCTCATATGCTATTAAAATTTTTTTTACTATTTTTGTTCTGTGGTTGAAATCTTTCTATGTAATTTCGGGACACCCTGTACATACATACTATCGAAAAAACATGATTGCTCAACGAGAAAATGTTGTGCATGAAACTCCTGTAGAATGCGATGACGTCAGAAAAATGAAATTAATCATCCTATATCCAACACCTTGAATGCCAATTTTTTCGCCCCACCCTCGCACTGAGACGTCACAATTATTATAGGCGTCGCGACGTTTTGCACAGCGTCCATACACAGAAACGTCTTCGCGAAGTTCATACAGTGTGGTGCTGGAATAAGGAAAACGTGAGTATATAGTATAGTTGAGTATAATCAGATTTTTTTCCTTTTTCATGTTACTATGTTTTGATATTATCGGGAACTATAATTGAAAATACTTTCTATACATGCCTTAAATTGTATCCATATCATGTTGATTGATTAGAGAAAAATGAATTTCTTCTAACATCCTCTCTGCCTGTACATTAAATTCTGAAATTTATATCATATACAAAAAATTATGTTTTCAGTTCTACTAGATTCCTACGTGTATCGAAATTATCTGATTCATGAACCATAATGAAATGTTCAATTATATTTTTGAATCCAATTGTAGATTTCCATTGCAAATTTTAAAATATCTAGTATAGGTATATAGAGTGTCCCAACAATATTGCTTGATTTTTTCATATTTTGTATTTTTCCAGAACAGCTTTGAGATAAACTGTCCAACGGGTCTACAGCTAGATTTTTGTGAAACGTTGATTGGTAAAAACCGCATTTCGATATCTCCAAACGTTTTCGAGATATAGGCGAAAATCTACATTTGACCGACTTCGAAAATATGCCATAACATTTTTATTTTTGAATATTTTTCTAAACAGAAATGACTTCCTACAGGCACTTTTCAAGATATAATGAGATACATCTGCCAAAAAAAATATCGCGTATCAATTTTTATCATTTGTTCTGGAAATAGAAAACACTGACAAAATCAATAAGCAATTTATTGGGACACCGTGTACATATGGCTGATGAAGGTTGTGCTTTTTGTGACCTTGCTTTTGAAGAAAATCTATTTTGATTCGAGCACTCTACAGTAATCTACGAAAACAGAAATACTCCAAGAAAACAACAATTTCAAAACACATAGATAATTCGTCGAAATCGTCGGCTACTTTTTTACAACCGGCACAATATTTTTAACTCATCCTGACACATTTTCAGCTGAATATTCGTAGGTAGGTAGATGCGTCCACTGAAAATTAAAATAGACATGACAAATTTGTCGTGAAATTAACTCGACTGCGTTTCGATTGTAATTAACCGTCATCAGGAATAGGTTCGTTCACATTTGGCAGGCTCCTCGAGTTGACAATACGAAATTAGCATTTTTAACTTTCAATTCATAATGTGAATGTACCTACGAGAAGTGTGCTTTATTTTTAGGATTAACAATGAATAATTGTTTCGTTTCATTCATAAATTTCGAATAGCTAGCACGTTACTATGGTTTGTCACTATCATTAAATCTCTTTCGAAAAGTACATTACAGTTTACGACTTGCTCAACCATATCAATCGTTGAAACAGACCTATGAAAATAATAGACCGATTGGAGCACAATTTTAAGAATGACCCTCTCAAATATACAGGGTGATCCACGGCGTGGATGGCCTATTAGAAGTACCTGGAGAACGAAGAGACAGAACATTGTGAAAATTGGGATCCTTTGATAATTGAACATTCTCTATCCGCCTAAAATATTTCCATCGATACAGTGTTGCCACTTCTATCAGAAACAACTAGCAACTTTGTTATTTCAAATGGAACACCCTGTATTTTATTGCATTTTTAGATTCTTCCTGAAGAACTGATTTCATCAATGCATCACACTTGGGGTCTAGCAGGAATGATAGGGTGTTCAAAATCGAAATTTTTCAATTTTAGGATTTTTTTGTGTCGGAACTATTAATTATCGATCAAAACGACACACATGTCCCTAACTTTTGATTCACTATCGACTGGAATTTAATTGGAAAAAATACAGGGTGGTCCAAGATTCAGAATTTTGATCACCCTGTATCTGTCCCAAGGGGGCGATTCTTGGACCCATTTCAAGAATAAAACTTCTTAGGAACGTATGCCGTGAAATTCCTAACTTTTTTGATACAGGGTATCAAGGTTGAACATATACATAGATTCTTTTTTGTCCACCCTGTATAGCTTTTCCTGATGGCAAAATTCATTCTACTATATGTGATTGAAACGGAGCAAAAATCTCAAAATGTTAGCATTTACATCAAAATTTGAAGTTTGATCTAGTTTTTTCGTTTCCTCTCGAAAACGGAGCGTCTTATCAGACGAACTAGACAAGCCCAGTCAGCACATCCTTTCGTTGTCAACCTCGAAAGATGTCGAACAGCACTTCATCAAGACTCCTTCATCCATAGAACGGCTAAGCTCTGGAATTCATTGCCTGTGGAAGTATTATCAACAACATATATCTCCAAAAGTTCAAAAAAAATTCCAATACCTACCTCATATCCCTATCCTCCCTAGGAACGCACGATGTTCCTTGAACATTATAGGGATTCCCTTTCGTGCGCTCCAAGCGATAAAAAAAATCAACAAGCGGATTTTTCTTGTACAAAATTGAATGACTTTTTTTATAGCATTTTATTAAATTTCGGAATATTCCCTCGTTGCTCACTTTCAAGTATAATATAATCAATCATATCCCCCTAACGGCGCCACTGGTAGAAAAAAGGAAAGTTTGTATACATCAAAAAATGCACCTTGATGCATAGAAGATATGCACCAAATTTCATAAAGATGTCTGCAATATATTATTCCAGTTATTATTAGAAAACTGATTTTTTTCCAAACTTTATCACCCTGTATCTCAAAAGTTAGGACTTTTAGAACATACTTCAGTGGAAAGTTTTCTTCTTGAAATGAGTTGAGGAATCACCCCGTTGAATATTAGTATGTCTTTAAGGAACACCCTGTATATCTTGGGAGCAAAATTTCCACCCTTGTGTTTAACTTCACATGCGGGAGGAAATGTATACCTTTGCTCCCTTGATATATAAATCGGATCATATGTTAGGTACTATCATAACACGCATCAAAAAACCAAAATTGATCAAATGTGATGTCAGAAAATTGAATGCATCTGAAATTAAAGTTTTCAGAACTAGAATTGAGAATTTTAATAGTTATAAAATAACCTTCAAAATATCGGCTTGGTTTGTGTTGAAGCAGTGTACCAGTTCAGAACCTCATCATATTTTTTGTACACTCAAAATTTTAACAAATTTATTTTCGAACTATGTACTAGAAATCTCTATACCTGATATTTAAAAATAACATGGATATAAAAGCTAAACATCCAGATACACATCTATGTTGATATGCTCAACATATTTTGGACATAATCCAAATTCCATATTTTCGCGGAAAAATCCAGGAAATCTTCGAAAATAACCCGCGCACATAAAAATGGTTCATCCAATAAATTATAAGTTGATTATTTAATGATCTGGAACTTTGTAACATATTGAAGGTAATATCCCAAAATAAACGAATGTGGTTTGAAAGTTTTTATGATATACATTGATTGTCATGTCGTCTCGTGGGTGATGCCTCGCTCACAAACTCACTCACTTCTCTGGGACACCGTAGAAAATTTGGCGACCTGGCTCTATTTTATAGATATTTCCATGAACGATGCTCGTCTGAAATAATTGTTCCTCCCTTATTGGCAGACCCCGCGGGATTAACCCGTCGAGTTGAGGCTTCGCCTCCCTTCGTGGTCACTTTGAAGACCTGCAGAACATCTCTTTCCAAAGACTCGTTCATCCAACGAACAGCGAGGCTCTGGAACACATTGCCAAGGGAGGTGTTCCCCGACGCATATAACCTCCAGAAATTTAAAATGTTCTCTGAACATTACAGGATATCCCTTTTCGTGGGAACCAGGACATAAAAAAACAGATATTTCACGAATTTTCATTTGAAGCTGATCTTTTGAATTTTTACGTTTTTTCAGAAAATTGATCCAGGATGCCTCAACCAAATGAAGGACTGAGTTTGATGACGACCTACCTAATCCTCATCACTTTATTGATAGCTCTATGGGTACTCTATTCCGGTCTTTTGTAGAATCAACAATAAACACTGTTGGTAAGTGCTTCCCCAAATTATGCAAACAAAATTCCCTGACGAATAAGTCAAAGTAGATACAAAACAAGATACACCATACCAAACTATTTATGACAGGATTTTCTGATGAATTGGGAGATAGTGGACCAGACTTGGCACATATACAGGGTGATGGGAGATAGATCTCATCTTTTTAATAAAAAAAAATTATATAAACATTAGTCCGATCTCGTTCAGTAGCGGAGCTATAGAGGGGGTCAAGTTGAATTATTTTTT